ACAATCCATTTTTTATTGCAAAGCTTCTCCAATTTTTTGCTTCATTCATGAATGAAAGAAATCAAAGTATGATTAGACGAAAATTGCCTTTGATGATAAAAGATTCTCAAGAAGAAGAACCAAACCTTGTCGAAAAGGTGTCAGTTATTTTCTCAAATTTAATTTTTTGTTTTTTATTAACCGTTGTATGATAAATTTTACCCATTCTCAATTTAGCTCATTTGAAAATGATAAGACATTTTTATGATACAATTATTAAAATTATGTTTTTTTTTGAAGAAAATCGTTTAAATTTTTTATATACCCATGTCTAAACCATTGCATTATTATCCGAGTGTCGGAGTCGGAGATTTTTGCCGGAGTCGGAATTTTCTGAGCGGCCGGAGTCGGAGATTTTTCCGGAAAATTTTTAATTCTAAAATTTTTTTTAATGCTAATAAAATGCTAATAATGCGATTATAATTTTCTTTCTGTATGTTTCGAAACGTGAATACAAAGTAATTTTGCATTGTGTGTTTAGTTGTATCCGAACATAAACTTCTAACAAAACCAACCTGAAACCATTTTTATTACAAAAATCAATCCAATGATAAAATGAATCTTTTATTGGACGAAAGTGTCATCGAGCGAAAAAGCAATCGGGCGAATCATCCATTGTTCGGGCGAAAAATCATTTGGGCGAAAGCTCCAGTTACCAAAATTGATATATCTGTGATGGCAAAAATTTTTTACAGAGCTGCGAGGACAGACAAAGCAAAACAACTGGAGGACCAATGCAGAGACATTTAGAAATACTACAGGAGACTACAAAACGAGAAAGCTTTACAGAATGATCAGGAACCGGAAAGTGGCAACCGAGAATTGAATCAATTAAAGATCAAAGTGGTTAGGTGCTCAGTACAAATCAAACATCATAGATAGATGGACAGGGTACTGCATTGATCTTTACAAAGCACAAATGGATTAAGATACTGTTGATCGTGTGATAAAAGAGGTGAAAGATATCTCACCACCAAAATTTGAAGTAAAAAATTATTTATTAGAAGATGAAGTAAGACAAGCTGTAAACCGATTAAAAAACAAAAGTCCTGGTAATGACAAAGTAGCGGCTGAAATGCTAATGAACGGAGGAGAAGCTCTGATAAAAAATTGCACAAGCTGTGTAATATGATATGGAAAGCAGGAAAAACACCAAATGAATAGAAACGGTCAATACTGGTAATGCTAAATAAAATAGGTTGCCCGCTGGAATGTAGCAATTACAGAAGAGACTGAGAAGCCAAGTTGATGAACATTTTGCTGATGAACAGGCGAGATTTAGATAAGAGAGAAGCACTGTACAACAGATATTTGCCATAAAACGTATTGCAGAAAAGGACAGACGCAAAAACAAGAAAATTTGCAATTGTTTTATCGACATCCAACGGCCTTTGACAGTATTGATCAAAATGTGACATGGGAAATTCTAGAATCTAACCGAGTTGATATCCAAAACAGTTGCTGAAAGACGTGAACGATAACGCAAAATTAGCGGTTAGAGTATGTAACGAGGTTGGAATGTGGTACAAAACCAGCAAAGTACAAGACAAGATGACCCAATGTCGCCAGCTATTTTTATCGTTCATCTAGGAACAGTAATGGACAAGATCAAAACGGATGAAAAAAATATTTGCACATGGGATACATATCAACAACTTGCGTTTTAAAAATGATAACGACATCTTCAAAAATGTAATACATTTGCCCTAATAATGCAGGTAATAATACAACCGGAAAAGACTGTAAAACACTAGATGAAGAAGGAAAGAGATATGGCCTAGCCATGAACTTTGGGAAAACAGAAACTATGGTTTTTTTAACGTAAGCACTGAACACAAGCTGGTCATAAATGGTGTTGAGTTAGAAAACGTGGAAAAGTTCACATATCTAGGAAGCAACATTACGTAGGGTTTGGATTGCAAAAAAAATTGTTATAAGAATAGCCAAAGCTACAGCAACATTGAAAGTCATGAACACCATATATATATGTGTGTGTGTGCGTGTGTGTGTGTGTGTGTGTGTGTGTGTGTGTGTGTGCGTGTGTATGTAAAAATGTCAAACCGACTAATCCTTCCGACAAAGTAAAACTACGATTTTATTATAGGAATGCAAAGACATCGAACCTTGTCATGAACAACAACTGAACTCCTCAACGTCGTTCGGCTTTAAAACGTAGCCATCTGATATATGAATTTGCATGTCCCCTTGACGGCTGTGCACGCCAGAATGTTTCATATATCGGAGTAACTAAAACATCGCTAACTAGACGTCTGACAATGCACAAAAGGGAAGGTTCTATAAAAACACACTTAGAACACACACACACACACAATATTGAAATTACAAGAGAAATTCTGGACAACAATTTCAAAATAATTAACTATAATTCCAGCCACTCCCATCTGAAATTAGCCGAAGCCATTCTCATCGACATAAAATAACCCCTGATAAACAAACAACAAAAGATTTCAACGATACTCCCGACGAGAAGGACAATAATAAAATGTACTAACAACGTCCAATGGTACCGATGAAGACACTGAAGAAAGCAACATCGACCAAAGTGCATCGACAAAAGGGCAAGTACATGATACCGAAGCAATAAAACATAACACCGCGGCAGTAAAACATAACACCGCGGCAGTAAAACATAACACCGAAGTAACTAGCCCGAACAAAGAAACCGTATCAATAAATAAAAAAGATAGTAAAATTAACTAAGTCATTGACAACAATGAATGCAAATCACAGGAACAAAGGCCTGGGTTATGCAAATAAGAAAAATAACATGTATAGGCCACCGTGTCACTTCAGTAAAGGAAAAATAAGAAAAGAGGAAAATAATATGAACGTCAGAACTATTATGTTAAGTAATAATAAGGGCACAACTTCAAGTTAACTACAACTATTTGTCACAGAGACTGTTATAGATTCTACTTCTCGAACAGAGTGGTGGATGATTGGAATATGATGCCCTCGGCTGCCGTTAACGCAGATTCCCTGATTGCTTTTAATCAGCAATTGATAATTTTTTTGGTGATATAAAGTATAATTGGCAAGCTAACATTTAATTTATCGTTCTTGTTGCAATTTTAAACACTTATATATGTAAAAAAAATTTTAATATTTAATTAATTAACAATCATTCTTCTGTAAATAAATTAGCTTGAAATTAAATCGCAAATGTGTCTTGTTTAATTTTAATTCTTTAATTTTCAGTCAGATTGGAACTTCCTCGTTATTACGTATATTTATTTTATGTTAGTTTGTCCCGTTATTTTGAGCTTTGTTTTGTGATGGCAAGGGGCTATGCGCGTGCTATTACACGATAACAATAATAATAATAATAATTAGTTATTATGCGTCTTGTGACTAAATGCAACCAAAACAGCGAAATGAAATTTAAAGAGTAAATCGAAGTAAAAGGCGGCAACAAAAAAAAACGAACATCTCAATAAATGAAATTAAATTAATATGATAATAAAATCGAACCATATATTTATTATATGATTTTATGGTGGGCCAATTGTTAATAAAAACTCATTTAACTTTTTCCTAAACAAAACAATGTTAGCAATGTTCTTTCTTTGTGTGGGTGTATTTTGGTAGCAGACTGTTGTTAATGCAACATTTCGAAAATTCAACACTACTTTCAACATTGTTCAACTTGTTTATATTTCTTTTTAGTTTCTTAATGTCAGAAAAATTAGACATTTTATTGTTTTAAAAATTTTTTTAAATAAATTTGCAGATTTCGAGTTATAAATAACTCATCTTCAGGGCATTATATATAATGTATGTAAGATATTTGATAAGATAAGAAAGAACAAATAATTATTAATTTATATAAATTATTTAAAACAGAAAACGAATAAAATAAATTTTATAACATTAAACATAAAACGCGATTTTCAAAATTTTAACGGCAAGATTATTTATATATATATATATATATATATATATATATATATATATATATATATATATATATATATATATATATATATATATATATATTTACCTTAAGCGGTAAATTAGACCTAAGTTTTTTGATAACTTACATGAAATATGTTTGATGTGGGCTAACCAGGACAAGTTAGAAGAGATAATAATACCTAAGAATTTAACTGATTCAATCCTCTTAATAGCGTAATCATTGATTAAAAGAATAGGAAAAACAATGCTAGTTTTTATTTAAGGACCAAATAATATAAAGGAAGTTTTATCAAGGTTAATACGTAAATTATTTGAAACCACCCAATCATAAATAAGATTCAACTCGTAGTTAATAATAGAGACTAAAATATGGAGATCTGAATGAGTGCAAAAGGGTAGTATCATCTGCAAATAAAATAAATTTTAAAATACTAGACGAATTTATAAAATCATTAATATAAATATTAAAGAGAACGGCCCCAGGATAGAACCTTGAGGAACACCATATGTAATTGGAGACAAGAAAGACTTAGAGTTATTAACAGATACATACTGAAAACGATTATTAAAGTAAGAGAAAAACCAACCATAAGCTAAACCACGAATCCCATAAGAAAATAACTTAGACATTAGAATTTTATGATCTAAAGAATCAAAAGCCTTACAAAGATCGATGAAGATACCAATAGAGTATTTTTTAGATTCAAGAGCAAGAGATATATAATTGACAACATCAATAACAGCAAATTCAGTTGATAAATTATCACGAAATCCATATTGATTCAAACACATTACATTATAAGAATTAAAAAATTTGATAAGACGATTTAAGGTAATTTTTTTAATCAATTTAGATAAGCTAGAAAGTACCGAAATTGGACGATAATTATTAATACAGTGACGGTCACCAGATTTAAACAAGGGTAAAATTTTCGAAATTTTAAGACAACTAGGAAAATGCCCATTTTTAAATGACAAATTAATTAAATGAAGTAACGGTAACAAAATATTATAAACAATATTTTTTAATAAAAATTAGAAATGAAGTCATCTCCGCAACTATGAGTGTTTTTAAGGTTCTTTACAACGTCAATAATTTCATGTGGAAGGCATTCAAACAGAACAAATGAATCAGAAACACCACTATCAATATACTTCCTATAACCAAAATTATGATCAGAAGAATGAAGTGCATCAGCAACATTATTTACTGATGAAAAATGATTGTTGAAGTGATTATATAATTGTGTATCATCCATAATGAAATGTCTATCAATCATAATATCAAATGGCTCAGAAGTTTTAAGACCCAGGCATGCTTTCAATACTTTCCAGCATTATCTACCATTTAATTTACAATTAATAAATTGATTATTGTAATAAAGATTTTCGGATAACTTACATAACTTTGAAAAAATGTTTTTGTACTTTGTGTAAGCTATTTTATCAGACATAGACCTTGAACCCAAAAAAACTTTATATAATTTATTTTTGGTGATAGAGGAAATAACCAAACCCTTGGAGATCCAGGGTTTTCTCTTATGCGATAATTTGCGGGATGCTTTACAATGTAGAATGACTGCATTTCTAATAATATCAGTAAATATTTCAAATGCCAAATCAGTATCGGAACAGTTAAAGACAGGGCTCCAGTCATAATTAATAAGATACATATTCAAAAACTTAATATTAGAACTAGAATAATTAAAAGATAAAACAGAAGGTTTAGGCAAATCAAGACCTGAAATAACGAAAGATGTAAAAATTGGAAAATGATCAGAAAAGGAAGACCAAATGACACCAGACTTATGATTTGTAATGTTATTAGTAAAAATATTATCAAGTAAAGATTTGCTATTGATAGTAACACGCGTTGCACTTGAAATTAATGAATTAAAACCAAAAGAATTCAATAAATTAATAAATTGAGTTGTAACATGCTTATAGTCATCATTAATTAAATTAATATTAAAATCACCAACGATATAAATACCTTTGAAAGAGCCATATTTGATTTTTAGAAGCAAGAATGTTAAATCCCTCAAAAACAAAATAACATCAGAACTTGGAAGACGATATATAACAATAATCAAAAAGTTTGTGTTAGCATTAACAAATATTTCAACTAATAATAATTCAAATGAAGAAAAATAATATAATAAATCATCACGAACCACAAACCTCAATCCATTTCTGACAAATAAACCCACACCCCCACCAACGTTACCAGACCGGTTCTTGCATACAAAACTAAAATTAGATAGGTTAACAAGATCAACAGTGGCATCATTCAACCAAGTTTCACAAACAGCAATCAAATCAAATTTTCCACCACACAAATCAATCAAAATATTTAGTTCAGTTAACTTATTTAATAAACTCCGACTATTTACATGAAAAATTTTAAAATTATAAAAGTCGATAAATGAATTAACGTTCTCAGGCAACATTTGAGAACAAACATAGGAGTAATCGTTAAGGATATTAAGGTCATGATCTACAACTTCAAGCAGATCAGCTTGACCATTTTGATGGAACATCAGGTTAATCTCGGAACTGTCGAAATTGTTATTTGTTGGCGGCATGTTTGATGTTTGTTAATTTTTGCGTATTACTACCTTCTGCATTTTTTCCGACCTTTAAATACGAAAATTCCATTCACGAAGAAATGCGTACTTTGGCCAAATGTCAGGATTTTTTAATTTTGTTAATTCATTAACAGGCAAAATTATTTTGAAGGCAGTCGATTCAGCTATAATATCACCTGTATTAACCTTCGGGTTTCTTTTACGCACAACTGGGAAACAATGTGGGAAAGCAATATCATTTGATTTTAAGTGATTTTCAATGACATCTTTAGTGCACGATTGAACGTTGCCTATATAGTAAGTAATTTTTTTTTCAATTACCTTAGAAGACTTTAAAGGGCAGTCGGCGCCTGTGCCGAACACTTTAGAGGGCTTATTCAATTTAACATTAGGAGTAGGCTGATTCATTTGGCCTACCCAGGGAGAAGCAGCAGATTTTTTCCTTTTTTTGTTCAAAACTGGCTGAAATTCATCGTCATGAGATTCACACTGGGAACTTTGAGCGGTTGAGTCGTGCCAGTTTTTCTTAGGCTTGACATCTGACACAACTTTTACATTCTCTGATGATACGGCAGTGACAGTGTTGGCAACATAAGAATTGGATTTTAAAACTACGCATGGTGTTGTACAGTTTGAAACAGAATCATTAGCAACTGGCATATTTGCTGAACATGCCTTAGCATAATTAATTTCTCTGTTATTTATTGAACGAGACGATACGATATTGCATAAACTATCCAATAGAGATTTGTTGTTTACGTCCATTGTGTCAATTAAAACTTTGCGTTGTATGTTCAACATGGCCTTAATATCATTTTTTATCATTTGAAAATTGCAATTAAGCCAATTCAAAACGGTTGGAATTCTTGCTAAATTGGGGCTAACAAAAACCGAACAATTATCCAACAAACCGTTAGTCGTCAGAATTTTTAAAAAATTAATACAGTCTTGTATTTTATCCTTTTTAATTATTCCACGAAACTGAAATTTTTCAACAGGTTTATTCTTTAAATTATTAGTTTTCATAATATCAATTTCATCTTTCAAAATTTCAACGCCAGCTACCACTTCTTCAACTCGATAGAAGTCAACAACGTTTGAGGCAAAAACTTCATTATCGAAACAATGAACATTATTAATTAAAAAATAAATAAAATCACTAATAACATGTGGACGGTTTGACATATCGGAAATGTCTCGTTATTATTATTATTATTAATTATAATTTCTGCAAATTTATTTAATAAAATTTTTAAAACAATAAAATGTATGCACTGTAATTATTTTCATTTATGTATAATGGCGTTTTGTTTTCACTGATGAGAAAAATTTTTGTGACTTTTTTTAAAACATTTCTACATTCTATCGTAATTCATTTTATTGTGTTCAAACTCGCTTAGGAAACGTCTGCTAAGAAGGCTATCATGTCACTGGCCAGTTCAGGAAACAATTCAACTGACTTATTAGATTTCCAATCATTTCAGCTAAATCCCGGTCAAATTTATCAAGATGCCAGCATTAATAATTCAGATAAACAGTTACTAAATGAACTTGTTTCTAAACCTGAACAAAGACTATACTTCAAGTAACTTTTTACAGTTTTTTAATACCGTTTATAGGTATTACTTTATATATTTTTTCATTGGTTTACTAAGTTATTTTAGACACTTGGCCTCTTAGTTTCAATGTTGAATACAAATATTCATATTGTTGAGAGTTTGATTCTCTTTATTTTATTATTGCATGAAACTTATTGAAATGTTCCTTATTCAAGAGATATTAACAAGGATTCAATCACGAAGAATATTGACTCATTTCAAAATAGTTTGGACAGTTTATCCGACTATTTCAGCTTTTCACCGTACACATTTGACAATGGAATCTCATTTGAAGTAATGCAATAAAATAACTTTTGTTTCGTTCACTGCTGCCATCACGATGTTCATATTTGTTTGAAGGGTGGAACGTCCGATGATCCTAGCAAGAAGGATGATGATGATAGTGATGGTGATGATGATGCTATTGCCGCCAAGAAGCAGAAGTTAAGTGAAGGTTGGCACGTTTTTTCAATTATTTAACTTCATTCATAATTAACTATGCGTAATATCAGTGGAGGGAACGAAAATAAATTTACAACTCATCGAAAAATGAAATGTTTATCCTAAATTCTGTCACCAAGGCTGTAAAACATGTTTTTTTTTTTTTAAAAAAACCCGGGTTATTTAGTTTTTAAATGTAGATTTTTCAATTTCACAATTTTGTTTTTCAATTCATTTTGTGAACACCTGATATCATAATTATTTCAATGTTCTAATCATAAGTTTTTATTACCAACTAATAATTATAGACATTTTTCATATTCAAAAATTTATTTTGCGTTTTCAAAGCATTTTATTTTTTTTATCATCAACATTATTTCAAATCGCTGGCAAACTAAATGTTGCTCCAGAGCAAGTATACGCTGATGGCGTTATAATGTTCAAAATTTCCTTTCGAAGGATCCTGGCTCTTATCATGTTATCTATCATTGGAATTGATAAAATATTGTAATTTTATTTTTTAATAAAATTTATGGCTTTAAACACTTTACAAACCAAAATAACCTGAGAAAACCTAGAAAAGTCAGGTGTTAAACAGCCATGATCGAATATAACTACTATTTTATTTTAATAATTCGTTTGAAAATATAGACGATTTTTAAAAAACTTTACAAACAGGAAAAGAAATTATCCAATATACGTCACCAGAAGACTTCTTCTTCAATATGACCGACCTCAACAGTGAATTTATTCCTAACACAGAAAAAAATGAATTTTCAGATTCTTTAAGCCTTTCCTCTTTATATGACTTGGAAATGTCAACACCCGCACAATGGTCACCAAAACCTGACAGTTGAAAAAAATAATTAAAATACTTTTTCAACTCTTATGATTATTTTATACTTCATACTATAATGCTATCGAATGGAATTACAAGTTAACTTGAAGGTGTTCAGAATTTTGTTGGTTGACTTGACTAAAATTTTTGCCATTATTGAACATTATGAAAATATCGATATGTACATTTTACTTGTGTGTAGTATGCCGATCAGTTGAAGTCAGGTAGGTTTATTTATGGTAGGAGAGTCGTATCATAATACGATGCCTCTGAAAATACTCCAAAGGAAAACAATTTTATAACATTAGTTTTACAACTTTAGTAATAATTAATAACCACTGGAATACTGTGCTTTAAAATGGGTTATTTGCTACATGGTAGTCTGTAGCATTTTTTTAAGATTAATTGTGTTGTCATTCCAAGCTTTCCATTGAATGGTTTTTTGCACTCTCACCAGTGACACGTCAGCAAGTCTCAACAGATTTTAATTTTAATGAAATATTTTAAGATGTTTTGAAAATGAGATAAATAATTTATTTCCTATTATTTCTAACGAATGAAAATGAAACAGATTTTGTATCGTGTTAACTTGTCATTCGGAAGAACATCATTTTAAAAGTAATATACACATATATGACAAGGATTTAGAACTCATAATTTAGGTTACATTTTATGTTTTTATATTTTGTAGTCGACTTAAAATGTTGATTTTTTAAATTTAAACACAAAAATGAAAAGAAAGACCACTTAACCTTTTGAAAGGTCGCACGACCACACACTAACACGTTCTTTCCATTCGTCTGTATTCTGAACCGAGTCTTGTTTCAAACCCAGAGCCTTCATATCTGAGCTTGGGTCAGCCATGTTTCCTTATGCTGTTAGTTGGTTGATTAGGTTCTGCATTTTCGCCTAATTTTAATTTGCTTTCCGCTCCACCTGGCCGAAACATCTCAGTCCAATATCTCTCATCACATCTCACAACTTATCTATCCTCAGCTCTTTTTTATGACCTTTTTACTTAGATAAAATTTTTTGGAAAGATTCTTTTCAACATCTGCATTTTTGTTCTTTCCAATTTCAAGTTTTCAGCAGTCGTAGGCCATCACGTTTCGCAACCATACAATAGGCATATTCTTTCTTACACATGCATTATATAATGTATTTCAATTTTTTTTCCACACAATAGACATCTTCTTACACATGCATTATATGCTTCAATTTTCAAATTCGAAAAGATACTCTTGAAACAGCAGTGAAGTCATTTTTCTGAACTTTTTCCATTTTTTCTCTCTCGACCTCTCTATCTTTCTTTTAGTACATCAACTAAATAACAGAAAAACGTCACTATTTCAAATCCAATATTTTCTGAATTCATAGTGTAGTATATCTATTTCGCTTTATAGATTTATTCTGCATCGTTTATAAACAGACTGCTTGTGTGGAGACCTCCTTTCAATCCACAGAACATCGTTTATGCATTCATTTATGGTAGCATGGAATTTCCTACAATTCCTTTACCTCTCTGGGGAACTTAAAACTATCAAGAGTATATGGATCGAAATCCTCTTTCCCCTACTTAACTAGTTTGACCAACATTTAATTTCAAGTCATTTCCTCCATGACCAGGTCATCAGCATATAAAAAAGTAGAGGCATAGCTGCCAATTGTTTTAACTTCGACTTGCTGCAAATTAATGGATTAATTCTGGTTAATTATTTAAAAAATTAATTACTTTATATATATATATATATATATATATATATATATATATATATATATATATATATAGTATATTGTTGTGTGTGCGCGCATGTGTGTTTGTATCTTCTCATTGTCGAATGTTTTAAATTGAAAATATTATTTGCACGTCAATCAAGATATTACCGTATTAATTGATCAATCAATGTTTTGCTATTTTACCATTGTTACTACATATATGTTTGCCATACATTGATGCTTAAAAGAATTGTGTTGTTTAATTTCTTTTTTGTAAGTTATTATTTAAACGTCTATATCATGTTTGTAAATCACTTTATAGCGGTTTGTCTTGTTATGAAATATTGTTGAAAATTAATTTAGAATTGAAGTCAAATCATGTAAGCTATAAATTTTGAAGACAAGTGAAGTCAGGGTGCTAATTCGGTCACCAACAGCCTAAGTCAAGTCATGTTTTGATGAATTCAAATCTCAGATGTAATCTGGCGAGCGTTATCAGAGAACAGTTAAACTTCATTGACTGAATCTACTTTAAAAAATCTTGCTCATGCATGCATTCATTCCAGGCTTGTTGGTGAACTTACTTTCCATAAACATTTATAAATGTGTAAATAAATGTAAAAGCTATTTAGGCCTAATTTCCTACCCTTTTAATTTCAATTATTTGTCCTCTAACTCGTTTTGTTATTATATAAATCTATTGCCGGTTCAAAGACTGAGTATGCAGCTGATATTTGGTCTCCATGGTCAAAGAATTTGATTGAGGACATCGAAGAGGGCTACAAGAATGTGGGAATGTTGTGGTTTAAATTATGAAAAGCGCTTAAAAAATCTTGTCCCACAAACTAATTATGAAGAGCGCTTAAAAAATCTTGTCCCACATACTCTGAGACATAGAAGGTTAAGAGGTTATATAATTATGGCGTGCAAACTGACGAGAAATCCAGTTAGATCATCACGTTACCGTACTTTAGTGTAAACACAGGACGAAAGAACAACGAGACATCAAAAAAGCTATTAACGCAAAATATTAAACCAAAATATCCGGAGATACTTTTTCCTGAACAGGGCGGTAGATACCGGAATAGATTTGAAGTTATGTTGAATGCGAGTGATGTCAATCTTTTAAAATAAGAGTGATTTTAGTTTTAAAAATATTTGCCATGTAAATTTAACATTATGGCTAATTAATTTCTCCTTTTTATATATTATTTGTATAGTTTATTGATATTCTTTATTTAGGTGAACTTTATGGGTTTTTTCGATTTAACCTTGGATCATGACATTAAGTTTTTTGTGGGGGTATGGGAACTTATATTGAAGATGAGGTGAATACGAGTAATGACAATTTATTTAAAAACTGGTTGATTTTAGTTTAAGAAATATGTCTGGAAATGTGCGCTGGTGCGTTTGAAGGCCAGTGTAGGTATTTTAAGTATATGGTCAGGTCATGTTACGTCAACACAAGAAATAAATCAGAATTTTGTTTAATAACTTAATCAATTAAATTAATGAGCTAAAATGGTCAATGCAAATCGACAAGCTTATCTGCAAATTTACTAAATGTTTGGAATGTTATTATACATATATATATATATATATATATATATATATATATATATATATGTATATATGTATATTAGGATGGGTCGAATTTTTTTATCTTTCCTGTACATGAACAAAAAGTTGTCTTGGCATCAGTACAGTTTGAAAATAATATTTAAAGATTTTTTATGAAACGTTTAGGGGTCCCAACTTTTGATTAAAGTCTTACCTTATTTGGTGTATTTTAACCATTTCCTTGGTACAATCTAAATACGTACCAACTATAAATCATTGACTAAAATGCATTGGCAAATGGCTTAGCACCTAACTACAAGTGCTAAAAAAGAATTGGAGGAGAACTTAGATAGACCATTACAGTGGTTGGTATGCCTTCTACACTGTAACGAGCTGCCATTTAGAAGGTTTTTGGCAGGCTTGGATTATGCTCGAACTACAGGACCTTCCACATCGACAGGTACAATTAGCTCAGCTCTAGAATATGATCCGAATGAATTGCCTATCGTTAATTATTTGCCAATTACTGGTAAGGTGACTGATTGTGATGAAGCTGTCAAGAAGGATCTTAGCACAGACCAACTGTACTTTTACACTAACATTGGGTATTTATGTAGTCTTTCTAGTCAGAGTTGGGACCTGTAGACACTGTCCATAAAATAAAAAGTGAGGTTTTTTCAAACGAGTACATCGAAAAGTAACTTTTTAGACATGTACAGGATCTCCAACTTAATATTTTTTACATTTCGACTCACCTTAATGTATATTATTATTATTCGAAAATTTGTATAGCGCTAATTACAAACAAAATGTTTCTCAAAAGCACTGTCTAAAAAAAAAAAAAAAAAAAAATTTGAAGGCCAATTTTTAAATCATTGTAATTTTTCATGGTTAATTTTTGAGCTGTAGCATGAATCATCCTTCGACTGGCCCTCCAGTCAACAACACCCTCATCAGTTAATTTCTGAACTTCACAATCCGCCATCTTCCCACAGAATCTCTGACTCTGTATAAAAAATTGTCTTTGCGTGCCGCTTCTTTCGATTTTGCATCAGCTACCAGTTTCTTTAATTCACTTCTCTGCTCAGGTGTCAGATCATTGCTAATCCAGACTTTACTCAGTTCGACCGACATTAATTTCAATTTGTGTGCATTTTTCATCACGGTCTCTTTAGACATAAAACTATCCAACACTATCAATATTGGACGTGTGGATGATTCATTATTTTTCTTTCCAAGTCTTGTAAAATATTTTATATGTGAATCTTTTATATCATCAGACAATTTTAACAAAATATTTTTAACACGAATTTTATCATCTTCACCTTCTTGTAAATTGAAAATTATTATATTTCTTTCTCTGTCTTTTATATCAATTGACTCAGTTAATTTTTTTTTAACCGTTTTAACTTCCAGATTGACACACTCAATGTTTTTCTTCACTTCTTGGCCAACAACAGTAGCAAAAGAAGATTTCAAATCACTTTTGAATGTGCTGATCTCGGCAGATAACTTGCTATCAGGCCTATCAAGACTATCTAATTTTGCACTGTTACTGTTCAACATCTCTTATCAATTTAAGTTCATTTTTTAGCAAACCGTTCATTTCGTTAATTTTTTCGACTTTTAAGTTGATTTCATCATTGTTGTCACTGACTACTTTAGAGAGAGTTTTAAAGTTACATAACTTCTTCAGACAAATATCACAAAACCATTTAAAACTATCGAAACCACGTGTCACTTCAAAAGCTTCATCACTCAGACCAACACATTTTATGTGAAAACTATTTTCGCACTGAAAACATTGAATGCATTGCAAATTTTCTTTTCCTGATTTCACACATTTTGTTTTCGTACATTTTGAAGCCATATTAATTTGGTTGTTGTGTTGTTCGTTGTCCGGGTGAGTTCCGAAACGAAAAAAACAGCACTAAATTAAACTTTTAAACGGAGAAAAAATATATATAAATATTCGTCAAAATTTTCTCTATCAAATGAAATTAAATTTAAACTAAATACTCGATTTTAAACTATGAAATTAAGAAAAAATACGGAGCAAATCAAAATGTGGCCTGCACGTGCTACCGATGAGCGATCATTGATATATATATATGTATAATAAATTTCACCGAATATTGTCAACAATTTGGTCTTCTACCAGCATACATAAAATTCACAGAAATCATTGCGTTTACGGCGTTCAATTTGTAGTCGAGTTTCTCCATTTTTTCGAACAAGAACTCTGTTTTCAATTTTTAGTAAAACAAGGTTAAACAAAATTTTTACTAATATTTTTTAACATTTTCTAGAAAATTAAACACCATCAACAAGATTAATACTGTTTTATTAGTTAGTAATAGTAGAATAATAGAGAAACCCACCTATAAAATGAATAATACCGAAATGAATATAACGAGTCTCAGCCCTAATTATATATATATATATATATGGTTTAAAACATCCCAGCATTGCATATAAGATAGTCTCAACTCAATATTTATGAAAAATGCACGGACTAACAGCAACATCGGGAATGACCGTGATGATAAAAACATGCAATCATAAATAATTTCATTTCCAATATATATATATATATATATATATATATATATATATATATATATATATTATTATTAAACGAAACTTAAGAAATATTATAAGAACTATAATTAAATTATAAAATTATATATATATATATATATATATATATATATAGGCAATTATATTCCTAATTCCTAATGAAAGTAGAAGACTGGTATATCAAATTCGATTTGCATTATTTATAACGCCTCATACATTATTGTAGGAATTCTACCGAATTGTTGGCATAAAAAATATAAAATATGGTCTCCTTCCAATATATATATATATATATATATATATATATATATATATATAATAAATATATATATAAATGTATATATTTAAATATTATGTGTAGGTTATTAAGATACAATATTAAATGCTTAAAATATATACATAAGTGTGTGTGTAAGCATGTATGTGTGTGTGTGGTGTGCGTGCGCGGGCATACACATGTACATTTATGTATAAATATAAATAATTAGCAACATTGTTTTTAATAGCGTTAGTTCATGAGATTCAGCGACACTTAAAGTTGAAGACAGTCTCATTACGTCAAGTCAATCATAAACTTTACACTGAGTTGGTTCCAAAATAACGTATACCTGCAAAGAGAATTAATTAAAATTTTTGAAAAGTAATAAAATTATGAATGACCTAAAAAAAATGAAAATAAATTTATATATGTAATCAAAACTCGATTCCAAACTATGAGCGAAATTGTTAAATATTGTTTGATTCTTCATCTCAATGTGATAACACTACTATAAAATTTAATTGCCCTAGGCATTAATTTAAATTGTTTTCAACATTCTATAGACACAAAAACGCCTCATTCTTCGGATTAAAAGATCGTAATGTCAGTTGTAACCGGTGTGTCGGACGAAAAATATCCGATTCATCGAAACTATCAGACTCCCGGTTCAGAATTCCAAAAAAACTTTTCAACTTTTGCATCATAATTTCATCTTATTATCATTACTAAATAAAAAATACTTATAAAACACTTTAGATGCAGTAAATTTAATTGTTTTTCTTGGTAAAATTACTTTATTTTTGTGTTTTAAAACATACTGAACAAAAATTATTTTATTCACATTATTTTTAATATTAAAGATGAGTCATTTTTCATTTGAGTGTGTATTTTCTCGTGTAGATTAATTCGGTGAGTAAAAGAAGCTTTCCGACGTTTCCTGAAGGCACATCCAACTGGGGCGCTTATATTTTTAAAACAATGGGTAACGCAAACAGTTGAAACGAAAACTTTATTTAACGAAGTGAGAATTAATTTTTTGAAAGACTGGATAAGAACAGTAAGTAAGCTGATATTAGTTTAGTTGAGTTTCTTCGCTCAATTGATTTATTCATGATAATGATTGTTTTTCTCGGTGAGCTTAAAATATTTCAATAGGTGTTGAATGATGTTTGAAACTTTCCATTTTTAAAATTTATAATAGTTGTTCATTGTTTTAATAAATGGAAACGGCATCATAAGTTTAAATAATAAGTTAATATAAAAATATCATCATATAAAAAATCGAGTATTTTAATTTCAGCAATTATAGGACCGAAAATAAAACAACTAACACTAAATGAGAGGAGCAGTTGAAGCCATTTTTATAAATTTTCTTAGTTGATTAAATTAACACCGTCTTCAGCTTTAGCAACACGTTTATAATTTGGATTGACGACCAGGAAAACTATGGAGATGCAAAAGATGACCAACAACAACCCCATCACGTTGATTAACACACCCTCAGGAACAAAAAGTTGATAAGTTTTATCTCTGCAATAATAAATATAAAACATTTTCAATATCTTTTTTTCGCACGGTACATACCATTCAATAAGAACAAATATCTCAGTTGCAAGGTATTTAAAATTCTGCATTTAAATTGGGACGTATAATTAAGATGATTCAATTTCAACCGAATACACAAAATTGATGAATTATGCCGATTAAAGTATTTTAAAAATAAGTGTTGCAAAATGTGAAGCAAGTAAAAATATTTACCTAAAAAATAATTAATTTATTACACTTTTATTTCGAAAAAACAGAAATAAATAAATTTATTTAGAAACCCCCAATAAAACAACCCCGCTCCCAAAACAGTTAACTCAATCTTCGTGTACAAATTTATACCCTGTTAAATAAAAAAAGCTCTGCTTTTTTATCATTTAACCAAGTTTCCGAGATTCCTATTATTGCAACCTATGAGTACAAGACTTTAGAAGGATGTTAAGATCATCCAGTTGCGGGGGTGACTTCTCGCATTAGTGTGCACGACTGAAAAAATGATGTGAAATTCAACTTTGAGATAAAACTTTGGACACTGTTTACACCAATTGTTTCTGAGTCATCGAATGAACGAAGAACATTAAATTATATTCAAATCAGACATAACAAACTGTTCTGCAGAAACTTGAGAAGCCATTATTTTGCAAAAGTTTTATTTTTATCTCAAAATATCCACAATTTGAACATCAATCCCACGGGCCAAATTTCGAAATTGTTGAACTCAGCATCATTTCTTGCATCTATACAAACTCTAAATGCTGTTGAAGGCTGATCGTCAATAAAGTTAGTAGCAACTGGAGTATTAGTGGAAATCGTCTTTTTGAACGTTGGCGGACAAAATATGACTTTCATGTTATGCTTCACTTCAATAGGTAAAGTGATTTGAGTGCTAAGCAAACTTGGAAACGATTTAGTAAAAACATTTTAAAATATTTGTTATTAATGCAAATCAGCTTTTAAAAACACAAAAAGCCAATGAAACGAATAAATTTTTGGGTTGAAAGTCATGAAAAAAAGTGATTAAAATAAATGGTTGCTACTAGTTATTAAAATTATTATAAAGTAATTATTAAAATTGCACAACAAAACTAACAGCGTCCACAATGCCTTTTCAGTTAAACCAGTCAATGACGTCAATGTAGCCAAGACGAAGATTACGATCCCAAAGAATAAATGAATTGGCATCAATATTTTTTTAAATTTTAGGTTGCTCACTGGCAATAAAAATCCAAACAGTCCAAACAACCACTGAAAATCATAATATCTAGTTTCATAAATAACAAAATATGAAGTATAAAAAAATGACCCAAAACCCCCTAAAATTAATCAAATTTCCAAGAACAAAACTATCCCGGATGACCTTCACCAAATTCTAATAGTCTATTTATTTATACCATTTAAGAAACAAAAATGTTTAAACTAGTAGGAACTCTAAATGCATCCGTCACATTCACCACTTTGTTGTTCATATAAATAAAATAGTATCCATATCCCTAATTTGTCAACCACAGAATTCCTAGAATGGCTGACACATCAAAGAGATATCTGACATTTCCATGAGCCTAGGCATTATAATCAGATCGAAATTTCTTTCTTCAATGAAAATTTTATACAATTTATACTTTACATTGGTGTATCCTTATATTATTCATCGTTTCCTTGTTTGGAGTAAAAATGTAAAATTACATATACCATTTTTAAATAGATGTCAAAACCACTTCATCAGAATTTTATATGGCCTTCCTTTCCGCTATCATAAAAAATATATTTTTCACTTTTACCTCATGATGAAATTTTTCATCAATCTATCATTTAATCTAATTACGCAATAATCCAATGCCTTTTCATCATATCGTCAGCGATAATTTCGATAAACCTGTTGTACAAATATATATATATATATATATATATATATATATATATATATAAATTATTATAATCGCTGGAATGGTCAAATTGCGCTATATTATTTGTTATTTTAATTATTGTTATCTTTGCTATATCTGCAATCTTTGGATTGTAAACCATTGAGGGTTGTAAAGAGATATCGAATCCATGCTAAAAATCTACTGTAGAGGCTGTATAAGGATTTATGGAAGAGGTTTCCAGCAAGGGCTGTAATTGTGATTTATGTAGTTACTTGGAATAGTTTAGTGTTTCTATTACTGTTGGCATTCGAATAAACATTCATTCAACCAAGTTTGCGTTTGAAGCAGTTGTGTTCATCTATCAGAAACAAACAAAAACAACAAAAAAAACTTCAACTAAAAACTCTACACTAATGAAAAACAATTCTAAAAAATACAAAAATAGTGAAAAAGACAGTTAAATACAAGAAAACGGGAAAAAAAACAAGATTTAAACATGTCATTGTCAGTGAACCAAACATTACGCAAATTAATTAGCCAGCAACAATTCAATAACCCTCTTCTTAAACGCCTCCAGACTGACACCCAACGTCGAATCAAATGGCAGTCCTTCCTACAACTTTACACCAAAATTTAATACAAAATTAGAATGCAACACACTACGTGATGAAATGAAACGATACACCTGGATATGACGCAACAACAGCCAGCCAAAGATAAAGTCACTAAAAAAGAATGAAACTGAGGATGCATATTTAAAACAATTGACTTATAGAAAAATAATAATACTCTTAATACATGCAACTGATATATATATATATATATATATATATATATATATATATATATATATATATATATATATATATATGTGTGTGTGTGTGTGTGTGTGTGTGTGTGTGTGCGTATGTGTGTGTGCGCAATATTTCTTTTGAATGTTTACAACTGAGCTTTTCAATATTTCTAACAGTTATTTTGTAATTATTATCCAATTTATTAAGGATAGGAATGTAGTTGTTGCTCCTATATAAAGTGGCTGATGAGTGCATCAGTTATAAGGGCATTTAAACTCATATATTAGGTGATTCCTTTCTAGGGTTGAATTTTGGGGAGCCGTGCAAATATTCTTTATTATCAAGTTTGCTGTTTAAATTATAAGATTTACTTTATCGTTTGTATTTCTAGGCCTCACGTTTTTGAAAATAATTTTCTTTAGAATAGATTCGTCTGTTTTAAATGCCCTCTTGACGGATGAACTCGTGAGCCACACTCATATATTGGAGTGACAACTACATCCCTATCATGTCACCTTACTATGCACAAAAAATAAATTTATATATTCTATGATATTAATGTCTACTTTAATGCATTACTTGAACAACATTTTGTTAAAGTTTCTATTTCATTTTATGTTTTTACACTCTTTCAGTATTTAAATTAGTACACTTTGATACCATTTTTATTCAACAAGCTATGCATAAGTTAAATAAAAAGCATTTTACAAATATTAACACAAACCTGAACTGCAAACAAGACTACTGTTGTGATACCCAACCAGCTGTGCAATGAATACAAATTAGGAATTGGTTTATCAATTAAATTATGAGAATCAAAGACTGCTTTCAATCCGAGAGCACCAAAAATGAAAGCAAGAACATTTAGAGAAGCATGAAATAATTTCAACACAATTTTCTTTTTATTTCTAAACACTCTATAGACCAATATTGCTGAAAAAACATTTAGTTAATTATTTTTAAATTAAAACCTAAATGATAGTGAATAAAATACCTTCAGCATAAAAGAAAACCATTCCAAGAACCATAAACAAAGGATGGAAATTAAAAGCTTTTTCATGATACCATTCGAATCCGCCGTGGTATATGGCCATCCATAATGAAATAAGTATAACGAGCAAAACTCCGAACAGCTATAAAGATTTAATCTTACTTGATAATATAACTTAAAAATCACATTAAAACTAATAACAACAAAAATTATAATAATGAAACTATGATTTGAGATAAATAATGGAGATATTCTTGAAGAATGGTCCAAGTAACAAAAAGAAAGGGCTGGGGATAGATGCAGGGATGCAGAATTGAAGGTGTTCATTGACGAAAACCCCAGGTTGGTCTTGTCACATGATCACGCATATTTAACCGTCTTTAACATTCTTCACTATTCTGGGCCAGTTCTGCCCTCATGTCCTTTAACAACACTTCTTCCTAGGTAAGTCTGGGTCTGCTACTTTTCCTTAAACCGCCAGCTAAAATAGTTCTACATTTCATTACCCAGTTCTCATTTGCTTTCCTCTACACATGGCCAAAACATCTCAGCCTCATACCTTTAATTACAACTTTCAACTTATCTATACCTAACCCTTTCTTTATCACCTCATTACTTAAAACATTTCTCAAGGATACTCCCATTTTTATTTTCAACCTCTGCATTTCTGTTCTCACCAGCCTTTTTAAGTTTTCAGCAGTCATTGCCCAAGTTGCTGCTCCTTACTACTGCAAGCACCTTATTTTTTCAAAATTCAAGTACCATTATTCCGACTCCAGCTTCAGCTTTACGATTTCCTGTTGACGTCGTGATCCTCCTTAATGGTTTCGCTTGATGTCGACCTGAGTGACCTGAGGCTTTTCACTCCTGCCGTGTAGATCTCAATTAGCTCGAATGCCTCGGGAAATCCCATATATTTCTTTTTAGTGCTTATTCAAATAGTTCAGGATTCTATAAATTTAAATTTGTTGACAGATAAAGATCCTATCTTTGCTCCAACTAACCCTCCCACTTTATCCAGGTTTGAGACTGGCACGTACGAAGAGAAATATCTCTTCTTCTTTGCTAAATATAGAACTTTATATAAGCAGTTTTGCGATTTTTAGACCTGCATAATAAAGTATAAAAGCAATTAAAAAAACATAAAAAAATTACTTGATTTCCAACAATCATTAACGTGAAAATCTTTACATTGAATTTTTGTTCGTTGGAAGATGAAATGCTGTCATAATTCTCCATTGGGGAAAGCTTCGAATGTATAATTTAAATAATTTTGTCTGTTGTCAACAATTGAAAAATAGCATATCAGAAATCAGAACAATTAATGCAAAATTTGTTTATATGATGCTCATACGAGGTGGTATCCCTACTATAGTACTTAAATGCGATGTGAATAAGCAGCTAATCAAATTTAAAGTCGTTGATAAAATTGAATAACACAATAAAAGAACAACCAATGCTGCTAGTTACATTTAAGAATAAGAAACGATAGAATTAATTTCGTTAAAACTTTCCCTGAAGCACTAGACAAATGAACGGCAGAAGGTTGTAAACATATAGCTCCGCTAAAAACTTTCATATCCAAAAAGTGGCGAGCCGGATGTTACGACCTCGGCTCGCCCTGTTGGTTTTCCGACTGATATGATGACAGTGTGTTCGTTGATCGTGATTGAGCTGGAGAAAAAGGTCTGGATGATGGCTGAATGTGTAAATATCTTTTGTTAGGCTATTGGCACCATAGTTTGCAAGTATGAAAAATTTTTCCAAAATATTTACGACCACGGAAAATCTGAAAACCTAGCCTGGTCTTTTTAAAATGGACGGATGTTGACTGGTACGTTCGTGTCGTTTAGAGTTTGTAAATGCGACTTCTTTTTATCATATTATTTTACTTATGGCATCAGTTAATCAACGTGATTCCTTGCTTATGTTGAGATCTCCTTTTAAACCGCAGCATCGTTTGCGAGTCCATTTATCAAATTTTACACGTAGCATTGAATTTCCTCCGATTCCTTTACTTTACAACGAACAGGGAAATTTACCACGTTAGAGTATCTAAATCTTCTCCGCATAACTTTGGACTAACCAGCATTTACCTTTAAACCCTTTCTTGAATATTTTTCACACTGAGAGCTTTTTTTTAGTTCTTCCCCACTTTCTGCCATAAGAACGAGGTATACAGACTTGTCTGTTAACCATTTAAACTTAAACTTTTTTTTCTACATAACCATATCCAGTAAAACGCTTGTTCGGCTGTACGTCCCACATTTTTCATACAACTCGATCTTTTACTCGCTAAACCCAAATCGTTAAAAAAACTGTACACCGAACAACCCACAAGATTTCTTGCACCAACTTCGACCAAGTACAACAAGCACCTTAACCCACAGAGTTCAGTACTTGGTGCTCTGTTATACATCTTGTACACTGCTGATGTCGTCAACATCGTGGAGACAGCAGGCCTTCATTGTCACCTTCATGCCGACGATATTCAACAATATGGATTTGGACCGCCAAAATCATCACATCACAACATGTAAAGGTTATTTTGTCAGACGCAGTAAAGGCAGTGGGAGATATGATGCTATTAAATGGGTTGAAACTTAACATTGACAAAATGCAAAATATGTGGATGGGAACATCGCATGGTCTTTGCCACATAAATGAATTCAAAGATTCAGTAACTAATCTTGGCGTTATACCTGATTAATGGAAAGTCCTAAAAAAGCATAGCCATCGATGTTTCTATCAGCTGCACAAAATCAAATCGATCAGACGCTATTTGACTGTTGAATCAGCGAAGACACTTGTTTGTAGTTTAATTTGTAGCAGAGTTGATTACTGCAACGCGATAATGTACAGAATCAAATTATCCATTTGTAACGCTTTTGCTAGATTGGTCGCAGGATACCCGAAGTTCGATTCAACTTCTGCTTACATCAGAGATGAGCTACTTTGGCTTCGTATGCCAGAAAGAGTTTTGTTCAAATAAACTCTCATTGTCAGAGATTTACTGGCCAGCGATGCCCCAAGTTATTTGAGAGAAAAACTTCAACTAGTAACTAAAGTTGCGAACCAATAATGGAGATCATGTGCTTCAAGGATTCAATTCTTCACGCTTCGGTAAAAGATGATTCTCAGTATAGTCAGCACAAATATGGACTGATCTACCCGTAGAACTAAAAAGAATTAGCAACATAACCCGGCAGGCTTTCAAGAAGCGTTTAAAACGTCATTTGTTCAACAATCCACTGCGAAGCTAGAGCTTCTGTGATTCTTTCAAGAGGGGGCTATACAGGTCACGCAATACAATATTATATATATATATATATAACGTGCACAAACAAAAACAATATCACCCTTCAATTAATCAACCAATCAATTAGCTTGTAAAGCGCTATTACCGCGATGTTCAAAAGCGCTCCTCAATGAATTTTGCAAACAGATGGGTCTTGAGAAGGAGAAGTTTGGAGAAGGGTCTTGAGAACTTCGTAAGTGATGGAGAAGTAGTCAGATAAGTAGATAGAGAATTCCAGAGAAAAAGGCCAAAAAAAACAAAAGCAGATTTAGCAAAAGATTGTTTAACACGAGTTAAGAAGAAGCGAAAAGACGATGATCGTAAACCGGGGCTTTTAGGTTTAATTAATATATCTGATAAGTACTTAGGAAATAATTTAGATTGAAACTTATACATAAATGTGCAAATTTTAAAAATTATTCTATATTTTATAGGTAGCCAGTGCAAAAATAACAAGATATGGAGATATATGAGAAAAAAAGGGCACGAGCAACTAGACGAGCTAGATTTAAAAGCTTTACTTGAAGGATAGAGTATAGAATCAGAAACACCATAGTAGAGAGAGTTACAATAATCAATCCGAGATAAGACTAACGAAGTAACAAGAAGGAAAAGAGTAGGATCAACAAGAAAAGGCAAAAGTTTTTTTATTCTACGTAGATGAAAGTAAGAACTTTTAGCAACACTATTAATCTGAGAAGAATGTCGGATTGAAATCCTAGCAAGTAAAACTAACAATCCTTGTTAATAAATAAAACACCACGAGCTAACGAAGTGATTTGTGCGGGCTTTATAAGAAACCGCGATAACTACTCTGATAGGTATCCGGGCTGCTGATGAGTCCCCGGTAGGGACGAAACACGTGTCCAGCCTATCCAAACGAATACTATTCTTTTCTTCTCCCGCTCACTGCTCTTCCTGGTTCGGTGTTCTCAACAAACACAAAAGCAACCGCTACAAATTGGTGACCCCGACGTGATCGAAGAAAACAAGCAACGAGAGTTTTCACTCCAACGCAGATCTTTTCGATACAACAACACAGGATTGATCTCAGTAATGCAACCTCATCCATCACGTTCGCCAACACACACTCGACGATCTGGTGTGGGAGTATTGTCGGATTGAAAATCCTAGCGACTAAAAGACTAATAAATAAAACACCACGAACTAACGAGGGGATTTGTGCGGCTTTGGCTTTATAAGAAACTGCAATAACTATTCTGATAGGTATTCGGGCTGCTGATGAGTCCCCGGTAGGGACGAAACACTATCCAAACGAATACTATTCTTTTCTTCTCCCGCTCACTGCTCTTCCTGGTTCGGTGTTCTTTCAAACACAAACGCAACCGCAACAAGAAAGAGGCATACTAGAATCAAAGATAAAGCTTAGGCTACGAAACTTGTGAGAAACATCAAAAGTTTTAGAATCAGGTAAGATAATAGGAGGAATAATAATAGAGTGTTTAGATTTATTAAAACAAATTAATTCAAACTTAGAAGGATTAAGTATAAGACACATAGAGTCAGACCAAGCGATAATTGAAGAAAGACATAGAGATAAATTATGAAGAACACTATTGAGATTAGATGGAGGAAAAGAAGTATAAATGTAAGAATCATCAGCATATAGTTGACTAGATAAAGAAAAGTTATTAATAATACGAGGTAGTTCAGAAGTATAGAGTATAAATAGAAGAGGGCCAAGGATAGAACCCTGAGGTACCCCGAAAGTAAGAGTAGAGGAGTTAGAAGTAGAATTATTGAGAACAACAGAAGAAAAACGATTACAGAGATAAAAAGAAAACCAAGATAGACAAGAATCAGTAATATTAAAAGAAAGATGCAGCAGTCTCAAGAGAATAGTATGGTCAACAGTATCAAAAACTGAGGAAAAGTCAAGAGCAAGAAGAAGAGTAAGATTACTATTGTCACTAGAGAGAAGGATATCATTATGTATTTTGAGTAAAAAAGTTTTAGTACTGTGAGCAGGTCTGAAACCAGATTGAGATAAAGGTAGCAAGGAGTTATAGTTTAAATAAGATGACAATTGATTAAAAACTACTTTTTCTATTATTTTAGAGATGAAAGTATTATTAGTAACAGGTCTATAATTAGATAAAGAGGTATGATCTAAGGATGAGTTTTTAAGAATAGGAATAACAATAGTATTCTTATAAAAGGTGGAAATAACTAGTGTTATTTTTTTTTTAATAATTTAATTTTTTTAACCCAACCTTAATATATAATAATATAATTTATAATATAATATATAATAATAATTTAATATATAATATAATTTTTAATAATATCATTGCTTTTCTGCATCATTGGTAGGAGGAACTTAAGTGTAGCTTTGAACTGACAACTAAAAATAGACACTGCCTGGAATACCCAGTGCTGATCTCCGATTTTACCATAATAATGATACTAATAAGTTAACATATGTTTCATAGAAACATAAATACAATTAAATTTAGCATATTATTTAGTACATGTGTTACTATGGTAATTTAACTAAGCTTATTTATTGAGAAAGACAGTGCTGAATTTAAGATATAATATATGTGACATCATAACAATTATCATTAACAAAAACATATTATTGTTTCGTTTTAATTGTTCTTTTTATCTATAAGTGATCTCACCAAAATTGATTACACACATTTTTAAATAACGTCCAAATCACAACTGAAAACTTAAAAAAGTAATTGTTTGAATAATTACTTGAGTTTAGAAAACTTTAAAATTCTAGACTAGATTGAAGCTAAAAATTAAGTTATAATTTTAAAAAACTATTTCGATCAATCATCTACAATATCAATTCATATTCAATAATCGTCAGTCACGAATTAATTACCATTTTAATTTTATTAATTCAAATTAATTATTAATATTATTTATTGTATTATCAATAATTATTGTTGAAAAATTTATCACCAGGATATAAATAAAATATAACCAATTGTCCTTTCTGCTGGTAAATAAGCGTACCTAATTAATATAATCAATCTTACTAGAACATTGAGTACATATGTTAAAATAAAAATAGTACATATGCCACTCTATATTAACATTATGTTGATGAAAAACCAACAGCAGGTAAGGTAAGTTAAATGTTCAACGCTAAACTGACAACGACGACTCTCTCAACTGGGTATCGAGAATCATCGTTGAAAATCTTCTACTTTTTGTTAAAATAGACATTATATATAAACTCATTATAGTATTAATCTGTGTATAATATACAATATTATAAGTATAGGATTATATATTAAACAATGCACAATTCTTCCTCTACAATATTTGTCATTTTTTGTTTTTTCACCTCACATTTCACTGAATGAATTTATTACCTACATAAGAATAAAGTTTTTTTTGTTAACAACCATATTTTATGTATAGAATTAACACATAAAGTTTTAAAGTAAAATTATGATGCAAAAATTTAAAAATTTTTGAGGGGGCGGAACCTGGAGTCAAAGTTGAGATTCGGAAATTTTTACCCGAAGTCGAAATTTTGGTATCCAACTCCGACACCCTGATTGTTATATGTAGTAGATTAGATTCTTGGTTTTATTTTATTGCCTCAGTTTGTAGGAGCGACATTTTTTCTAAAACGTTTCCGTCCATTCTTTTTCTATTTGGCATATGATTTTTACAGAAAATAATAAAAGCATCAACATTGATGGTGTTTTGGGAGTTGTTGGTGTGTTGGTTTTTTCCCTGTTGATGATGTCTTCCTCTTCAGTGGAAAAAGTTTTATAGTTATTATTTTACTAACACATTGGTAATCCTTCGCAGTTCGAAAATGAGATCGTCTGTTGAAGAGGAGTGTGTGAGCACTCGATTTACAAATGCATCTTTTATTGTCCTGACTGCTGACTTTGTACTGTTTAGTGTATTGGCCTCGTCCATTCAAACAAATTTTTTATTAGTTTCCTTCACGTATACTGCTGTTTTGAAACTGTTATTTTCGAGTGACAATGACATTCAGAAAGTGTAGAGATTTATTTTCTTAAAAATCAAAGGTAAATATTTTTAGATTTATTTATGGTACCAATTTAGCTTCAATTTGTTCTGGACAATAATATGCCACAAAAATCTCACGAATATGTAACACATAGACGTCTGTTTTAAGTCAGGGTTAGTTTGAAATCCTTGCTTCATAAAGAACTTCAATAGCTTCAAAACTTTCATGCATTGGACTGATGATGAGTTACATATATCAAAATAAGACCCTTTAGTAATCAATTTATTATATACAAAAAATAATAGCAGATCTAGAATATCACGGCGGGGAGATGGTTTTAAATTTTTAAAGTGCATGACTTCATTTTGCTTTCTAATTCCTGATTTTTATATATTTTGTTTATAAATATTATTTGTTTTGTTTTAATATGCCCCTTTTTTAAATGATTAATGTTTCTAAAAATTCATATTTCTATCTACATGGAATAAACAACTCTCTGGTCCTATATGATTTTCTTTAACTTATTACTTCATTTGTTTTCATGCTTGAACTAGAGCGCCGGCCCTCCCGGTGGGCCGGCGGCTCTCAACTACCAAAAAGTTGTTTGTGAGGGGTCGTTTTCAAAATTGAAATACATTTTTAACAAATTAATAAATTTACTGGTCAGTCAACTTTAAAATCATTCATGCTGATGTCTTGTGAAAAGGACCTTCTCCCAAGAATTAATAACAATGAAATCATTGAAATTTCAGTATCGACTCGTGAAACGATGAAAAAGCTGTCACAGTAGTTATTAAATATATATAATTATAATATTAGACTAAAATGTTTTTTATGTATTAGACTAAATAATGTTTTTGATGTAAAAGCTGTTAGACCAACTAGAAGATATTTATTATTTAAAGTTGTTTTGCAATTTTACAAATTAAAACGTATAATAAATAAAATCCTTTTTAACGAATTCAAACTAATGATCATGTGAGCCGCCATGACCAAATTTCGCGGGGCGGTTTTTTTAAAGGTCTACTACACCTCCTAGGTTCAGAGGAATCACCAAAACGCCACAAACATCGTACATGAATACGCATCACACACGAAGTATGTGATAGGCGAGTCTTCTTTCCATATTATCGAACCGATCCCAGTCACTGCACGCACTGCGAAACAGCACTAAGCCACTGGGCCATACCGCCACTCAGATTAGGTCAGTCCGACCCTGTTTTTTTGTCTAGAATAGGTGACTTTGTTAATTTAAAATTCCTCAAGTGCCTCAACACAAAAAGAACAAGAAAATAAATCCGTACAATGTTTACGGGTTTTACGAAATGGACGCATGGTATCGGATAAAAATTGGAAATGATGGAGAAGTAGTTGCAAAAGGAAGTGTTGTAGAGAGAAAAACCAGAAAAAGAAAGACTAGATCTAGCACAAGTGTTTAACAAGAATCAAAAAGAACGAACAAACGATTAAAGATTGGAGCGTTTGAGTGTTGAATTAGAATGGCTTAAATTATCTGTTTATTCATTTTAATACAACCGTTTAATTAAACCATTAAGTTGCATTCTTCAATATAGCTTTCACGATTCCTGAATTATTTAATTTAATATTGAGAGACAAAAAAACACGCTGAACAACATAATAATACAAATTTTAGAAAGAAAGTCAGAAAACATTTCAACTGTCAAAAACAAGTAAATTTGAATAATTTATTGAATGAAAAACATGAGCTAGGTAATGTAACTACGAAAAGAAAGCAAAAAAATTAAGTTTCCGTTCTTTTTTGAAGCCCCTGAAATAAAGAAAAAAAATTAATATTTGTTAAATAACTATTAAGCGAAACCTGCCTTGTAATATCCGGTATAATAGCCACTCATATACCAGGATATGAGCATTCCGTACAAAGCGTCTTTCTCGTTGGTTATCGTCGAAATGTCAGGCATTGGAGGCGGTGGACAGTTCGGCAACAACTGCAAAATTTAAAAAAATTATACAACAGGTTCTACACAGGGTAGAACATTTTCATTTTTATAAAATTAGCAACCCAAGCTATTTTATCTTTAATCTATATACAATTTATAATTTATGGACAAAATACATAAAATATGATTATAGAATGATGGGAACTTGGACGATTTTCATTCAACAGATTGGATATAAACGTCTCTAAATACTGATAACAATGACAATAATGATTCTCAACAAACTACTTGTCAGAAGTTTTATAACAGATTTAGTTGTGGCAAAGGTCTAAAATAAAAACAAAACGTTTAACGTGAATTAAAAATGACACAATTCATTAAAAAAACAATTTATAGCAATAAGCAATACTTTAAATTGAAAAATTAAAATGAAAACCTTTTTAAAAGAAGCAGAAGTTATATTAGATACGTCTGAATTATCATCTGAATTATGGCGGGTGGAATTATCTGCCTATCAATTGGGGAATTTGTATTGAAACTATGAGTTTAACTTGAAATTAGAAAGTAATCGTGTTGGCAGTCACACAAGCTCCTACATTTCAAATCAATGAATAGTCGTTGTTCGATTTTGCACAGCAATAGTAATTGTGTAATCAACAAAATGTAATAGGAAAAATATTCGGAGGACGTAAAAACAGGTTCGCTCGCGATGTCAATTATTGGTGAGTGAACAAGTTTCTTCTCTTCTTCTCTACATCAGCGCTTGCCGACATGACCTGCCGTCTCTTTCATATGTCAACACTGTTTTTCAAGTGTTTCAAAGAGTGGATAAATGTTGAGACAATGGCCTTATAAAAATTAACTGATTCACATAACTCTTTTTTTGAAACAAAGTCTGTGGTTAAGAAAATGCAGCAGATGATTGATAATGAAGATGATAAATTCAAAAACTTTAAAAAATAAATAAAAATTGAAAAGTTTGCTAAATAATTTATAAGCCTCAATACAAAGCTTGAAAATTTTGGAAGACAAATATATTTTAAAACAAACTTTAAAGTTATAAAAAGTTTCAGTTTCACTCAAACAAAAAATGAAAGTTGTATAAATTAAAAATACTTTTGAATTTTTGGACTTCTCAATCTTAACGAGATCGGACAACATTTTAGTTTCTTCATTGTTGTAATACAAATATTTGACTGTGCACATGCCCAAGTTTTTATTTATGGCCACAATAATTGCATCGTATAACAAACCATCTTCTGAATAATGGGCCTTGCATTTGCTTCCAACTTTCCACTGGATAAATAAAATTTGTTAACTAGAAGTAACTTAACTACAACTGTCAAAATTTAAAATTTAAATAAATGATTTGTGTCTATAAAAATTTCATATAAACCGTTCAGTTCAATCGATGACAGATGACATCGTTACCGACCAGAAAAATTTTATTGAAAGACTTTACAAGCTAAGAAAATGAACAGAACAACGACATAATAGACAGGACAAAGCAGAATAAAAGCACTCTGCACACGCAGAGAATTGTAAAACTTTGAAATATCCCTGTATAAGCGCTGATGATGAGTAAAATCGAAATAGAACCTATTCGCTTCATCATGAATGATTTTCTTATTAATTTTAACAATAATTATGATAATAATTATAAAATTACTTTTAGAAATATTGAAAAGCTCAACCATACAACCTTAAACTTTCAAAAGCTAAAAATTCGGTAGATTTTATCAAATATTGCATATATATATATTAGGGATGCACCGAAGTTCGGCCCCGGCCAATATCCGGCTTTTTTTGCAAATCCGGCCCCGGCCGGATTTGGTGGCCGGATTTAAGCGTCTATCGACATTTAAAAATGTTACAAATAGAAAAAAAAATTTCATTGAATTAAATTAATTTTATGTCAATAAGTTAAAAGCTAAATATACATGACACATAATAACAACATCACAAATTGTGAAATGAGCTGGACAATTTATGCATAAATTATAAGCTGATCTTTGTGTAAAAGAACTTGTGCACGTGTTTATACTATATTGTTGTATATGACGGATCATAAAGCTACATAATATATATATATATATATATATATATATATATATATATATATATATATATACATAATCGCATTATTTAAGAACATGGTATGTTAAAGGTTAGGCTAGGCATACATGACACATAATAACAACATCACTAATTGTGAGGTGAGCTGGACAATTTTCTTTGTGCTATAACATTGATTATGCATACATTATAAGCTGATCTTTGTGTAAAATAACTTGTGCACGTAATATTAACATCATTAATTGTGAGATGAGCTGGACAATTTTCTTTATGCTATAACATGGGTTATGCATAAATTAAGCTGATCTTTGTGTACAGAATTTGGCGTATCACACAGCTTATTCATATATTTGAATTAATTAACTATTTGCTTGGTGTTATTTTTTGATGTTCAACATGTAGATAATCGTAAAAGTGAGTATTTTTTCTAACGTATGTAAAACGGTAACTAAAATCCGGCCCCGGCCTGAATCCGGCGCATCCCTAATATATATATATAATAAATATCAATGATCAAAATGACCGCCCAATCTAATTGGTTCACGATCGCGGGCCATGGTGCAACTCTTCAGTAATATGGATCATCAGAGCTCCTTAGAACATTACAATGGCTTCCTTGCAGCAGCAAGTTATCCTTAAAATTGACATCATAATAATATAAGCCTTAGGATCTCAATTCCCTAATTATCTTTATAATTAAAATCTAGTCACAAACACAATGACTTGTTCCATCCTCTTTCTCAACATTCAAACAGACACAGTTCGCCGATAGCAGTTTCTGTTACAAAACTGCACAAGCGTGGAATGGGCTGCCAATTGAGCTCAGAAGTTGTGCCCTATTAACAACAACAATACAACAACAACAGCAACAACATATCAATATAATAATATAAAAATAAGTGATAAGCCTTAAACTAGCTGAAAGAAAATGAAGTTGCAGAATTATAATTACACAATTATATATGCAATATAAAAATATACCCCAGGAATATTTTTCTTTTTAGCTTTATGTAATGTTTCGTTTGTTTCTTTGGCAATATGACCATTCAATTTCTGTGAAATAAATTAGAAAATCAATTTATAATATGTTTCATTTTAGAGTACTCAAAAATTAAATAGAAAAATATTTTTTTATATCAATAGTTTTGTATTAATGGAATAAGAAGCTTTTAATTATAACAGTAACATATCTTCAAACAAAATATTCTTAGAGATCAAACGTTAAATAAATTAATATTTTCAATCTGCTGATAACAAATTTAAGCAGTGCCTACTCAACATAAATATAAAATAAAGTGGGTCACAGTCAGATATAACCTAACCTTATAAGAATTGATGGCCTTATCATAAGCATTAATTAGTGCTGTATCATCCCAGAGGTTGACATCCGTGCCACTCTGAAAATCAAAATTTCAATAACAGTAGGTACTTTAGCTTACTTTTATTTAATTAATTTTAATCTGCAAACAATGCATAACCCCATAAAATAAACCAGGTGTTTTGCCTTTTTGAAGTAAGTTGTCACATGTTGGCAGGCAAGATGGCTCAGTGGTTCAAATACGCACTGAGCCAAACATCTCAATGGCTATCATATACTCAGCGTATATGATGTGGTGCACATAAATACATGTGTACATCATGTGAAAAGGATAAACATTCTTTGTGGCGAAGATGGCTGATTCAAATCAATGGATGAAGATATGAAGAGCATAATTAAAGATTATAGATAATTATATATATATATATATATGGAACACTATTAAGTGGTTCTGTGTATGTCAGAGCTGCAATAATAAAGACTTAAAAAAGATAAACACAAATATATTATGATCATGTGAATATTTGTGAATATTGAAAAATTAATCATTAATGTTTATTTTACTATAACTGTTATACATACAGTTATACTATAGTATAACAACCAACAACCCAAGACCAATCTCTGAATAAAAATGTTACAAAATCAAAAAAACAAAATTTTTCATTTGAAACTTGAATCCTTATTATTAGAGATGAAAAAAGATTCAGCAAAAGTATACCTTAGAAAGTAAGGCTTACTTTCTAACTATGCATGCAATTCATTTTGTGATTTCAATTATTAAATTAATTATTAAATCATTTAATTTAATTTAATATTCACTTGAAAATTAAAAATAGAAATAAAGTTATTAAAACCCACCTTTCCCCTCACGTACACCACGTCATCGGCCATTCTTCCTAATTCTGTTTCTCTCGTGAGTTTTAATTTTTTAATTTAAAAATTTGAGAAAGTTTTCTAAAATCTGTCAGCCACGAATAATTTCATGGGAAGCCAAACGCAGTTTAATTCTAAGTATGAATGTGACCTTGCAACAATTGACCTTTAAACTAGAATTGAATTATCTTTATCGAGCCTTCCCCATTATACGTTATACCCATATATATATATAACAACAAGAAAAGTCAATGACGTCACGTATCTATTATAACTGATTTATAATACGTATCATTAATAACTGATGAGGAAACTCATATTTTGTAAGTTGTTTTTCGTTGCCATGAAACATGACGGCATTTTTTTCTACGTCAAGTTGAAAAAAGTTAGTTAAATGACGATTGCACAACCTTGAGTTTGTCATGTTCTGGTGCGATTTTCGGTAGGAAAGAGCTAATAATAAAGGAGCAAATATTATTTGTGAGGTATAAAGTAATATGCCAAATTTTGTATTAAGATAAAAATTATAAGTGAAACTAAAGTTTGCAAATTCCTAGCAATTCACATAAAAAATGTTGCTTCAAAGTTCGCCAGAGGTCTGGGCTTCATCAACAAATATAAATTTTATCTTACCACAAAGGTCGTACGTTGCTCTACAATGCATTATGTTAATTATTGTGATTTAGTTTAGGTAACAACGTATAAATCCAACACTAAAGCAATTTTTCAAATCGTGAATAGGGCAGTAAAAATGCTCTCAGACAGCTACCTTCACTCAATAAATTCTAGAAATGTTTCATCACAATCAAATCTCGTCTTCTCTTTCACGCAACAACATGCTCATTACAGGAATTTTCGTCTTCAAACAGCTAAATGGCCGTCTTCCGTATGAATACGATGATTATTTTAAATACATAAAAGCCAGAAAAACACGACAACAAAACTGTCTTGTTTTGAAACGTCAAAAAGAGAACATTTTATTTTTCCATATTAGTTGCTCGAGTCCTCGACTCTGGAATAAATTTCAAAAAAACAACCTAATCTGCAATGTTAGATTTTTGTACAAATTTAAAAAGATCTTAAAATCATTCATAAAAGAATCTAATTTGTTCTAAGATTTTTAAAATTATCATTTGTTCTCAACATGTGAGGCCGACCTTCTTTTGGGAGATCAAGAAATGTTTTAGAGGAGGCCAATTTATTTTTTTATAAATTTTTTTTTATTAATAACACCAAATCGGAATTTTTGATAAAAAAGTAGTTAAAAATTTTGTAGTCAAAGTCAACAAAATTTTATGTGTGCAATGACTTCCAACCAAACTGCCCACTTCAACTATAATTTCTTTAAAGTAAAATAGTTTAATTATTAATAGTTTGCAAGGTTAAACTCAGTCTGTACGGAGAGCACACCAAGTTTGTTAAGTCTGGATTTATTGCTCTTGTTAAGGCCAATTTTCCACAAGTGACTAACACTCCGTGCACGCTCCAACGTCATATCTAGCACCGCTGATCTTAGATCTTACCAACAAAACTTTAATCTAACTTATCTACTGTCACAAAAACTAATAATTATATATATGTATATATATATATATATATATATATATATATATATATATATATATATATATATATATATATATATATATATATATATATATATTCATATTCACAATTGGTATTATCATCAATAGTGTTTACCATTCAGGCATGGTCCCTTTAAAAATACCAAAAACACATCTCAAATCTCTTCACCAAAGCATCTTTCCACATTCCCACAGGCAAACTATACATTGCAAATTGACCGTATAGCCATGGGCTCACCACTCGGTATTATGTTCGCAAATTCCTTTTTATGACATCATCCATTGAGAGCACCATTCAACAAAGACTGCAGCAAGATAACAATATATTCAAAAATAACAATGACAACGACATAATCTTATATCACAGAAATCATATTTCAACGGCACATAAAATAGACAAAGTTGTCCTCCAACAAATCAGAAAAAGAAATGTTACACCAATTAGTGATACTGACACAGACGTGAAGTCAATATAAGAACTAGTAGTTAGAAATTGCGTGAAGTTCTTGTAAATTAATCAGAATGCGTAAATTATTAAAATGGTTGTAAACTCATGTGACACATTTACAAGCAGTTCGGTAGCTATATAAGCAACGCCGAGCAAGATTTGAGACACACGAGGACAGGGAGACACACACGAGAGAGAGGAGAACAGGTAAGATGAAGACGGAATACAGTTGACGTAGAAGTTGTAAATGTGATTTACGTAGTTATTTAGATTAATTTATTGTTTCTATTACTGCTGGTATTAAATAAACTTTCAAACTAGTTTGCCTTTAAAGTAGTTGTGCTCATCTATCGGAAATCTTGGACCTACAGATAAACAAACTCTTGACTATCGTTAGAAGCAACAATACGGTGTTGGAGATATACCGAGTATTGAAGCTATAACATCGCTGTTGGTAGTTACGAGGTCGAAGAGGTTACAACACTGGTGTTAGAAGTGGGATCTTCAGGAGATTACCCACTGGTGACAGGAGTAAGAATTTGATAGCTGGAAACTCACTGCAGTAAAGAATAACAGGGCTAAAGAACTCAATGTAATTAGTCTGACAATAGAAGCTTAATTATTGACGATTAGTTGTATTCCGTGATTTACTGGTTGATTAGTTATTGTGCTGTAATCTAACGATTTTAACGATTGAATAATCGAGTGATTGATCACAGCAATACACACAAGGGATTGCCAGCACTGTTTTCTTTCTAATAAAGTGCATCTGAATTAAGTCTGTTCCGGTGTCAAGAATCCACGTAGAAAGAAATAACCATACCCTACAAGTTCAAGGGGTCGGTTATTAACAATACTAATAAAATAAAACTCAGGATATCATGTAATCATGTAATATTTTGAAAAAAGTTATTTATTTTTTCAAACTATTACAGAGTAATTGTATAAATCCAAATATTGCGCAATTTTTTGTAGAATGAATTTGATATTATTGCGTATGAAAAGTTTGATTTAGTGGAGGGTCATAACATTATAAAGTTTATTTTGGGGAGGGAAACATCTAAAACGGTTTGGAAACGTTACTGTTGAACATATGGTAGAAGTGATAGGATATGGTAATTCCAGTTTAAAATTTCATGAGCAGGGATCAAGAATTTTTATAAATATAACAAAATAGACATCGTTTTTATAATAATAATAATTAATATTATTATTATCAACTTAATAAAAGATTTTTAGTGGGATATTTACAAAACAGTAGCTTAAAGTTTATTGACAATTTCATAGAAAACAAATGGCAATCCTGCAATTCGTTTTTTATTAGTAACAAAATCTGATTTTAAGAATTTTTTGGAATGAACTGATATTTTACACAAATATTATTTTAGTTTGTAACAAAATCTTGTTGTAAAAGAAATGTTTATAAAATATTTGAAAAGTTGGTTTCTGCGTTAAGTCATTTAGGCATGCATCAGGAAAAAAAGAATAATTTTGCGAGACGATGCGAGATTAAGATATGCATAGAGGGAATCAGTACGCATTCGTAAACGTCGATGCGGATTTAAAAGTAATAAACATGCATTATGCATTGAATATCTGTCAAAATTCTATGAATATAAATGATACTTTTTTCACGTGTTTATTCACTCTACCAATAAATTATAAACTGAATGAATTGTCTATTTGTTTAAAACCGACAAATGTAAAACAAAATGATCTGCTTAAAAATTACGCATAGTTTTACAACAAACACACTCTCAAACACCGACACACGCAGACTCACACACATAGACTCACACTCACTCACTCACTCACTCACTCACTCACTCACTCACTCACTCACTCACTCACTCACTCACTCACTCACTCACTCAAACTCACTTTCTCTCTCTCTCTTTCTCTCTCTCTCTCGTTATTTAGCACTCACATCCACTTAAGCGAATCGAATAAGTAAGAATTGTAGAAAGAAGTTGTCCTGTTGTAGTTCCAACACCGTGGATTTAAACAAAGAAAAGTTTAATGAAAAAAATAAAAAAATGTCAAAACACACGACATCATTGAAGAAATACAATAAATTTAACATTAAAAAAATATTTGAAACTAATTAAAAATTTGAATAGAAACTGTGAAGACATTTTATTTAATTAGGAGCAAACGGATTGAGATGTCGGAATATGAATGTTAGAGCATGCAATTATGTTGAATTATTTTATAATTGCACCAGTTCGAAACCATCTAGCTATAATATACGGAGACTTTAATGCTTGTATGATTCGGTTGCTGTTGAGTTGCTTGAGGTATCTAGTTTTTTTGTTTGTCTAATTGAGTTTCGGTCCAACTTATGTTAATGGAGAGACGTTGGACCTTTTTGTTTCCTGCGATGATTTTCCGACAATTTCGGTCAATGTTTTTTCTTGAGGTTCTTCGTCGGATCACTTCTTGGTTGAAGTGGGTTTTTTCGGTTGTATTTGAAACATTAACTATTAATAAATTTCTTCGTTCATAGAAGCAATTGGATGGATAGCGAAATTTTTTTGTCGCTAATGCTTGTCTCCAACATTAGCATGCTATAAAAACGACTGATCCATGGTCTGCCTTGCAAATGTTTTGTGGCATCATGTCATCGACCATCGAAAGGGTTGTTCCAATACATCTTGTAACAGCTAGACTGGCATCTGGTGCACCTTATTTTGATTTTGGCTGCAGATTGATGAAAAGAAAATGCTGTAAACTTAAAAGGACTTTCAAGCAAAATCATCCAATTTGGCTGCTTGGAATCGCACTTTTGATGAAAGAACTAAATCGTGCTCACAGAATGGAGAAAAGTATTAGAGGAAGTTGGTTATAAATAATTAGACTCATACTAAAGTGCTTTGGAATGTCATCAACAAGATCATTTTCCCGGTTGAGGGAAATCGATTGTTTCTTATAATTTTGCTGGGTTCTTTAATGATAAAATTTTTTGTATTTGCCAATCGTCAGTTGTTCACTATCTACTTGTTTTTGGCTCTTCTTTTTTAGTCAAATTCAAGAGTTTTTCAGGTTGTTCATTAGAAGAGATTACTGAGACAATCATGAGTTTTTCTACTTAGTCTTGTCATCTTGATGCGTTGCCGACGGTTGTTTATTAAGAAATGTGTTCAGCTATTTGTTCCATTTTTGACTTTTTACCTAATTTGTGTTTGGAAAAGGAGACCTTCCCATCTGCTTTTAAACATGAGGTTGTCAAACCATTGCTGAAAAAAACATATCTTGTCAAAAATAAAATAAGCAATTATCGGCCGTTTCGAATCTTTTATTGTTTTTCGAATGTTATGGAGCGAATTGTTGCTAAACGACTTTTTTCTTATGTATCTCATGTCGATATGTCAATTTGCGTAGCGTAAGTTCTTTTCTAAAAAAAAACTGTATTTGTTAATCTGAAATGATTTGAGTCATATTTAGTGGGTTGTAATCAGCAATTTGTTTTAATTAATTAAAATGCGCGTTGATGAGGTGCAGTTTGGTGTCCTTCATGGTTCAGTTCTGGGTCAGTTGTTTTTGTTGTGTACTGCAGAAGTTGCTATAGTTTACCTTTACTACGTGAGCTACACTGGCAACCAGTTTTCATGCATATATTGTTTATAATTGCTATCTTGGTCCACAGATTTGTAAATGGCAATGCCCCGTCCAATTTAATGAATAAAAATTTTGCTTATGAACTCAGCAAAATTGATAATGTACTGAAATTCGTCAAACGAAAAATTGCAAAATTAAATTTTGAATTAACAACGCCAACATTGCTGTGATATCCTAATTCACTGCATATCGGATAATCTCAACCCAATATCTATATATGGCAATATTCAAAGGCATACGTGTGATGCTTTGTTTAAATGTGCATGTGTATTTTGTGAGCCACCTATCAATCTACCTACCTACTAGAGCCCCAGCGGATATCCGCAATGTGGTTTCAAACCGCGGTTACCGCACCACAACCGCGGTTGTGGATAAAAAATTCTCAAAACTCTATATATATATATATTTGAGCATCTGATCACATACAAAACGTATCAATACGAACACCGAAGATAAGATGGTATAAGAATACCGAAGAAAGCTTTTTTGTTCTATCATGCAAAAAATAAACACAAATTTTGGATTTGAACTAAAGAAATTTGAAAATGATTTACAATCAACAGTTAGAAAAATCGAAAAATTAAACAGAAAGTTAACTAATGCCGAACATGCTGTTATTTTCATCAATAATTGAATTTCTGACTGTCTTAATGCAATATATATATATATATATATATATATATATGTATATATATATATATATAAATATATATATATATATATATATATATATATATATATATTATTAGTAAACCATTACCCGCCATAGGCCAAACGTACGCTTCGTCTCTCTCACGAGATTCGTCAGTAGCCTGCCGAATAAGGTTTAAGATAACACAACTCAATTATGGTAACCAAGAAACTCAAATTGAGGTGTCGCGAACAATAGGTAAGAACAACATCGCGTTGTTACAAGGTTTAAGAACCCATTCAGTCGCTAGAGGTATTATTGGTAAACCATTACCCGCCATATATATATATATATATATATATATATATATATATATATATATATATATATATATATATATATTAATTTATTTATATATATATACATATATGTTTTGCTTTTATGCTATGTTTGAATTTGTTTTGATGTAGGTGTGGTTCAAGGTTTATTTATGATCATCATTTATTATAACAATAGTGGAGTCATAGATTAAACTGATTACATATTATTATATTTTCCGATATTATAGATTTTAAAAAAATCTTAATTTAATAATAAATCTTAATTATAATACATCTAAACAAATTTGATACCAAAAAATAACAAAAAAGTATAAAAAATAGAAAAGTACAAATTAGAGAGCCATGTACAAATAGACAGATGTCGCCTGCTCACTCTATCACGCTTGGCCGATCTTCAACAAATTCTATTAATATTTTTTGTGACAACGGTCCTCATTCAAAACAGATTACAATGCTCTTTATAACATTGCTAATCAAAAATTCACTTACAACTAGTAAAATATCATGTTTTAATTGTTAGTGAATTACAATTTTTCTTTCTTTGAAAAAAAAAATTTAAAAATTATTTTATAAATTTTACAACCTTATGTATATCAATATTAATAGATAAAAAACACAGGAAACATTATAAAAATTGAAAAATTAAAATTTGTAGACAAAGTTATGATAAATAATTTTTGCAATATATATTAATAAAATAATTATATTCCTGCATTTACCTAATATTTTATATTTGAAATTCGTGAAGATTCACTGCAATAGAATATGTTTTATAGCTATCTGCTACAGTACACATGAAAACTTTTACAAGGCGAAAATTTATTTAGACAGTTCATGTACTATAACAAAAAAATACACTCCCTGGAACAATTAATTTTAACTAGAATTAAAAGGTTAAAAGGTTATTCTATCTTTTGCATTTGTTTCAGAGGTTTCAACGAAAAACAAAACACGCATCACGCACATTGCACGTGATAGGCGGGAATTTTTTGTATTCGAGCCAAGGCACTGCAACAGCAAGACCAGGCACCTTTAACCATTGAGCCATCGATACTTCAATCTCATTCTAAACTAAAGCAAAAAATTAATAGATAACAACACCAGCGAGTTAATTTATTAAAGTTTATTTTTATTCTTCAATTATAAAGACAAAAAATAATCAACGCATGCCTTTTTTTATAATATATTAAACAATATACTACAATAATACAAGAATACAACAATAGTAGAATTAACAAAATATAATATGACCAGCAAACCCCACTCGCAGTGACTTAAAAATTTTATAGGCAAATAGGCAAATCCTGCAAAGGCTATACGTACTGAGCCGTGAAAACTAATCAGCTAGGATATTCGTTGAGACTGATTTTTAGCCAGGCTCTCACACCTACATACCACATAGCAACAAATTTGAATAAGTTCATCCCAATCTACATATATGAAAGATATCTTAAACTCTACATTAGAACTTATCATTATTTTCGAGCAAGCAGTATGGTAGACACTCTTCACCGTTGAACTCGCAGAGTGTACAGAAAACCGCATTATTAACACAATGTGCAATAATAACACACAAAAAAAACATAAAAAGATACACAAATAATTTGAAAAAGCTGCTACAAGTATAAGATGAAATGTATAAACAATTACCTATTGGAGTCCTTTTTGCCAATCTCTATTTGGTGCTATTTATGAAACAGTTTTTAAAAGATTAATTAACCCAATATTTATCGTCTTTTCACTGCTATTGCTCAGACAAAAGTGAAAATATAAAAATACAAATGAAGTACAAATTCTGAATATATTCAAAGTTTAAAACAAAAGCCTACGTTAAGACGACAAACATCAAGCTTGAAAGGTTTTGATTAGTGACCTGACATGTAAGAACAGAGTAATTGTAACCGCAATGTTTCAATGTTTAAAAATGAATTAAACATTTATGACTAGATTAACAATGACCGTGACGACAATAATAATGATGACAGGAGAAATGCTTATAGAATGGCTAGATTCGTTCCATAGTTTGTTGAAACCCCGATATTTTAGCTCTAATAAAACAAATTATGGCAACAAGAATTTGGTTAGAAATATTGAGAATCGTAATAAAAAAACTATCGCAAATACGGTCGGTCAGTACGAGCACATTAAGTAGGCTACACCATCTCTCCACACGACCAAAGTGCGTTTCTGTGAACACCCAACTCGTTTTAGACTAGACGCGTTTCGTCCCTTATGGAACTCATCGACTTTAAACACTAACATAACGCAATTATTATCTTAGTAGACAACATTGCAAACTAAGGTGTTTTTTGGTCGTGATAAGAGATGGTGAGAAGTCAACAACGAATAATGCATCTTTTCCGTGAGTTAGAAGCTAAAAACAGTCTAGTGGAAAGCTCAATCGTAAACTTTCAAAAGCTAAAAATGTGGTAGATTTTATCATATATTGCATCAATTATGGTCTCCTTTCAGCCTATATATATATATATATATATATATACACATATACATATACAACATGTAATAATATCACAAAATCTATTTATTACACTAATTATGGTAAAGGTTACCAAAAAAGCTTTTATGTAAATGTATATATAAAAAATACAGTCTAAAATAATTAGAAATTTTATTATTAATTTAAATAAATTGAATAATATTGATAAAATAATTGTTTGAAAAATTGAAAAACTTACAAACTTAACAATGCGGGAAATGCGGTGATTAATAACTGTATAAATACGACGGTCTGAACCCAAATATATGTATGTATATATATATATATATATATATATATATATATATATATATATAATTATTAAATGTAGGAAGGAAAGAGACCAGTAAACAGTATTGTGGATATCTATATATATTTTACAAATATGTTTATATACACACATCCATTAACAAACACACAAAGAAACTAACAGGTAAATGAGCATCTATAAGTCGGTTTTTGTCGTATTGACACACACACTCTCATATTACATATATATATATATATATATATATATATATATATATACATATTTATTTATGTTATATATATATATATATATATATACATGATTATATTGTATAATTACATGTATGTGTAAAGCCTGTTCAAACGGCACGAGTCTTTTTAGAAGTCAACAATGGTTGGTTTTGTCTGCTTCGCTTGTTTTATTTCGTTTTATTTGAACGCTGTGTCATCAAAGGAGAATTTAAGTTGTCTCGTTGAGGGTTGCGACAATGAAGGAAAGTGGGTTCAACTGCTTTCATACAATTTTTTTTTATTTATTCATTTCAACAATTTAATGATTGATTGTTTATAAAACTATTTCCGTTCAAATCTGACAACTATTGTTATTGTTATGATATTCAAACGGTGATACTCAAGTTTTTTTTTAGCTTTTTAAGGATGCCTTAGGATAGAATTTCGCTTAAAAGTTAGTTTGTGTTACACACTGTAAACATAATATACTCATTTGATTATATAGTAATTATTGTATAAGTATTTATGTAACTTGTATATACTAGATTGATGTATGGTTCTTATTTTATATAAACAATCAATAATCGAATATATTTACCTACTATTCATTCAACATTCAATAAAACTTGCGCATTAAAAGACTAAAGCTAAAGATCTTCGCGTTTGAACGTGGTTTAGAAATTACCACTTCTACACACTTAATTATGATATTTAATTCACGTTAAGTGAATACATTTATTAGAAACACGTTAAGTGGTTATTAATGAGCTACGAAGATCATTTGTCTATTTAGGATTTTTGTAGAAAATTTTTGCCCACGTCATTGTTTTCTTCTATTGAGATTCATTAGTTAAGATGATTTAAACTTTTAAATTAAAGTTGCCGTACGTTGTTGTATAATTGATAAAAATTAATTTAGCATTCATTTGATTGAAGCGTATAGATGTGTTTAAAATAAAGAAATGAATACTTACATCATATTAGAGTTCGGTTAATTAGAAGGAAATAATAATTATCAAAAGATAACCATCATTAAATGATTAAATGAACTACTTTTTGGCTCACTCACGCATGCAAGTAGATTGATTGAACGACAAAAATATCAAACAATATATTGAAATTGTTGCATGTGAATTTATTTTTTGTTAAACTTACAAGCACTGACAAGCTGGTGTCAAACGATGTTATAAGTTTTTACATTTTTTCTAACATTCATTTTCGAAATGTTTCAAATGTCATTCAAAATAGGTTCAATTTTTGTTTATTCATAATCAATGTAATAAAACAATTCATTGAACTTTGCCATTACGATTTCGATACGTTACAACTTTGTAGTGGCAGTAAGTTGTGTGGAAAACTTTGAATTTTTTCATTTGATTTTGGATTAAATTGGTTGCACAATTAGAAGCTGGAAAAACCAAAAAGCGTGAGTTTTCGGATGGTCTTTGAAATGTTTGAATACACCAACTCAATATCTCTATGTTCAAAGCATTTTTTGTCAAATTTTGAATTATAACACCTTCTGCTTGCTCTCCCAATGCATGCACTCTACCATTAAGCTGTGTTGATTACAACTGGAAAGAACCCCGCAAAAATAATTCTGACGTTTGAACGTTTTAATGCGTCATCGACTAAACATTTTCATTATTCATTCAATTCATACGATTTAATTTGTTGGACGCTATTACTTCATTTTGCAAGTGCTAACAAACTAAATTGACAGAATTTTAAAACTTTCATAAATTATTGGAAAATTGTAATTTGGTCTAATTTTAATATTTCTAATTAGATGCTTGAAGGTGAATGAAGTCGTCGTTGAAGGAGGTAGCGGCAGACGAGAAGTTCATGGAAGCTGGATGAAGTGTAATTGTCCACTTCCAACTGGCGGACCGACGTGCAGTCAAAGTGACAACTTAATTCTTAATCTTTGAATCAAATAAATTTTGTTCATATCAAACATACAATTTAAAAGTTCACAGACAAACCAAAATTATTATTTTAAATCTATTATAGTTTGTTATCATTGATTTGAAAAAAAGCATTACGTTGTTATTATAAATGTAAAACTCACTACTTGCCGTGGTAAGTATTGGCATGACATAGTTGGTGACATTGTTGACATGACACTGTTGGTGTCACTGAAATGAAATTGTTATTGATGATGTTGTTGTATGAAGTTTTGGTTGAACTAACATTATGATGTTTTGAAAAAGTTAGATGATTAACTTTCGAAACAAAGTTGACTAATCATAACAACACAGAAGGTAGTTAACAATTTCAAAAAACATGAAGAAAGGTTTATGAAAATAAATCTTTAACTTTTACCATAAAGTATATTTCACTTACATATTTACATTTTGATTTTAATATATTTTTTATAACAATCCAAATACCAACTTTGCTATATATTTTACAACGAAAATGAAAAGTAAAATTGCCATTCAGAAGTTACAATAAAAAAAGTTTCAATGAATTAAAAAATAGCTCACGAATTTAACATTAAAAGTATTTTAAATAATTGGCTGTGGTAGTCGAGTCAGAAGGCAAAAAAGATTGAGAAACCATTTTATAGATCGTTTAAGACATTAATTGATACGTTAGCTACCATAGATCATTAGTTTTTACATGAAGTTATAAATCTGGTTCAACAACAAAATTTTTATATTTCGTTTATTTAAAAAAAAAAACAAACAAAAATCAATAATTTTTAGTCTGAATTTTAGCAGTAGTTTGGGACCATTGAAGTGTACATTGTTCTACTTTTGTTTGATGCGAAAAACTGGACGAGTTTGGTTGACTAAATTGGACAGTAAAATCCGTGAAAGATGGCAGAAACTAATTTGACAACTGTTAAAAAATGAAAATTGAAACACAACATCTGTGGAGATTATCAAAATTCAAACTTAAAAAGCTTTCCAAAATATTTGCGATTGTTTGAATTGGTGATCCAACTAATCTCTTTTAAAGTTTATATTGATTTGTTGCTGCAATGTAAAACACGAGTTGTGTATAGTGATTTGTAGATGCTTTTGTGCAAATGGGATAAAATTTATTCAAGGTACCTTTGAAAACATTTTGGCGATGTTTGAAATGTGATACTTAAATGTTAATTTATGGGCACAATGTTGCTGTCGTCGATGCTAATCTCATATGATTCCCTGTGATTGAAGTACTGTGTTGGATCAAAACTTATAAACTGGGTTTTTTAACGCCTATGAAATGTTTATTTTTTACAAGTGGTAATATATGATAAAACTTAATAATTTTTATAGCATTATTTTTACTGGCTAACAAAAAGTTGTTTGCCTTCCAGAATTAAATACAAAACTTCCAAGATTCCATGGAGATGGGTATTTGAAAATGTTTGGACTACCCAGCACGGCCTTTCAAAAAATAAATATCACATTAGAAATTAAAGCGGATGCTCATTATGGATTACTTTTATTTGCAACTTCAGGATCATTCTCTGAAAAGTATTATAAAGATTTTATGGCAGTGTCACTGGTGTCCGGTCATGTCCAATTCAGGTTGCTGTTTTTTCTATTTTAGATATTCTGTTATCCATATAACATAATTACATTTATTTGCAGTAAAATTTTTATTTTGTCAACCTATTTAATGGCTTGCCGATTTAGCGGTGAACTTGACAAACAAACCTCTTTAAGTTCAAACTGCAAAATACTCGCTGATTGAAATGGTCACGTTTATAGTTTTTCATGAATGATTTGCAGTTTTGTGATTACTACAAAACAGCAAGTGCATTCATGTATGCCGGTTCATGCGGTATTTCATTCAGTCAATTTAAAAAATTATTTTCGAGTGCAGGTTTGATATGGGTGGGTATGCAATCAATTATTATTGCTATAAAATATTGTTGTAACACATTGACGCTCGTTACTACCATCACTAATGTTATAACTTCATTAATCTCTATATTTCCAACTTAAGTGTTCTAGCTTCCAGCGATCGTTATGTTATCAATATTTCGTAGGTTCAAGATTTCAGATAGATGAACACAACTGCTTCAAACACAAACTTGGTTGAACGTTTATTCGAATGCCAACAGTAATAGAAACACTATATTTATCCAAGCAACTTCATAAATCATATTTACGACTTTGCTTCAAACCTCGCTGGAAACCTCTTTTCCACAAATCCTTATATAGCCTCTACATTGGATTTTAGATATATCTTTACATTCCTCTGTGGTTTACAATCTAAAAATTACAAACATTGCAAAGATTAAAATAATTAAGAAAATAAATTATATAGCGCAATTTGATCGTTCCAGCGGTTAAAACATTACCCCACCTTAGCTTGTTAGTCCTTAACATAGACGTTATTTCCTTATTTCAATGAATTATCCCCTATAATCTATTCAAATAGATTATCCTCTATAATCTATTCAAATAGATTATCCCCTATAATCTATTCAAATAGATTATCCCCTATAATCTATTCAAATGGACTACTTTCATCTTTGTCCATTTTCTTCCATGATCATAGGTTCTGACTGTACATCACATCATTTATCATGTTAATGACCCAGTTCGGATATTTCTAATTTCTTGGGAGTTTCACTTGGCATCTCCTTTTTATGCGCTGTAGGCTGTACAAACAGACCAGGCTTTTGCTCTTGAAACCTGCGTTGTTTCTTTTTCGCTCACACCACGTATCCGTTGTTTGAACGTTTATTCGAATGCCAACAGTAATGGAAACACCAAACTAATCTAGGTAGCTACATATATCACATCAAGACTTCGCTTCAAACCTCGCTGAAAACCTCTCCTTTTTTCACAAATCTTTATATAGCCTCTACAGTAGAGTTTTAGCATGTATTCGATATCTCCTCTATGGTTTACAATCAGAAAATTACAAACATAACAGAGATAAAAATAATTAGGATAGCAAATAATATAGCGCAATTTGATCATTCCAGCGGTTATTACAATATCTTATTTAGTGAAGCTTATTCAATTACAAGTTGAGGTATTTAAGGAACAAATAATTTAACAGCGTTCCACTTTCTTCTTTTCTGCCTCGACATAAAAATAGACCTTGGTAATTTTTTGTTATTTTTAATGATTGTTCCTCGGTTATATTTTTATTTCATAAAAATTATAAAGACTATTGCAATAAAAATTTGAAAGTATTTTGTCAATTGTACTAAATGTTTGGCTACACTATATATCTTACGTTAGTCATATTTGAAAATTTTACTGCATGTGCATGCACGTACATCGTGCAACGCTCACACATCCACTCATTCACAAATACAACGTTTGAACAGATATCCTTCCATATATTTGTTTATGTTTTACGTTTTATGCATCCATCAACCCTATTTTAAAGAATTTTTATTATTAACGAAAACAGCAGGCAACTTGCATCTACGCAGTGAATAAGTTGATAAAAATAAGTGAAGATTTTTATTTTGAACAACATTTTAATACTTTTAAAAAAGCACTCATGGACTCTTGTATGCAGCGTATCGAATCAAGCCATGAATAGGAACGCCTTTAATTTTTATCTAAAGTAACATCCGCTTTTAGTCGTGATGCCATTAAACGTGACACAAAATATAGTGCCTAAGAAGTTGCCTAAGAAGTTCACTTTTGAATCGTGTTTCAAATTTTTTTATCTAGATAAAAATCTGGATTTAAAAGTTAAAAAAACATATTAGCGCCAACGTTGAACATGTTAACAGATTCACAAAACTGTGCACCTGGTGATACATTGATGACTTGGTAGTTTTCATTCCACTTATTAAATTACGTGGATACATTCGTTGCGCTGATTTGATTTTTCGATCTGTTATTATTCCCATGCGGTGGATGAAAAATAAAGAGTGCAACATTAGCGCAAATGTTTTTTCTTTGTTTGCTCTTGACTGGCTGATCGTTTTTGATGGAAAAAATGTTTTGCTGAGTCCAATTGAAAGATGACTTGCAATCAAACTTTATAAACATTTCACCTCGATCTATTGCCAAAAGTTTGCCAGCTAATTTATTTTGTAAGTTGAACAGAAAATTAACCAAATGTTTGTTTGATCAGTTATTCAATTAATAAATGTATTAATCAATTCATCCATTAAATATACAATTTTAAAATAAATTTCGTGCCGATGATAATTTTTTTAAAATTTCATGTCAAAGAAAATTTTTTTAAATGAATTTCATGCCAAAATTCATTTTTAAAATATTATTGAATAAATCAGATATAATAATTTATGATATAAAACTTTAAGTTTTAAAATTTTGTTATTCCTACATGTTGCCTCAACAATCTAAAAAGTGGCGTGTCATCAACGCGGGCTCATTATTGATAGGTTGATTGATTGGTTGGTTGTCAGGGGTGGATCATCAATGTTGGGTTAGGGTTATGTAGGTCATGAATGGAGGTTATGAATTGAGGTCATGAGTAGAGGTCATAGCTTGTAGGTTATGAATGGAGGTCATGGATGGAGGTCATGAATGGAGGTCATGAATGAAAGTCATAACTTGTAAGTCATCAACTGGGAATCATCATTGTGGGGTCATTAAAAGGTCGACTTACGTCCAGGCTTGCCCGCGCAGGCCTGGTTCGTGCAGTTATGCAGAAGCGTGTACCATTCAGGCGGCGTTTTGGCCTGCGTTGATTCTGATTGTTCTTAAATTTAGTCTAAAATAAAAAGGTCTGCTCAGGCACGTCTGAACGCGATCCAATCCTGCTGCTAGCTGTTGCCTGCAAAACAAAACGTGTCAGTTTTTCAGTTTAGTTATTCTTTCTAGTGTGATATAATATGAGTAGAGAGCAGGCCTTACACAAAATCTTTCCACAGAGTTTCAAATCGTAGTCAAATCGTATGTTGACTTTTAAAACAATGAATAAAATAATAATAATTCACTCAGCAAAATACAAGACTTTTTTGGGGCTTATAATGTCAAATTTTCTTTTGTTTGGCCGGCGAGTTGGCTCAGTGGTTCAAATGCGCCCTGAGTCAAACATCTCAATTGCTATCATATACTCAGCGTATATGATGCGGTGCTTGCGCGTGCAGCGTGCACATAAGATACATGTGCACGTCGTGTGAAAAGGATGAACAGCCTTTGTGGCGAAGATGGCTGATTCATATCAATGGATGAAGATATGAAGAACATAATAAAGATATATAGATAGATAATATATCTGTAACATTGTAAGTGGTTCTGCGTGTGCCAGAGCTGCAATAATAAAGACTTAAAAGACACTACCTTTTCGTTAAAACAACGACTTTTATCACAAATCACGCTTACATCAGACAATTTAAAAAGTTCTTTTGTCCACTTTTTTAAAAAATGTTTTCATCCTATTTATTATTTTTAATTGTTTAGAAAAATTTATGAAAAATATATTTACGAAAATGAACCCCAAAAATTCTATCGACAGGTTTGATTGTGGGTCGGGGATAGTTACGATTCGAAGTTTAAACAAAATTCTCGCTAACAACTGGAACACCTTAGAAATAGGACGGATAAATAAAATCGGCTGGCTGAAGTTGAACGACGGAATTAAGTTGATGGCGAAATCAAAAGTAATTTTTTCGAAGAGATTACAATTTTGAAATTCTAAACTCCAACTTAACTTTTAAAAGTTAAAATTGTATAAATAAACAGAGACAAACTTTTTTCAGGGACAATTTTCCAAGATTAGTCTGAAGAAAGAATTTTATATTGGTGGCCATCCGAACGTTTCACATTTCGGCGAAGTGGCACTGACGACACACGGCATGGTCGGTTGCATCAGGAAGATCTTCATGGATGGCGTTAAACTCGACATGAGAAAAACTGATAACATCAAAGGCGATGCATTGGATGGATGGAATGTCGGTTGGTAAAAAATAAATAAATATGAAACATCATTAAGTTATACGTTTCTAAATAATTTTAAATGTAAGTTTTTTAATTCACCTGTGTTTTCATTTTTCCTTGCAAATTATTTTATTAGCGTGTGCTGAATAACGATATTTAATCTTCCTTAATGAGCTGAAGTTTAAAAAGTTGCAGATGTTAAATACAAAACTACATTGATATATACAGATCAGTTATAACAAACAACAACATTGTTGAGCTGCTGTTATCGTTGAGCTGTTGTTGTTGAGCTGTTGTTGTTGCTTGTGTTGTTGCTGGTATTAACTGAATTGCCGTTATCATCATTGTTTTGTTGTTCTTTTGCTTTCTTAATTTTGTTTAGTCGATTTTTGCGATTTTAGTCGTTGTTGACGAGCGAATTAGATGATCATCACCTAATAATTGTTCGACGTGGATAACTATTTATGTTTTTTTTTATTTGCTTGATTTGCTTTGAAAAGTTTACTTAATTTGTTTGTTTGTTTAATTTTTTAACACAATTAATTTGATCTGTTGAAGATAATTGCATTGAAAACAAGTGCCATGCAACACAATGCTTGAATGGAGGTAGCTGTTCCTACGACGAGCTTACCGACAGCATCGTCTGCTGGTGCGCCGTCGGCTGGAGAGGCCCTCGTTGCGAAATCGGTAGCAATTATTGTCGTAAATCAGTTCTCCGATGTTTTCATTAATTGTTTTTAATTCATTATTGAATAGCAAGCTCGGGTCCAATATTAAGATTCAACAGAAGTTCGTACTTATTACTGAATCAGCTAGCGATCTTTGGACTACGACAGAGCAATTTTATTGAAATAACTTTCAGAAACGAACAAAATTACGGTCTATTATTTTTCATTGGGATGCTTCAAAATGTTATAGGAGACTATGTAATAATGTCATTAAATGATGGCTACTTATGCTTGGTCTACAATTTAGGAAGTGGCATCTTCAGTTTGAAGTAAATATGTATTTTTGATGGTACCATTAATTAGTTTGGCAGTCATTGGTGCGTGAATAAAACTTAAAAAAAAACATCTTTATATGTTCAAATTACAGAAGTAAATTTAGAATGCAGCGCAATATTTGGCACACAGTGCACCTCAACCGATCTCAAAAGTCTGTAGAAATGGTGGTAGATTCAGTCGACAGCACGTCAGTCACGTCTCCAGGAAGATTCTTTGAACTGACTCTCGGTAAGGATCATGTTATTTATGTTGGCGGCCATCCTGACATCGATTCCATGCCTAGAGAAGTCAATGTGGATGAAGGTTTCCAAGGTTGCATACGAAATGTAAGTCTTTCGTTTGGTCAAGCTGGTTTGCACTAACATGTTTATTCTAATTGTAAAAGTAGATCAGAAAAATTTTTTCAAATGTGCTCAATTCAATTGAAAATTTGTAAATTTATTATTAATTCTTTCATAAATTTATTCTTATAAATATTTGTTAATTATTAACTTTTTAATTAAAATTTGATAGCGTTTCCGGATAATTTAAAAACCATAAATTTTGTAAAAATATATCTCAAAATTTTTAAAAATTTTATACATGTTTAATAGTTTAAGAAAAAATAAATGTTTTTATTAACATTCCATGAAATATTTTTTTAAATAATTATAATCAAGTTGATTTAATTAAAATTTGTTTGAAGTTCATTAAACGCAATCAAACTATTACTTAAATTTGTTGGAAAATAAACAAAACTGATTTTCGATTTCTTGATTCATTTCAAAACATAGCAGAATTAGTGAAAAAGTTCATTTATGCATAATTTAACAATAATACTTTTAATATTTTTAAATATTATTTATTTGTTTGTTTGTTTGTCTGTTTGTTTGTCTGTTTGTTTGTTACATTATATATATTCAAGTGTTAAATGAGAAGGATGGTTTTATAACTTAGGCTAGAAAGTTTTATCATAATTTTTAATCAATTTTAAAATAATTTAAAGCGTTTTTTAGATATTTTTACAAGTTTAAACTTTATATTAAATGTTAAAAAAAAGTTGTAATCATATATCCTAACAATACTTAAGAAACACATTCAAACTGGAAAAGTTGCAATTTAATTGAAAAATTGTGCTTTGATTCAGTTTCTCGAGACTCAGAATGTGATAACGTTCCTGCCTTTAATTGTTTCAATGCTTCATTTATAAATGATGCACTTAAAATGTTTTACAAAGCTTAAATTTCTATTCAATAGTTTCCAATTTTTCCAACATCATCAAAGCATTAAATGTTTTTATCTTCTTCTTTAACTGTTCTAATCTTAATATATAGTCTTATAGATATTCTCTTTACGTAATTCAATTGCCATTGCAAAAGATGTACAAATATTACTCCGTAAGAGCTGTTAAAAAACTTGCCTCCTATGAAAGTTGCAAAACATCACATCTCACTTCATTTCAAACATTAAACGATATTCAACAGCTCAAAATAGGGAAAGAAGATATTAATTTATCGCGGAGCCACGTTGATGGCAGGAACGTGGCGAAATGTTCGGACGTGTGCGCTGGGGAAGCCTGCATGCGAGGTAGGTGCCTGGAGAATGCAGACGGCTGGTTCTCATGCCTCAGTGATTCAACCACAAACTCCAATGACTGATTTCCAAAATGATTACTTACATCAAATTAATTTTTAACGTTGAATTGGTTTTTATTCAGAAGTTTAAAAGTTTTAAATGATGTTTCTTTCTAGTTCCATAATTTTAATGATCATAAAATTCTAACTGTTGTGTTTCTAAAAATGACCAATTTTTATTATTTTATCGATTTTAATTTCATCTAAATTTATTTCTTATTAAATTTGATTAATAAATAAAGGTTTGAAATGGAATGCAATTTATTTCCGCATTTTAAACATGCTTCCTGCCTTAATTGGAGAGTTGTATAAAATGTACAGCTCTACATAAAGAAGCATTATGTGATTAAATAGACACATGAGACAAAACGGACAGCATGATGCGGCGAGATATTCAAATACAGTCGGCCCTTCTTATAGCGAACTTCTATTCAACGAAAATCTCTATAAAACGATTTTTTATGTTTCATGGAATTTTACAGATAAAACTTTCTGGCAAAACTTTTTAACCATTCCTCACCAAAAAACAATTTCTCTACAACGAACAAAATTTATAAAAGTTAAAAAACTATCCGACTAGCAAACATTCTATGAATTGATTTGAGCGGTGTTTTGTACTCCTTTAATTTCTTAGAACCATATTTTTTGTTTCTTGTTCTAGTATTCTAGCAATTTTTGCCAATTTTATCTAGATTAAATTCAATAGAATCGCAATTATCGTAGCATGGAACAAAGAATAGATTTCAATTTTATTTGCTAAAATTATACCATGTATTATTACTATCTGTTAATAAAACAAATGATTGGGAGATTGTTTGTCATAAATATAAACACCTTTTAGGCAGTATAGAATTTTTTCCCAAACAAATTCTGTATAACATAATTTCTATGTAACGAATTTTTTCCTAGAACCATAAAATTCGTAATAAGGAGATCCAGCTGTATCACAATGCCGTAAGGCGATCCATTGATTTCGACTGACAATAAACGGTGGGGTTATTGAATGAAATCGCGTTGTTTAATAAATTTTTGAGCTAAAACATTTAAAACAGTAATTATAAATATAATTTATTATCTATCAGAATTAATTACTTTCTACAAAACAGTTAATTAATAAAAATACACAAAATTAACAATTTCACTAACATTGCAAGTTACTTTAAGCTAATCAGACTAACGATAGCCATAATTTCGGTCAATCGTATGAAATTTTGAGCAGACTTTAAAAAAATTTCAATTACAAAATAAAATGTTCAATTGATGAATCTAGTTTATCTAAACAAAAATATGACTAACATCAAGTGAATGATTGTAACAAACAGGTGTTCGAAGTTTTATCGAATGACGAATATTTATTTAGTAGGTTGTCTTAAAATGATTAATCTAAAAATGGTTTTATGAATAAAATAAAAAAGATTTCGACTTTTAAAAATGTTTCATTGTATTTGTCACAACAAATTTACTTTTCAATATAACACGCTACAATTATATGTACAAGTACTAGTACAAATTATTCTCTAAACTAATCAAAAATTTAAGTTGAGGTAATTTATAAGGGTCATTAAAAAACATATTTGTAAATGTTCAAACAAATTGATAATTTTAATATTCTGTTTTCTATATTATATAGAATGTAGGGTTCAGACAAATCCTAAAACAAAAACTTAATCATTTTCCAAAAAATTAAAAAATAGTAAAAATATAGAAAATTAGCTTTGTTCCCCTTCTAAACATTGTTTAAACGAAATCAAGCCTATTGAATTATTGAGATGAAACGCTCTAAGTGAAGAAATTTATGTTTGAGGTGGCCTAATTCAAAAGTTCAGTTAAGAATTTATTTACAAAACATCCAATCTTAGTCGTAACCTAGACTGCCATATTCTTTGGAGACTCAGGTTAAAGATGCCATACAAGTCGTACATGGAATGTAATCAATACAACTACCAGTAGTCTGGCTCACTACTAACTTAGCAGATAAATTTACTTTGTTGGAAGTCACTTGATGATTGCCCAACTTTTTAGGTTATAAGACCTAAATCATTTAACGATATTAAAATAAGTTGACGTAAAAATTTGAAACATCTTTTAATTTTGATGCCAAAAGCTAAGTAATTTGAGGAATTTGGCCAATTTGAGGAGCAATCTGCTGTTAATAATTGATTATTTAATTGAGTATAAGTTAGGGCGGGGTTTTAGCAATACTTTGTTTCAAGTCAAGAAATTAAAATTAAGAGCCAGAAAAATTGACTCAATTTATTTTTAGTAGAAAACTTTTTGTAAAAAAAAACAGTCTCGATCTAGTAAAAAACTTAATATATAACTTATTGCGATAAAAAAATTGACGTCATTTTCACTTTCACGTTCCTACAACTCGCGAAGTTTACGGTATCACAATCTACCTGATCTGCTAGCATTACTTCACTTGCTTCACATTATTGGGTGGATATTTCATCTTGTTTTATCTATTTTCTTTCTAATTCAGCTTTTGTATTGATTATTGCATTACAAAATGTGGTAATTTCATTATATAAAAAGGGAATCTTAAGTGGTAGAAATCTAATACAGCATACAATCCAATCTTGCTGGTCAATCTTTAAAACGCCAGATCTATCCAGCAGAATGAGCAATATTAACAGCTTAATACATATAGTGCGAAATAACATTTTTCCTTCAATTAAAATCGGCTTCTTTGATAAATAATATAAGATTGGAAATGAGATGAAAATATATTAAATCGTTGTCTATTATAAATCATTAACGTTAACTCATCAAACAATTGATGAATAGACTTGAACAACGGAACTTTTCTGTAAAATAACTAGGCATTGTTTCAACGTTTTAATTCTTTTTCAACTTTATTGAAAGCTTTTGATTTTTTGTGGAGCGAGAAACTTTTTTAAACCGAACGTGGGCGGTACCTATGCCACATTTCAAAAGATCTTTTGTTATCGTTGTGGGACATGGACTTATAAATTTATATAATAAATCATACATATATACTATGTTTGTTTAGGTTGAATTTGCTGTAAATCAGAATGTGATAGCTCCGTTTTGTCACTGGCGGTAGAAACTGCACCGCAATCATCTGTCTTACAGGTTTCATCTGAAAGAAAAAAAAACCTTTTAAAGTATTTTATTGAACTCATTATAAGAATAACGTCATTTAAAAATTTGGTTAAATAATATTCATAGTGTAAAAAATATTACAACATTGGGTGGTTTGAAATATTATATTTACAATTTAAAATATGAGGGATGTGACGCTGTGTTAATGAGTACTTACCGTTGCGTGTTCATCAGATAATAGTAAGTTTTATTATTATTACAAAAAGCATCGGCAAAGTCAAAAATAAAACCTTAAAAAATATTTTTCATTTGTTTAATGGAATGAGGTTTTCAATAATTTCATTTTTTGTCAACAATATATTTGTTAATAACATAACTTTTTCCATTCAACTTATTTTATTTATAATAAATTTTATCCAGGGAAGGCCTGAAGAGCACGACGATCTCAAACCAGCCTGGCTATCTGAGGCCAGAAAAAAATAGTTTGAATATGCATTGATATTCTGCAAATGCATGAAATAAATCAATTAAAAATAATCAAAATGAATAGAATATAAAAAAAATGAATGAATATTTTTTAATAAATAATATAAATGTAAAATTTTATGAATTTGATGGAAAATAAAGAATGAGACCAGAATCTAAAGCGCACTGAAAATATGCGCAGGTGAGTGTGAGGGCCAACATAGGCATTCAAAGGATAGGATTTATCATAATTCGTCTAAAATCTCATATTTTACGGATTTTTATGGGATGAAATTTACAAAATAGCGTCGTCCATATAGAATAAATACCGTCGTTTTAGCTTATTGTTTACTTTTATATTTATTTGTTTTTTTCTTTATTTGTGCTATGTCAATGTAAGGGTTCCATATCATTTAGAATTTTCTTTTCTTTTTTGAAATCTTTTTTCATGTCTGTATCCAGGTTTCATGAAATAAACTAGTTTAAAAAACATAAAAAGCATCTATTTTTAGCGTGGAAGATGTGCTCCAGGGTATGTAGCGCAGTATTTTTGAGCAACTGCCTTCGTGTCTCATGCGTTCAATATGTTGTTATTATGTCATATATTTTTTTAACTTAAATATTTGCCTCCTCCTAAAATATTAATATTACAAAATCAAAAAAAATATATTTGTATTTTTGAAATAATCCAAAGTTTAATAGAAATAAATACTTGAAGTTTCCTGCCAGATATCGAGCAGACATTTCAAAAGTTCAGCATGTTTGTCAAAATCAATTTTGTTTTTGTTGATGTCGTCAGGAGAAACTGCAGGACAAACAAGCGCAGGCCCTAAGCACAAACCTAGTTGATGTGTTGTCATTTTGTTAATGTCACTTCTGTTCGACACTTTTTTCAAATGATTCAACATAAATGCCAGTGTGTCCTGTTTAATAAAACAAAATATTTTTATGTTCATTTCCTTTAGGAATAGGCCGTTGTGGAGATCTACAAGCTATTCAAATGATAATTTGTAGTGACTTAACATAAGAGTAACAATATTAAAAAATATTTTAATGTTTATTATATTAGATTAATGAAACAAAGATTTAACCTGATTAACTCGCGGCAAACACTCCAGAATACCAAGCATAAGTTGCGTGTTTCCTTCAATGTCTCCAGGCATCTGAACGCTCAGAGCATCAAGCAGCATCTCATACAAAGAGTTCGAACATAACGGCTCAGGTAACTCTCTGAAGAAATCTTTCAAAACACCTGTTTCATTTTTATTCTACCAAATTTTAATTTCATGCTGATTGGATAGTTTTTAAAATTACCATTTATTAATGAATAAATTTAAAATGTCGTTTTATTGTTGTATTTAAGATATTTTCATGGGAATGAAAACGGCTACTTCAAAGCTTAGGTAAAAAGAACTAAGAAGAGTAATGAAAGGGGTAAATGAATAGAACAAAAAAAATTCTCTTTGTATATATATATATATATATATATATATATATATATTTACAATATTCTATAAATCTACAGAACGTTTGGTGTTAATATGTTTGTAGTTCGTTTTTTCGATTTTCCGATATATCCCTACTACTACCTCACTGACTAGAAGGCTTATTTATTTATTTATTTTATTTATTTGAACAAAGCACGGGCTATTGCCCATTACTGAATTTACAGGAGAAAAAATACATAGTATTATACATGCATACCACGATACATTCGTACAATTGCTTCACAAGTATAACCACGAAGATAATGCATTATACCATGGCAGATTGAAAATAATTTCCAAAAACAATAAATTAACACTAACAGTGTCTTGAGTGTCACCATAAATGCAAACTTATAAACCAAGATATAATAAAATACTTTATCCATCTAACCCCATTAATCCCATCCTACACCTGAATAGCATAAAATTAACTACACATTTCCCATGCAATAGAAAAAATAAACAAACATTCATGCATCCATCTAATTTCCTTAACCTCCCCTACCCATATACCAACTCATATACCCACCTACTCATGAATCATTAATTATTATATCAGATAATTATATTAAAACCTAGAAATTTCATTAACTATTTACCAATCAATAAAAAAAACCAAACAATCATATGAAAAACAATAATAATAATAAGAAAGTTATGAAGTCAATATAAAATATAATTAACCTAAAAATTTATAAATGAAATACGCACATGCATTCAACCATAAAATGGGTAATGAAATAATCAATCCAAGTCAATCATACATATCCCCAGTCATTACTGATAAAAAATAAAACAAGTACATATTTTTACCTATATTTATGCTCATATTTTTACCATATGATAATTATTACATTAACCTCATAATAATGAGTATTATAAATGTTGCATAAGTAATTCTCTCATTAATCCACTCCAATCCATCCATGAAAAATTCTTATTCAATCATACTAATAGATTAAAAATCTCAAACCATTCCTACTTATCAACACACACATCCAATTGAACCGTCAGTTTAAAAGTATCACCTATATTGAAATTTAGCATCACCCCAAAACAAATCCAAACGAGATTTAAAAACACTTGTATTTGGAGAGTCAACAACAGATTGCGGGAGTCTATTCCAGTCCGCGACTACTCTGTTACAAAAAAAATATTTTCTAACATCCTTGTGAGATAAACCTGTTGACAACTTCATATGATGCCCTCTAGTTCTCCCATCATTATTGAGCAACATGAACGAATGATCAGTATCTGGATTGGCCACCAACATTTTATATAAAAAAATCAGGTCCGCTCTAGTTCTTCGATATTTCAAAGAATGCAAGTTTAATTTTTTTAACCTATCAATATACTCTAAACCATAACAAGAACGGATGGATCTAGTAGCTCTTCTTTGAACTTTTTCAATCATTTGTATTAGGTTTATGTGATGTGGGCACCAAACCTGTACCGCATACTCTAGATGTGGTATGACCAAGCCTTTGTAGAAACATAGGTAAGCTTCTTTATCAATAAGTCTAAAATGCCTGTTTATGATGCCCAACATTGTGTTGGCTAACTTAACTTTACTATATATATGATCTCTAAAAGTGAGTTTATCATCAACAAACACACCCAAGTCTTTTATTACTTTGACTACTTGGATCACTTGTTTGACCTGGGCAGAATCCCACATTTCATAAATATTATTATATTTATTTCCGAACTTCAATACGCAACATTTATCTACATTTGGAATCATACGCCAGACATTTAGCCAATTTTGCATATTGATCACATTTAGTTGCATGGACTTCAAGTCATCTGGACATTTGATAATTTTAAACATCTTTGCATCATCCGCAAAAAGATATATATTCTCACATGCTGAAGAGAGATCATTAATATAAATTGTAAACAGTAGAGGTCCCAGGATACTACCTTGGGGAACTCCACTAGTAGCATCAAACTTTGAAGACAATGCATCACCCACTCGCACCCTGAAGTTTCTCTTCTTAAGATATTCACTTATCCAAACAAGAATTTTGTTATCGAATCCATATTTCTTTAGTTTCAGTAACAAACAATTATGAGATATCTTATCAAAAGCCTTCTCGAGATCAGTATAAATGACGTGTACCTCCTCATCACAATCAACACCCATTGTAACTTTATCCAAAAATGTCAGCAACTGAAGAGTCGTCGATCGTCCGGGCAAAAACCCATATTGATTTCAGTGAAATAAATTATTCGTCAGAAAATAATTCAAAACATGGTCCTTAATAATTGATTCCATCATTTTCCAACACACAGAAGTAAGAGAAATAGGCCTGTAGTTACTAACCAAACTTTTACGTCCTTTTTTGTGTATTGGTATTACTATGCTAGCCTTCCAATCTGCTGGAATCATACCGGTATCTAGTGAACATTGAAAAATTTGCCTAACTGCAGAAACAACAACTGTTTTACTTTCTAACAATATCCGTGGATGAATATTATCAGGCCCTGCAGATTTGTTCTCATCCAATAAAGAAATCTTTTTAGACACTACGTCATCATTGAACCGCAATTCATCCATTCCGGCAACCGGAACCAATGGATATAACGAATCATTATAATTAACCTCATTGTCAAGTTTATAAACCGATGAAAAGAACTTTGCCAAAGCTTGGGCTTTTTCATCATCACCCATGAGATCTGTGTTCTGTACTCTGAGTGTTTCAACCCTGCCCACTGTTGTTATTTTCTTCTTCACCTGTTTCCAGAACAGTTTTGGGTTGTTATGATAGTTTCTGGCAATAAAATTCTGGTTATCTCTGTCCAGCTGTTTACATTCTGCTCGAACTTTATTTCTCGTAGACCTGAAACTTTTCAATAAGTCAACGTCTCCATATTTATAGATTCTTTTCCAATAGTAGTGCTTAAGCTTGATAAGTTGCCTCAGTTTAAAGTTGACATGCTTAACAACACAGCTACCACATATTTTCATAGGAACATATTTTGAAGTAGCCTCACTAATCAAAAAACAAAATTTTTGCCATAAATTTTCTACGTTGCTCTTTTGGTCTACATCCACAGTTGTATCAACAGATAACATGCTAGAAAGATATTTGTTAATTGCATCGTACTGTCCAAGATTAAAACACAACTTTTTCCTAGGTTTACTGTGCAAAATTGAACAATCAAAAATTTTAAATGAAATCAATAAGTGGTCACTTCTGCCCAGAGGAGATGAATACTGCAAATCTGATACGCAATCTTAAGACGTGATAATTAAATCGAAGGCTTACGATGCATAAACAGAGTGGTGCTATCAAATCTCATTTGGACTCAACACACTCAATCACAATTAGCCGTGAAATCCTCGACAGCAACACCAAGTAATATACCAGAACAGCAACTACACGCATCTTAAAATTGCAGAAGCAGTCCTAATTGACATCAAAAAACCAAAAATAAATATACAACAAAAAATGACAACCTCACTTCCAACCCGGCCCAAAACAACGAAAACAAAGAAGTAATAAAAATTAGCATCGTAAATAGTGACAAAGAAGAATATGATGCTATCGATGAAGAAAAGGAGACAAAAGAAACCTGACACCTAATTCGCATCAAAGTTCAATTTTACAACACCAAAGTTAATTTTTACAACGTCGAAGTTCATCTTGACAAAGTCAATATTTCCCTATATATACAACAAGGAGCACTGATGATGATTCAGTCGGAATCGAAAATGGCCTTATTTGCAGCATGAATTCGAAAAATAAGTTTATTTTAAATTTTAATAAACTAAACGTTGACCAAAAAAACTTTAGTGAGAAAAATCGAAAAAACGAACTACAAACATATTAACGCCAAACATTCGATAGAATTTATAGAATATTGTAAAAATTATGGTCTTTTACCAACATACATACATACATACATGACACGTTTCAAATGCCACACGTGCTGGCTAATGTCCCCACAGTGCCTCATTCATCATTACATTTTTTAGGCACTCCAATGATGGCCGGCGATCATCAGGACAGGTTTTTTAATAAAAAACTTTTTGAGCTAAGATTTGCCCTCGAACGTGTCTCTCTTCTCCCGGTCCACGACGCGCTGACAATCATCCGCGGCGCCCTCAGTTTGCCGAAATTGATGTATTTTTTGCGCACATCCAACTTTGTTAATGCGGCCATTTTGGGCGAATTTGAGGGTGCTCTGCGGGTGGCCCTCTCAGCAATATGTAACGTCGATATTACCGACAAGGGTTGGTCTCAGGCTCAGCTGCCGGTACGATTTGGGGGACTGGGGTTACTAAGCGTGGTTCAGCTTGCACCAATTGTTTATAAATCTTCCGCATCTGCCACGCTTGACCTACAGTCTGCCCTTCTTCGGCAATTTAGTAGCCTGCACTGTACTCCACCGACTCCAATCCAACCAACAGACCTTTCCCAGGGCAACATTTTGGAGGAAGCATATAAACGCACATTCAAAGAGTTGCTTTCCTCAAGCCCTGACTCGGCGACCTCAGCTCGCTTGCTGGCAGTTTCCAGCGAGGCGAGTTGCGGCTGGCTGAGATCTTTGCCCAATACGTCGGTGGGTACCAGATTGGACGACGAAACGGTCAGGACAGCCATTGGCTTCCGTCTGGGGTTGGCCGTTCAGAGTCGATATACATGCAGGTGCGGCACGGAGGCGGATGAACTTGGCCATCATGGTCTTGTTTGTCGTTTGGGCGGAGGTCGCCAGCAGCGACATTCAGCCATAAACGATTTTGTGTGCCGACTTTTCTCCAAGGTCTCAATTCCGGTTTTAAAGGAACCGTCGGGCATTGCGGCGCACGACGGTAAACGCCCTGACGGGTGTACCTTGATCCCTTGGAGAGCCGGCAGGTGCTTGGCGTGGGACGTTACCATTCCGGGCACCTTTGCTGAGCGCTACGTGCAGCTTACTAGCAAAGAAAGCGGTTTGGCTGCAACCAGGGCATCTGACGAGAAGATCAAAAAGTACGACGGAGCTCTCCCCTCGATGGAGTTTTTACCGATTTGTATCGAGGTCCTCGGCCCCATGGACCGTAACACCTCCGGGTTTTTCAATCGGATTTGTAAAAATATCAGTATTAGGTCAGGCGATAGTAGGGAATATTTTTTTGCTATGAATAATATCTCGTGCATTCTGCAGCGGTTTTTGCGCGTCTGTGTGTTGGAAAATGTGGAGTTGAATGCCAACGGGGTTGAGTGACGTTATAGCAAATAAAATCAAATTTAGTCAGACGCTTGGCTTTTGGTGTCATTCGTCAATGATTTGGTTTTAACATACATACATATATATATATATATATATATATATATATATATATATATATATATATATATATATATATATATGTTGGTAAAAGACCATAATTTTTACAATATTCTATAAATTCTATCGAATGTTTGGCGTTAATATGTTTGTAGTTCGTTTTTTCGATTTATAGAATATTGTAAAAATTATGGTCCATCATTCCTTTACATGTCAAAACTGATTGTCTGGAGATTTAAATTTGATTATGCAACTCCTTGGTCATCATCGACAAACATGCGCCACGAACTTAAAATATAAAAATTTTCGAATTTCTGTACCCAAGTTCTAGAATAGTTTGTCAGATGATCTACGACAAAATGGATTGACGACGTTGGCAGAGTTCAAGAAACGGCTGAAGACACATCTGCTTCAAACATTTTGCCAATGTCAACCAATGAATGAATGTTGGGCGCCAGCCAATGAGAATTATTAAATTATAATTGGTTATATATATATATATATATATATTTGCTGTTTTTTGCTGTTGATTTTGGCGTTTTTTCGAATCGTTTTCGAGTATTTTCGGTTGACTTTTGGACGGACTATTCACTTTAGATTCAGAGAATTCAATTTTTCGGTTAATATCGATATTATAGGGGTTTTTGTTAATTTTTTAAGTTGAATTTTCATTTTTTGGTATATTCGTTTTAAGCTGCGTTGTACAATATTCAGGTTGTTGGTGATTGGACAATTGCTAACATGCCGAATGCTAATGATAGAGTGTGCACTTGTTGTAAAAATAAAATTAAAAGAACTGAAAAAGAATTACAATGCAGTTCATGCAAATTTCATGTGCACACAAAGTGTGTAAACATGTCTGATTCCTATTTAACTGTGTTTAAAATGAAACATGTGAAATTTCATTGCGATGGATGTCTGGAAATTTTTGAAAATTTTGACAATGCTTTAGTAAATGTTGATAGACATTTTGTAAAATCTGCAGTTGAAATTGCTACTATTCGTGAATCAAACAAACAGCTCATTTCTGAAGTAAATGAAATGAAACAATTGTTGAATAATTTGGGAAAAGATAGTATGGCCGTCGGTACTGAGTTTGCTAAAGAAATGGATATAATAAAAAAAGAGTTGAAGGTTAGCTTTGCTGATGTTGTTAAAGGTGAATTTAAAAATGAAATAAAATCCGTCAATACCGAGGTCAAGAATGTAAGTAGGAAATTAGATGAGGAGAGTGAGCGGAAAAAGAGAGAAAATAATATATTAGTATTTGGTCTTAAGGAACAAGGTACAATAATTGAGGAAAAAAATGTTGTATTAAAAATATGTAAAGAATTGTCATTTGATTTAATTGAAAATACTAATGATTTCAAAATAAGTAGACTGGGAATAAAAGGTGAGTCACCACGGCCTATGTTGGTTGCTGTCAGAAATAGCAATACCAAAACTGCCATCATGAAAAATTTGTTCAAAATCAAATCATTTGATTCTGATTTGAATAAAATTATAATTAGACATGATTTGACACCCCAGCAAAAATTTTCGTTAAAAAAAATGATTGATAAGGCAAAGGAAAAACAGGCGAATGACCATACGGGTTTTTTATACAGGGTCAGGGGAGAGCTGGGGGAATGGAGAATAGTAAAATTCAAAAAGATGGAGTTAACTTAGAAGGTGTAAAATCATATAAATATAGTGTTGGGTTGGTTAATAATGGGGTTAAATTTGGGTTATTAAATATTAGGTCAATTATTACTAAATGGGGGGATGTATATCAATTATTAATGGAGGGTCTGGATATTTTTGTTATCGTTGAATCTTGGCATGGTTCCTCTGATCATATATCGATGAAAATGTCAATGCCACCTGGATATATGTTTGTTGATTATTTAAGAGTAAATGATCCATACCATGGGGGGTTAATAATTTTTTTCGAAATTGGTACAAATTTGAAAAAATAAATGTACCTGTTTTTTCATCATTTGAGGCACTTTGTTTTGCCTTGACAATTGATAAAGTTAAAATACTTTTTTTGGCGATGTATCGGCCTGGCTCTGTAATGATATCCTCATTATTTTTTGAGGAACTGTCTTCAATATTAGAATTTGTAACATCACTATGTGATAAGATAATTTTATTGGGTGATCTCAATATACATGTTGAGAAAAGTGATTGTGGTCACACTATCCGCTTTAATAATTTATTTGATTTGTTTCTAATGTGTAATGTCATAAATGAGCCTACGCATAATTTAGGAGGTATACTAGACCTCATCGTGTCTGGTTATCAAATGTCGGTTAATGATATCAAGAGATATTCGAGTGGGGTACACTCGGATCATAGTTTGATAACGGCGTGTTTGCCTATATCACGTCCGCTTTCTCGTAAGATGAAAAAATCAGTGCGCTCTTGGAATCGAAGTGATAAAAATAAATTGATTTCATTAATTCAAGAATCACCAATTGTTAAATTTTGTGATATTATTGATGCAAATGAAGCTGCTGAGCTATTTAATAATGAACTATTAAAAATTGCTGATGCTGGTGCACCGATTCATATGGTTGAAACAAAAATTGTGGCGACTGCACCTTGGTATGATGGTGAGTGTCGTAAGATAGGGCGTGTTTGTCGAAGGGCAGAAAGAAAGTATAGATTACATTATAGAATGGGGGACAAAAAATTGTGGGTTGAATCATTAAGGTTAAAAAAACAACTATTTCAGGGAGAAAAAAGAAAATTATTGGAAAAAATTGGTTGATAAAAATGCTAATGATCCTAAAAAGTTATGGAGAATTTTAAATAAAATTTTATGTAAAGAGTCATCAAATGATTGTACTATGACCCATACAGCAGCTAACGATTTTGTTGAATTTTTCATTAAAAAAATTGAAGGGATAAAAAACAATATATCTGTAGCTGGAGAGCCTACTATAAAGTGTAGGTCTAATGTTGACATAAAATTTTGTGAATTTTCGCGGGTATCGCAGTCTGAAGTTAGAACCTTTGTAATTAGTTCTCCGTCAACCTCTTGTATGATTGATTGTATGCCTGCTAATATTTTTAAACAATATATAGATTATTTTTTGCCTTATTTTACGGAATTAATTAATTTGTGTCTGTCAACAGGCACATTTCCAGCTGTTTATAGGCATGCAATTATTATTCCTCTTCAGAAGCATGCGTCTTTAGACATGAATGAACTTAAAAGTTTTCGACCTGTCTCGAATTTAACTTTTATTTCGAAGGTTTTTGAAAGAATTGTTCATAAACAATTTCTAAAGTATTTAAATGATAATAACTTTTTTCCGAATAATCAATCTGGTTTCAGACGCTTTCATTCGACGGAGACGGCCTTGTTACAGGTATTGTCGGAACTTTTTGAGGCTTCTGATCGCAATCAGGTCTCTCTTCTGACTCTACTTGATATGAGTGCCGCATTTGACTATGTGAATCATGATACACTGTTACGTCGATTATGTTTAAGTTACGGTGTCTGTGAATTAGCTTTGGAATTTTTCAAATCTTATTTGTGCAAACGTACCCAGCAGGTTTATTATAATAATTCTTGGTCAAATACAGTTGATGTTTTGTCTGGGGTTCCCCAGGGGTCTGTGTTAGGCCCGCTTCTTTTTACGTTATATACAGCCGATATTATGTATCTCATTGATGAATTTTCTTTAAAGGGTTTTGCTTATACAGATGATGTTCAGATAATTGCAATTGCGGCGACTGGGGAGTTTGATTTTCTGATTGAAAGAATGTTGGATTGTTTGGGTGCACTGGATGGGTGGATGGGTTTGAATGGTATAAAATTGAATCGGGAAAAAACTCAGCTGGTACCAGTTGGAACTTGGCAGCAAACCTCTAGGATTAACGTTGATTTTGTGAAAATAAGTGACATGATTATTGATTTTGGAAAAATGGCTACAGTTTTGGGTTTTAAAATAGATAAAAATCTATGTATGGGTGAACATATAAAAGTTTTGGTAAAATCTTGTTCATTTCAATTGCGGCAATTGTATCGAATTAAAAAGAGTTTGAACAGACCAACCATGGTTACTCTGATTCATTCGTTCATACATTCTAGATTGGACTGTTGTAATAGTTTGTTTTATGGTGTTTCGAAACATGAGATTGCTAAGTTGCAGAAGGTTCGGAATAGAGCTGCAAGAATTGTTGTTGGTGCTAGTCGTGTTGAACATATTAGCTTAATTCTGTCGGAATTGCATTGGTTGCCGGTCAGCAAAAGAATTGTTTTTAAAGTCTGTGTTTTGGTTTATAGATGCTTAAACGGATTGGCTCCGCAATATCTGTCCGAAATGTTGATTGACAGATCATCGATTTCTTTAAAAACTGGCCTACGATCAGATCGGGGAAATTTGTTAGTGGTCCCGGTTACTAAATTAAAGATTGCATCACGTAGTTTTGCAGTTTATGGACCAAGGCATTGGAATGAACTTCCATATTTTTTGCGCCGGTCTGGTCTGACACTTCCCCAGTTCAAGAGTCAATTGAAGACATATCATTTTCCCTTGTACATATATATATATATATATATATATATATATATATATATATATATATATATATATATATGTATATATGTATATATATATATATATATATTGTGCATCTACTCTACTTTGTTGATTCATTATTTGAATACTTAGTTTTAGAATTTTCAACATCGTTAAATATAACACTATTATGCATTTTCATTGTCGATAAATATAACACTTTTACGTGTTTTCATTACCGATGATTTCTCTGTTTCTAAAATTATTGGTAGGGAGAATTCCAATTGCCCGTTATTGAATATTTATTATCGGATGTCTTTGTTCTATGGATATGGCTAGTCGTAAATTATAATGGTTGTTATTGTAATGTAAGATTTCAACATTGCGGTCTAAGATTTGTCTAGTAATTTTTGTTTTGTGTTTCTCTTTCATGTGGTTCTTTATGGCGCCGGCTCTTACGTGTATAAAGAATAACAGGAAAGGGAAACACAAAACTAAAATTACTAAACAAATCTTAGACCCCAATGTTGAAATTTTACATTAAAATTAATGATGCACGATGTTGAAGATTGTAAAACTAAGTATTCACATTAAACAAACAATAGTTTTATTGAATTCTCATGATGAACTTGGATACTTTTTGATAATAGCAGTTTAGGAATGTCCTTTTCCGGCTTAAAAAATTAAGAGATTGCATAATCACCGGGTCTTCAGATATTTTTTAGAAGAAATTCTATTATTCGAAAAAAATTAATTTTTGTGGCCGCATTGTTTAATTAAGCAGCTTTTTGGCTACATTTTGGTTCGATACAATAAGGCGAATTAACCTAGGCTATACTTTTTTTAGATATGATCAGAACTCAACTATATTAATACAAATTATATATGAAAAAATAAGGCTTTTTTCAAGACATTATTATTAGATGAAAAAATATATTTTAAGTTTACCGTTCAGTATTTTTACGTTCTTCATTCAAACTTTTGTCTAATGTTGAGACAATCGAGACACCGGTAAAAAATAATGTAACAATGTAACTACATAAAATATAAAATCAGCGTCTCAATTTTAACAAACTCAATGACATTTTATTTTACGAAATACTTTTTTCTAAGAATTACCTATCGTTAAAATATAAAAAAATATACATTATATATATATATATATATATATATATGCATGTAATGTCTATGTGTGTGTGTGTTTGTGTGTGTGTAAAAACATATCAATGTCTTCAGATGTCTTCAGATGTAGACAATAAAATTCGCCTTTCGTACACACCAGCGTACTGCATGCTATATGCATGTTCAAACGCATGCATTTCAGGGCGTACACGCACACTTTGCTGCGAGCGTTCCGAAGTATGAGGAATGTAGACGGGTATTTCACGGCCAGTATTTTGAACGAGTTGATTTAGATTTAGCTCAAAATCATTTTAAATAGGGCTATAAAACGTGGTTAGCATTTTTTGCCACGAATTATTTTTGGAACACATTTTTAGTTAATAATTTTTTTAAAGAAAGCCATTTAATCACATTTGTCACATTTTTTAAATTAATAAACTTTAAAATAGTTTCTATTATAAAAATATCCATTAGATTTTGACATGTTCACAGCTTTTTTTATCACCAATGATTTTTATTCAATTTCATATTATTTTCTTAATAGCCAACATTGTAAGCATAAGAGAAATTAACTTTGTTAGCATAGTTATAGATAAAAATAGAAAACCAATTTTTAAGTTATAAATTGGTTAGGCAGTTTCTATTTAGAAAGTATTCATTTTTCAAATTAGAGCATTTTTCATTAATGATTAAACCTATATATGATACGTGAACTTTCAAATAAGGTACATTACAGAATATCACAAACTTTCACACAATTGTGAATTATTGCACCATTATGTTACTAATTATCAAATAAATGTTACATAAGCTATCCAAAGTATAAAATATTTTGAAATTTTTTCTTATAACATTTGTAGAAGCCAATTAATTTAAAAAAAAAAATTTTCTAATGATTTTGTCAAATAAACAAAACTTATCACGTATTAGAGCAATTATTTAACCATTATTATATTAAAAATTTATTGAATCTCCAACTTACAATTTTCTTAGTTATTTTGGCTAAAAAATAACCAATATTGCTCTTCTTTTGGTTCTTGACTTTTCTTCAGCTTTTAACACTGTTGATCATACGGTTTGATATTTTAGAAACTACTAGATCATTCTTTTAATGTTACTGATTTTTGTCTATTTTGGTTTTCTTCTTACTTCTGTGATTGTTTTTTTTCTCTTGTTCATAATGTCTAACTCTTCAACTCTTACTTTTGGGGTACTTCAAGGATCTGTCCTTGGCCCTCTTCCATTTATACTCTATACCTCTGAAAAACCTCGTATTGTTAAAACTTTTTCTTTTACTAGTCAACTGAATGCTGTAGATTCCTATATTTATACTTCTTTTACTCCATCTAATCTCAACAGTGTTCTTCATAATTTATTTCTATGTCTCTCTTCTGTTATCGCTTGGTGTGACTCTATGTATCTTAAACTAATTTGATCAAGAATTGATTGTTTGTACCTCGCTCTACGATGGTCTTCTTTATTCTACACTCAATCCTTAAAGTAAAGCTTTTATCTCTGCTGCTCGTCTATCGCTTGTGCCCCTATCTTTTTTCATATATCTCTATATTTTGTTCTCTTGCACTACCTATAGATTATGGAATAATTTTTTCAGATATATTAATTAAACCTAAACGCCTCGGGTCACGATCGTCTTCTTGTTTTCACTTATTCTTGTCAAACACTCTTATGCTAAATCTGCGTTTGTTTTCTCTGGCCTTTTTTTCTGGAACTCTCTATCTTCTTTTCTAACTACTTCTTCATAACTTACAAAGTTCCGAATTGATCTCAAGACCTATATGTTTAAAAAATTCATTGAGGAGGGTTTTTGAACATTGCGGAAAAAACCAGCCTCAGCTTTAGAAAATATTGAACAGCGTTTTTAAAATCCCACACCAATCATCTAACAAGACCTTGAGCTTATACACAAGAATAAGGGAGTTGAATTACAATTTTTCCAAATGCAACCGCCAAACAATTTTTTTTAGACTTTTGAATTAAATTTTATTAAAAAGTTTACTCAAAAAACAGTATAATTATTTTATATGTTCTAAAAATAACCAAAGATGATTAGATAATTTTTGGTTTAGTGTATACCGCTTGTGGCTGTATAAAAATAGTATTATTTTTGTCTTCGTCCAAAGATGCGAATTTATTTTTTACAACTCACAAAAAATACTTCAAGTTTGTTTACATCCTCGGTAACTTTAAAGTAGGTTTTCAAATTAATCGCAAATATAGTTCATTGGTGTTGGAATTTGTTTGTAAATTTATTTATCTGCAAATAATATGCCGTTAGATTAGATTAGAAAAATGATTGGAGTGAATACATATGCAAATTTTTCACAAGGAGTCTGGCGTTGAGTTTGAACTGAAAAATTTTCTGAAACATTTTCTGACTCACAAGGCTGGAAGCTGTATTATACGTATTTAACGCTGAAGTTCTTTTTTGAGAATGAGTACATGCATCAATTTTAAAAACTTTTATCCATTGTTATAGAAAATCCGACAACATCTACGTCTTTAACTGAATTGTATTTCATTATATTTTAACAATCGTTTCAACATTTTAAGAATTAGAACACTAAACAGGCTCACAGAGTATTTAAAAACTGTCAGTTCTGTCAGTTTAATTTGACTTAGCTAAGAATTTTTTAAGTTGAATCACTCGATAAAAAAGTTATAAAATTATGTAACTATTAGTTTGATACTTCACGCAAAAATGTATTTTTATGTTTTTTTTTATTTGCAGATAACATCAATTTATTTATTGAAAATAGTTATTTAAAAAATCCTAACTTGTGAAGACGTTGACATCTGACACTCCGTCAGGACTCAAGTCAGCCAATCGAATATTTTTTTCAAATTCCTCAATTAATTGCTGCTTTCGTTTCATTGATCCGCTTAGTCTATAAAGTCCTAATTGTCCCACTCCTCTGGTTTCGATTTCTCTGACGCATCTTTGAACTAACAAGGGAACGTTGTTGCCAGATTTTTCCCGATGAATGATTTCTTTCAAATCAACGCCAAACAAGGTATTTCGCTTGTTTGATTTTGTTCTTTGTAAAGTTAGATAAATGTCGACAAACGTTAGTTCTACGTATAATGTTCCTTTCGGATCAAGTTTTATTGCCAATTTTATTGAGGGCGAATCCAAGCATGGAATATCACTTTTTGTCTGTGTCGCAATGACGTAAGATATAGGAACAGTTGCTGTAAAACATAATTGATGCCTTGTATCACGGTCCCAACTATATATAAGAAATTGAATTTTATGAGATTTGACAATGTCAATATCAAACGTTTCGTCCCAATCAAAATTTAATGCTCCTGTCCTAACCATTGTACGAGCTGCAGGCATAGAATCAACCTCTATAACACAATACAAGTCTCGTAACGCAGTTTTTGTCGATTTTAAACCGTGACCACATAACACATTTATTTTTAGTTTTCCCATAAGTGGAGATGCATTTGACGATATGTCTGCACTTGGACAATTGTAAAATTGTTCTGTTTGTATTTTTATCGGTACACGTGAAAGCTGGTTGCTTTTGCTTTTAAAATTTGTCGATGTATTAGATTTTGAATTTGTTGGATTTGCTGAGCTCAGAGAAGTTACTGTGGTATTTGTCGAGATTGATTGAGACTTAGACTTTGATTGCTGCAATATATTAGACCTGTTTCTTATATTAGAAGGGGTTCGAGAAGATTTGGAAAAAGATGTACCTGATGATATCCAACTTCCCAACCTATTGTCTCCTTTCCTGTAAGTTGCATAATCTGTAGCTTCGTTCATTTTATAAGTTTTGTAATCAAGAAGAGAATCTGTGCTTAATTTTCTTGTAAGGCGATAATTTTGAAATTGCGGATGAACACGTGGCTGAAGCGAATATTGGATAGAAACTGGAGTAGGAATGCTTTGTACTGTTGCAATATCGTTGTTGCATTGAATTAACTGACGATTAAGCCATATATTATAATCGTCTTGTGAAATTGTTAAACTGTCATTCAATTGATAAGGATTATTTAATGATCCGTGAGTCAAAAATCCAAAATTTGGATCACAATATAAACTTGTTGTACTCAAATCAGCGACAGATCCTAACAAAGTTATTAATTTAAATCGTTTGAAACTTATTAAAATTTATACATTTTTAACTTTTATTTCACCTGAATTTTTATTTCTGATGAGACTAGAAGCCCTAGAAAGAGTCATGCTGTTGAGTAGCATTTGGTTTCTTTCTAAGTCATTTGCCACCGGAAATAACTATTTAAATTATTTTTTTATTAAATTATTCTAAATTTATTAAAAATTTCATTCAAAATTAAATATGTTTTTTAAAATATACAAACTTGCGTATAAGTTTTATATCGATTTCTCGATTTTTGATAACGTGGCGTAGCCTCTGAATCAGAACTGTATTGATCTATTTGGCACAGTTGTCCATTTGGTAAAATTTTGGTATGATTAATGTTTCTAGTGTTTCTTAGTACTGAAGCTCTTTCGCCAGTGTTTGCACTCAACATTCCTGCTTTGTTTCGAGCATCCAACCAATCATCAGAACGGAAACCGATTTCATAAAATTGATCCGAAGGTGTTCTTCTGTGATGTGAATATTGTGAAGCAGGCTGCTGACCGTAAACCATTTCACCGTCTGGTGTAATTTCAGTTTGGAAATGTGATAACCTTGGAGGAGAAAAATTGCCAACTTGTTGAGAAAAACGAATATTTCCTTGTTGAGAGCCTAGAATAATTTGTCTAGGTGAAAGACTTTGAATTGCAGATGTGTTTATGAATGGTACGGTGTAGCGTGGAAGTGTCCCGTATACATCAGAAACTTTGTGACTTGGCAATAAGATTTGCCTACTGTCAGTATTTATATTATAAAAGTTGTTTGATGAAGAAAGTTTTTCTTGCGATCTGTCGTCTACAGACATGTCATTGTACGGCAACGAATTGAAACCACTTTTAAGTATTACCACCGGTGGTCTGCCATCCCTTACCGCTTGTTCACGAGGAGAAATAACTTCTGCATGCTCTAACTGACAATGTGGTTTAGAATTTTTATTAACTCTGATCGTTAAAACTAATCTTTTAGCAATAGACATTAGAATGACGACGTCATCAAGACTCATTTGTTGAACGTTTATCGTGTTAACACTCATTATCTCATCATTTACGCGTAACAAATTATTTTTGGCAACGACACTACCTTGGGCAATTCTGGAAACAAAAACGCCATTCCATCGATCAATCCCATTACCTTCTCTGATATAAAAGCCTAACGTTTGTCCTGGTTGTTTGATAATCTCAACTGTTTGTATCGATTCTTCCATTGTGTAAAAAATTTTGCAAAATAATTATTTAAGAAATTTGTTTGATTATTAAACGCAACAAAAGTAGATATTAAATATCCCAAAATATGAGAAATCGTATCATTAAACGAAAAAAAATATTTGAAAAATGTTATAGATCAAAACAAATAATATTTTCCAAGCAAAAATCTAAATAAAGCATTAGTCATCAGTTGCTTATTTATCACTATCATTATCAACAACATTGTGTCATCGTTGCATTCGTTTAACATAAGAGCAAGAAAACGTCTATACAGCATATATAACACATAAACCAACTGGAAGCTTGGCGTGCGCTGTCTACATGCTTACAATCCACCAGAATAAGCTAGAGTAAAAAAAGCCTTGGCGTATTCGTACAGGCCGTCTATACGGCTCTGTACGTACGAAAATGTACATGCTTATATAAATGCATAATATACGCGCATATATACATACGTATATGTATATGTTTACATGAGTACATAATATATATTTGTCATATATATAAATGTATATATATATATATATATATAATTATTAATTTTTTATAGATTTTTCTACATAATAATATACTAACACTTGGTAACACTTTTTTGTTATAAATAATTTCTCTTATTTGTAAAAATTTAACTGTGTATGCATTAATGATAGCATAAGAATAAATAACGACCGTGCCAATAAAAAATGTCTTAAAATTCAGCTCAGACGGTAGAAATGTAACTAGCATCGTTGAAATGTCGCGTTGACCTGGTTCGAATATTATCTGGGCGACACTAAATCCTGGCATGAGCTTTGTGTGTATGATTCGGTGGTTGCGTGTATATATTTAAAAACATATATGTGCATGTCGTGTGTGATGCATGTTAATAAACAAAACTTTGTTAATTTGTTTTTGAACTTAAGAAACTTGAAAATGATTTACGATCTACCGTTAGAAAAATTAAACAGGAAGTTAACTAACGCGGAACATGTTGTGATTTTATCAATAATTGCATTTCTGAAAGTCTTAACCCTACACACACACACACACACACATGCACACACACACACACACACACACACCTATATATATATATATATATAGAAACGAGGTATATATATATATATATATATATATATATATATATATATATATATATATACACAATTATTTATAAAGATCACTGCGTTATCGGCATTATTCAACTTGTAGTTGAGTTTCTCAATTTTTCTAACGAGACTTTTATCGTCTTGATGAAGTTTATTAGGGTTAAATAAAAAACTTTTAATATTTGACATTTTGACAAAACATTATTAATAACGTTATTACTACAGAAAGCTCTTTTCATCATCAGTGTAATTATATAGTATTGTTCCGTCTTTCTGTCTTTGTGTTTACAGCGACTTTGATTGTAACTTAATTAGAATTAAAGTTAATCATGTGTTTCTTTGTTGGAAGAATATTGGTATTATTTAGTTGAATATTTATTGCTGGTTTACGTTTATCGATGAAAATTGATTCTGCTATTTTCAATTTGAAGTATTCTCTGTTGTAATAAATTGCTATGGTGTTATTGTCTAAAATTTTCCTTGTTATAATAGTGTTGTGTTGTTCCATTCACTAATCTATCCACCAAGGCACAGTATATATTTATATATATATATATATATATATATATATATATATATATATATATATATATGTATATTTGATCAAATCAAATTTTATTCAATCAATCCAAATTAATAATAATTAGGTAATGATTAGGAGACCAAAGCTAAAAGAAAACAAAATTTTTGTGTCGCAGGCCACCGTTCACAAATTGTTCATTCTAACACAATTTTTAAGTAAATTTATAATTCATGACAAAATTAACATAATGCACAATTTACATGATTCTAATTAAATAAAAATTGTACTTTTTTTCAATAAATATTTCTTTATTTTGTTTTTAAACGAATACAAGGAATTTGTAGTCTTTATATCAACAGGAAGTTTCTCCCAGATTCCGGGACCGGTATGTTTTAAACTTCCACCAAGCAGTGTTATTCTTGCAGGTGGTGTATCGAGCAGAGGAGAATGTCGAGTGAACTTTGACTGCACAGCATTTCCGAATTCGAAGAAGTCATTAAAAGATGTTGGTAAATGATAATGTAGGAACTTGAACACAAAGATAGAAACATGATAATTATACAAATTTTTTATGTTTAAAATTTTCAGGATAATAACAGCTGACATGACTATATGGATGTAGATTTAATAGAATTCTGATGAAACGATTTTGACATCTGGTAATTTGCTTCAAGTGAACTTCAGGGCTGTTTCCCCAGATGATGTTGCAATATATTAGATGTGGTTAGATTAATGAATAATACAAATCTATAATTATTGGTTTATTCAGTCTTACTTTAATTTTATTAATTACGCCTATGGTTTTATTAATTTTTTTTCGATAACGAGTCTATATGCATATCCCACGAGAGGTTGTCCTTGATTATCACTCCGAGAAATTTTGTGCTGGATGTACGCGGGATGCTATGGTTCTTCATTTTTATATCTAAATTAGGTATTGTGTTAGTCAATATTTTTGGACCGAATAGAATGTAGTTGCATTTAGAAAAATTTACAATTAGTTTATTATTGATGAACCAATTTGAAACATCATCTAAACTTATATTAATTATCTCTACATCGTTTGAAGGATTGCTAGCTGGAAAGAAAATGTTAGTATCATCTACATACAGAAGATGATGAGCGTCAGAAGCCAGATGAAAATCATTCATAAAAATTATAAATAGAAGTGGGCCTAAGATTGATCCTTGCGGGACTCCTGAAGTTATATTTAATTTATTTGAAGATTTACTTTTAATCGACACATACTGATTTCTGTTTTGCAGATAGCTTATGAACCATGTATGTGCTATTCCTCTTATTCCATAGGAGTATAATTTCTTTATTAATATCTCATGATTAATAACATCAAATGCCTTGGACAGGTCTATGAAAACACCTATGGTTAGGATTTTTTTATTCAGATTATTTAATATGTTTTGTACTAAATGTAGTACTGCTAGTTCAGTTGAATGTTGTGCTCTATATCCATATTGATTTTTATTTAATAAATTATTAATATTCAAGAATGAAGTTATTCTAATAAATATAATTTTTTCCAGTACTTTAGAAATAGGTGAGAGAAGGGATATTGGCCTGTAATTGCTCATTTCCATCTTGGATCCTTTTTTATGAATAGGTATTATCTTGGATGTTTTGAAGCATTTTGGGAATATTCCTTGTATTATATGTATTATTGGATGTACAATTTCTGAGATGATTTGTTTTAAGAGATAATTACTTAATGAGTCATCAGAGGTGCTTTTTTTATTGCTAAGTTTCTTGAAGACTGTTAATACTTCAAGTTCATCAGTGGAGTTAATGTATATGGATTTACAAATGTAGTTGTTTATTTTTGAAGATTCATTAACTGTTTGATTTTCAAGCAAATTTTCAGTAATTTTAATAAAATATTCATTGAAACAGTTACACATTTCTTCTGCATTATGGATTATGTTATTGTTGACTTTTATTTTATTGATATCATTCAACTGTTGATTTTTATTCATTATACCATTTATTATCTCCCACTTTTTCTTCGAACAGCTTTTTGCATCATTAAATCTTTGACTAAAGTAATTTTTTTTTCTTTCGTTTAAATGATGTAAAATTATTTCTGAATCGCTTATATTTATTTATATTCTCTGTAGTAGGTGTTGAAATTGTTTTTTTATAGAGTTTATTCTGTTTCTTTGATAATTTAATTATTTCATCACTTACCCATGGCTTTTTATTTTTCCGTTTCAGCGGTTGCAATGGGGCGTAAATATCAAGAATTTTATTTAATTGATTATAAAAATTCATGCAACAGGTGTCAATGTTACTCTCATCCGTTATTGAATCCCATTTTTCAGAAGACAGAGCTTCCTCAATTAGGGAAATGTTTCTCTTATTTATGTTCCTTTTCAAAGTCAGAGAGAGTATCTGTAGTGACAAATCCTGTATTTTCTACAACTGTATAAATTGGATAATGATCTGAAAAGTCTGATATTATTATTCCATTATAACATTGTTGATTTAAGTTAAAAAATATATTATCTATTAGTGAAATTGAGTCATTAGTCATCCTAGTTGGTAAATCAATCAAAGGTAAAAAGTAATGCGACAAAAGTAAATTTTGAAATTCTTTGGAGGTTTTATCCATTAGATTAATGTTAAAATCTCCGACAATGAAAATTTTATCAAGTGGATTTAGACTATTTAGTATCGATTCAATTTTTTCTAAAAAAGACTCATATTTATAACTAGGTGGTCGATAGATGGCAATTATCTTGATCATGTTATGTAGTGAGGCTTGATGCAATTCAAATTCCACGCAAAGTATGTCAACGTTGTCATCATCGAATATGTTGCTTTCATTTACAACATATTTTACATCATCTTTTATAAACATTCCAACACCGCCTCCACGTCTATTTCTTCTATTCTTGTATACGAAATTGTAATTATTTAATTTAATTTAATCAGCCGTTTCATCGTTTAACCAACTCTCAGATATTACAATAATTTTGAAGATAAAATCAAATTGTTTCAACAAGATCTCGAGATTCAATAATTTGTGAAACAGACTACGAGCATTTAAATGTAATATTGAGATAAAATCACTGCCGATATGCTTTTGTAATTCTAACATATTTTTAGAAAATTCCTCAACAGTGTAATAATTTGAGTCGTTGTTACTGAGGTGTTTATCTGATATATTATTATTGCTTTGTGTGTTATTCATCATGTTTTTGTTTATTTATTAAAGTTAGTTGATTATCTGGGCACAAACACAACATATCAATTTGAACACCGAAAATAGTATAGGAATACCCAAAAAAGCTTTTCTGTTCTATCACGCAAAAAATAAACAAAATTTTGGTTTTGAACTAAAGAAACTTGAAAATGGTGTACGATCAACCGTTAGAAAAATCGAAAAGTTAAATTGAAAGTTTTTCAAACGGGTGCTGTATAAATGCAATGAATTATATATATAAAGTTTCTATTTGGTGTCAATATATATATATATATATATATATATGTGTGTGTGTGTGTGTGTGTGTGTGTGTGTGTGTGAGCGTGTGTGTGTAAAAATGAGTGGATAGCATCTTAAAAATAAATCTAGGCTTTTTTCCACAAAAAAAACAGTTATTGGAAAAGACTTGTTGCAGACAATAGTGGATCTTCTAAAAATCTATGGAATGTTATTAATAAAGTCTTTTATAATCAGGTCACTGGTCAGTCATTGAGTGAAATTATTGGTTTAGATTCGTCTCAATTCTTAAATTTTTTTAATGATAAAGTAAAAAAAATTAAACAGTCTACCAATGTGAGTAATTCTCCGACTATTTGTCAAGCTCAGTACAATGGGAATTGTTCTTTTCCTGACTTGATGCTTTTAACAGAATCTGACGTTAAAAAAATTGTACTCAGTTTGCCATCAAAAACATGTATAACAGATGTCTTTCTGACCCATATTTTAAAGAAATATATTGATTTATTCATCGTTTTTCTTACCGGCATTTTAAATCTGAGTCTGAGCAGTAGCACATTTCCTAATGGTTGTGCGCATGCTATGGTTTATCCAGTTTTAAAGAAAGTGAATATGGATCGAAATGATTTGTCTAGTTATAGACCAATTTCCAACATCTGTTTCATTTCCAAGATATTTGAACGAGTGGTTGCCAAACAGCTCTTAAATCATTTGAATGTAAACAACTTGCTACCAGTTTACCAATCTGGATATCGCCGCTATCATTCAAAAGAAACTGCACTGCTTTATGTGTTTTCTGAGTTGTTTGCTGTTTTAGACAAACAACATGTGGTTCTAGTCGCGTTTTTAGATATGAGTGCGGCATTTGATTGTGTAGACCATCAGATTCTCTCGGAAAAATTGGTTCATGATTATGGTATTTCCGGTACTGTTATCAAAGGGTTCAGATCATATCTATTTGAGAGAAAACAACAAGTAGTTTTCAATAATGTGTTATCTAATGAAACGGTTTTAACATCAAGAGTGCCACAAGGTTCAGTGCTTGGGCCTATTCTTTTTATCATGTATACCGCTGAAGTTTGTAAAGTAATTGGTAATTTCGCTTTTAAATATCATGCCTATGCTGATGATATTCAGATTATAGTTAGTAATAAGCCAGAATTACTGCAATCTGAAGTCAACAAATTTGTAACCTGCCTAAATAACATAGATAATTGGATGTCAAACAATGGTCTTAGATTAAATCAGCAGAAGTCAAAATTTGTTCCAATAGGTACATGGCAGCAGCTGATGAAACTTAATATCGATTCAGTGAAAATAGGAGATGTTAAAATAGAATTTAGTGACAAAGCAACTAATCTGGGTTTCATTCTTGATTCTAGATTATCGATGCATGATCATATAAAGATGATAACAAATTCATGCTCCGGACAGATTCGAGAACTCTATAAACTCCGTAAGTCATTAGATAAATCTGCTATTCATACCTTGGTGCATGCATTTGTTCATTCACGATTGGACTATTGCAATGGTCTGTTCTACGGTTTGCCAGATAGGTCTATTTCTGCAAATCAATCCATTCAGAATAGAGCAGCCAAATTGATTGTTGGAGGTCTCAAATTTAACCATGTTACTCCAATTCTTAAGGGCCTTCATTGGCTTACTATAAAGAAAAGAATTAAATATAAAATATGTATTTTAATGTATAAAACTGTACATGGCTTGTTACCAAGTTATTTGATAGATAAAATAAAAGAAAAGTCTATAATGATGAGTGGTATGAATCTTAGATCAGATGATGGCATTTTGCTGGTTGTACCTGATGTCAATCTGCAGATAGCATCAAGAGATTTTGCAGTATCTGGACCGATGTTTTGGAACAGCTTACCGAGATCTTTTAGAACTAAAGATTTGAAACTTGATGATTTTAAAAAGAAACTTAAAACTTACTTATTTTCGCTTGGATTTTGTTGTTAAGTGAATAATTATTTGTTTGTTACTACCGCCATTGACGGTACTTTTTTCTTTTTTGATTTTGATTATAGATAGCGCTTTTGAGAACTTTTTGATTTTGATTAGCGCTTATAAATGTTTCATTAATTATATATATATATATATATATTTTGACACCAATTATAAACTTTTATATATATATATATTTTGACACCAAATAGAAACTGTGTGACCACATAAAATCACAATCTAAATCATGTTCAGCACAACTTCAACGAATATACCGAATAAGAAAATATCTAGATCAAACTGTAACACAATCATTGGTGCATGCGTTTGTGCATTTGAAATTGGATTATTACAACAGTCTGTTCTACGGGTTGCCAGAAAGATCTATCGCTGACCACCAGTTCATTCAGAACAGAGCTGCAAAGGTGATTGTTAGAGGCAGAAAATACGATCATGTGACGCCAATTCTGAATAGCCTCCATTGGCTAACAGTTTAGAAACGAATTTTTTACAAAATATGCGTCATTATGTACAAGGCCATAAACGGACAACTCCCAGAATACCTGGCTGATAGATTCATAAAGAAGCTGCTGTCTTCGACTGGCAGACGCATGCGATCAGATGACGTCAATTTGTTGAATGTACCAACTACTCAGCTGCAGGCATCGTCTAGAGACATTGCAGTGTCGAGACCAATCGTCTGGAATAGTCTGCCAATGTCGATGAGAATGTCGAAAATGAACATTGTTGATTTCAAAAAGAATTTGAAAACTTATCTATTTGCAATGAACGATTGTAATTGATTGTATCATAACATTTATCAATAGAATGTACATTATTTCACTGTTCATTTATTATTATTATTTTCTTTTTTTCGATAGCGCTTGTGAATGGGCGTTTTATAAGTGTTTGATAATAATGATAATAATAATTATATGTGATGTATGTATTCTCATTTTCGTGGAATAGTTGGAAAATTTTTGCTCGTAATAATTCTCGTTCAAAGTAATTAAATTTAGTGTTAATTTGACTGCAAATAGGTTTATTTATTATATAAAAATTCAGAGTTTAAATTGTTATATAAATTTGTTTCTAATTTTGTTGAGTTTTAAAGAAAGTTTGATAAAATTGTGAAAACACTTAAATCACGTGATTCTGTTGCATACGAGCTATACTGTTAAATTAGTTGTGCTATAATTTTATTCGGACTAGACATGTCACGAAGGTAAATAGAAATGTTGAAATGATGAAATAAAAACAATAAAGAAAGTATTAACTGATGTTAATAAGTTGAAGGATAAAATGTTGAATTCGATAATGTTTCGTTTGACTGAGTGTGGTTGGGCCATGCTGATGTGATGAAAATATTGAAACATTTGACATAGGATATTGCTGACAAGGATGTACTTAAAATAACTAGAGCCGGTAAAAAAAGATAATAATCAGACAAGTGTTAATAAAATTAGAAAATGTAAATGTTAAATATTCAATTATGAAAAATGTTTATAAAATGAAGACACTACCTGATGTGTTATCCCGTGCAGGACTGAATCACGATTTGAAAAAAGAACAAAGGCAGGAGTATAAAACGCTGGTGACTGAAGCTTAAGCAAAGAAAATTTGCAGTCAGACAAATTAAATGTGCATGAAATGCCACAGCACCTGGTGAAGGTCTTATAAATTGGCAAGACGTTCAAAGAACCTTGCCACCTATGTTACGAGATATAAGGAATGACGAAATTGAAGCAGCAATTAAAGTACCTTGGAAGTAGACACTAGAAAAATATCCTTGCCATAATCAAAGCGTGGAACGACCTGTAAAGTTAGTAACCGAAGCATCATCGTCAGTCTGTGGTGCTCTGAGACGTGATGGATATATAAGACCAAAATAAGAATCAAGAAAAGAAATTCCACATTTTGGTTTGAAGAAGGACTGGAATACAAGAGAGATTAATTGAAACTGGTAATATTATAATGGTAAATATATATTATAAAATAACAAAAGTATATTAAATGCAAAAAATAGTCATCCAATATACAGAAAACTATGTTGTGTAACTGTATCACTGCAATTATTGAAATTTTTGTTTACAAAAAAAATAATTCGTATTAAATTAAATTTTTTTTTAATTAATTTTTTTTTACAAAAAAATAATTTGGAAATAATTTTACAAAATAACAAATTGTTAATCTTGGTTTTAATATTGATCAAGCAAATAGTACTGAATAGAAAAACTATTATTTATTATATGAGTTATTTCAATGGCAAATTTAAGTCAATTATCAAGGCCTTGGCGACAAAGTTAAACAAAAATTTTTTTTTAAATTTTATTCCAAATGTGATCCACTGAAGTAATTTTTTATTGCTATTCATAATCGATAGTTTGAAAAAAGTATTGCGACGACGAACCAAAGTGCTTATTGCATTCTGACTAGCCTTTTCATAATCTCAAAATCCATTACAAAGATTGTTTTTTGAACTGCCAATTTTACAAGTTTGTTTCAAAGTTTAAAAATTAATAATTTACAACAATTACTCTTATTATTTCGTGTCTCCAACAGTTATTCCTGATGTCAATTCTCATAAATTATAGTGTTCTGGTTTCTCAATAAGAACAACTCTAAAATAAACGTGGGAGACTCCAACAGTTATTCCTGATGTCAATTTTCATAAATTATAGTGTTCTGGTTCCTTATATGATATTTATATTATAAATTTTTAGTTTTGTATTTACATTTTGAAAAAATGAACTCAGGTTTTTTGTTAACCCTGAGTCTTTTAATCTATAAAGACCATCATGAAAGTATTATAAAACGTTCTATGTCCAATTTTTTATGCCAGTTCCATTAAATTAATTAATTAAATTCCTTAATTGCCCCGCAAACACAAAATCGAAGCTAGATCATCTTTAGATAAACGATAATCAATTTACATACACTAAAAACATGCATGCAAATGCGTTCAAGTCCTGGGTGATGGGTTTGTAGCAATTTTTTTTAAATTTAAGACATTCGCAACCATTTTTTCAGTTTGAGATATTTGGATTAGCTGGCAGCTTTGTTTCGTTCTCCTGCATTGTACTGAACAATTTTGTTTTTGTTAAACTCATGTTCTTTGCGGAAGATATCAAGGACAATCAACAGAATGCTGAAAAGCATGATGCCCTCCCTCAACTGAGTCATTTGTTCGTAACAGGTTTCCTTGCACCCGATTGCAAACATTCCTAATTGGTTATCTTGGTGTCACTTGGTGATTTTGTTTTTCACGACCACGTTTTTGATGATAATATGAGAGAATTCTACGATGAATATTCAAGAAATATTCAATCTTATAGCTCTCGAATGAAAAGCTACACTGGTGAGATTAAAAAGAACAAGTGTCGCGTTCAAGAATACATGGATCACGTGAACAAATACATAAAGTCTATGCAAAGTTACGTAGACTATTTGCATAAAAAGGATTCATGTTCAAAAATAGGTCCCAACAAGTCTATCTACTCCAAACGTTATCGCCCTTATTAAAAATTATTAAATTGCTACTCTTCATGATAAACTTATTTTTATATTCAACGTATTATTTTTGTTCCCATGTTTGGTCCGAAACGATGTTAACAATTAAATCTACGTAGTATTTTTTCATTTTGACATTGTTTTAAAGATATTCCATTGCGATTACATTTGTAAAAATGTAAAAATTTTTTTTTCAAAACTACCATGATAACGTATGAAAAGTTTCATTCGGATAAGTTTCTAACTTCGACAACAAAGTTCCGTTTATGACTAACGTTATTAAGACCAAATAAGGTTCACCGCATTGATTGTCATTGATCACTTCCGCAAAGAACATTAGTTTAACAAAAACAAAATTGTTCAGTACAGTGCAGGAGAAAGAAACAAAGCTGCCAGTGCATTAAAAGAAAAAGCCAAGCTTTTCTCAAAAAACGTAACTGTTACTGGAAGAAATTGATTAATGACTGCAATGGTAACTCAAAAAAATTATGGAACACGGTAGACAAAATCCTTTGTAATAATAGTAATGGTCCATTCTCTGATTCTGTCAATATCACAGCATCTTAATTTATTAGTTTTTTTCAAAGAAAAGTTGAAAGCATTAAAAACTCTATTGAAGTAAAAGTGAATCCAGTCTTTGACAAGTGCAGGCTGAATGATACTTGTCTGCCAACTATTTTTACGGCAGTTACGGAACTAGACATCAAAGAAGTGATACTTTGCTTACCGTCTATATCTTGTTTGTTGGATGTATTCTCGACACATGTTATCCAGAATTATGCGGATTTATTCATTATTTTCCTCACTGATTTTTTAATCTATGTATAAGTGAGGGAACATTTCCAACTAAATGCAAACATGCAATTGTAGCACCAGTGTTGAAGAAATTTGGCTTAAATAGCAATGAATTAAAAAATTTTATACCTATATCTAACATTTGTTTGATTTCCAAGAATATTGAGCGTGTTGTGGTCAGTCAATTTTTGAAACATTTATAAAAAAAAGTTTAATGTCAATATTTCAGTCTGGTTACAAACATCACCACTCTACTGAAACAGCACTGTTATATGTTGTATCTGAATTATATGCTGCTGTTGACAAGCAACATAGTGCTCTGCTAACATTTTTGAATTTCCGTGCAGCATTTGATTGGTTTAAATATAAAATTCTAATGGATAAATTATGTTATGACTACGGTGTTTCAGGGGTGGCAGCCACTTGGTTCAGATCATACTTGTTTGGAAGAACTCAGCAGGCCCACTTCAAAAAATATTATCTGATATTGCGGTAATGACATTTGGACCCATTCTATTTGTATTGTGTACTGCAAAATTATATGATGTTATTAGTTCATTTGGATTCTCATATCACGCTTATGCAGATGGCACCCAGATAGTGAACCAGAGCAATTGCAAAGTAATGTTGATAAAGGTTAAAGGTTACTTTCTCTCTTTTGCGTTAGCCTCAGAGGTTTCAACGATAAACTTGTTGAATGTTTGATAAAAGTAGAAACGTGAATGTCAAGCAACTTCCTTAAATTAAATCAAAACAAATTGCAGTTTCTATCCATAGGAACCTGGCAACTACTGTCAAAAATTAATATTAATTCCATCGAAATTGGAAATAATGAAATAGAATTTTGTCGAGAAACAACTAATTTGGGGTTTATTTTCGATTTCAATTTGACATTCAAAAATTATATAAAAATGCTGTCTAAATCATGTTTTTTTCAGCTTCGCCGGTTATATCGCATTCGAAATTTTCTGCATCAGTCTACAATACAAACATTAATACACGCATTCGTACATTCAAGATAAGATTATGGTAACCCATGGATTGACTGATCGGTCTTTTGCTATTTTCCAGTCAATTCAAAACAGGGCTGCAAAAATTGTGGTTGGTCGTAGAAAAGTCAATCATGTGACGCCCATTTTGAAGAACGAGTTGTTGAACGTATTATAAAAAAGTTGATTAACGCAAAATGGGCAAAAATATTGAATAAAGTGTAGGGATCAAACATTCATTTATTAACTATCTTATGTGTTAATTATTAAAGATTATTGCAATTTTCAATGTTACCTAATCTATGCTAATTTTTATGTCTTTGCTTCTCTATCGATTTCTTTCCCCTTTTTCCTGATAGCTTGTAACGAAACGGTTGGAGATTCACGTGGGAATAAAGATAATTTTTTATTACGGCTGAATTTTGTTTGCTTTATTTATTTTAACTCACAACAAGATGTCTTGTTAGTAGCATAAGTTCGTACTAACAAATTGGTGACCTCCGACGTGATCTGAACGAAAATCCCACGTGATTTTGAACGAAAATTCGACGTAAAAAGAAATACGAAGATCCACGTAGTTAGATCAAAACGAAAACAAAATGTTCCAACCAAATGATGACCCGATCGCCATACTACCTCTTTTCAAGAAAACAGCGTCAACCAACAGATTGGTTCGAGAATTCCGAAATGTAATTTCAATTGCGAAACGTGATGTGTAAAACAACAAAATTCTATTACGTAATAATTTCCCTGAATCTGATGAATGTAAACAAAATTGAAGAGAGCCAGCCACCAGAAGAGTCCAATAAAATAAAAGTTGTCCTGAGCAAGAACAAAGGTGAGAATGACATCCAACAATCACAACAGCAATATGCTGAGCAGAATGTTACCATCCCATCAGCAAATTCACACATGAACGATTCTCTTTTTCCAGTTCTCTCTCTTCTTTCTCCTGTTCAACAGCAGCAGCAGCAAGATCATCACAGAAAGAGAAAAGCAGAGCATAGTTCATCGTCCTCGCATACATATCATTCTAGAAATCGTTTGCAGCTGGACAGAAGGTTGCATGAGAGTCCAGAACAAAATTTGAACCAGCAACAAAAACGGCAACCGCGTTTTCAGCAACAACGCCATCATCAACATCTCATGAAACAAGATAAATGTCAACCAAATTATCAGCGACAAAAGCAACATCATTACGAGAAACAAGTTAAACGCCAGCGATATAAGTACCAACAACCACATCTTCAAAGAAGAGTGGAAAAATCAAATTCAACTCAAAAAACAAACATTTTTCCATTTGAATGGCTCCGCCTCTTGCGGGTAAATATTGTGAAAATGAAATATCTCCAGCAATAGCAGTAACAGGAACCAACTTATTATTACCAAGTCGATTTTTATTCCCAGATTCAAATGAAGATATAACATCTAGTCAAATCGAACAACTAGCAAAAGAAATGTTTAAACTTAATGACTTCCTAACAACTAACAATCAACATCACTCTACCCCAAAAGCTTTCGTACCAAATGAAATATCAAACAGTAGTCACGTATGGTTAAGAGTAGATCGAGTACGTCGTCCACTGGAAGCACCATATACAGGCCCTTTCAAAGTGATTGAACGTAACGATAAATACTTTAAAATTGAATTGTTACCAGGAAATTTTCAAAATGTGTCAATTGATCGATTAAAGCCAGCTTGTTTATCATTACCTCTAACAGCCAAAACCAGAATTTCTGACAAGGAGAGCCAATTTATACAAAACTCTTTCCGGCATACGAAGCCAGTGCAACTCATTTCTGATGTAAGCTGATATCGTGAATCGTGCCATCAGTCATGTTGCAGTATTAAGCATTGATTGCATGTCATTCTGAAAGAAAATTTTAATATCGTATATCATTGCATTGCAGTAATCTATTCTGCTGTAAATTAAACTACAATTAAGTGTTTTTGTGAACTCAACAGGTAGATATCGTCTGATTGACCTGATGTTATGAAGCTGATAAAAAAATTAACGGCAAAGTTTATTTATGTGATCTTCCATTGATAGGTCAGAATCCATTATAACTCCGAGATTTTTACTGGAGATTTAAATTCATCTACAAAACTGAGACCATGCGATGCTCCCATCCACATATATTGTGTTTTGTCAACGTTTAGTTTCAACTTGTTTGATAGCATCTGATTTCCCACTGCGTTTACTGAGCCAGAAACCATATCATTTACTTGACATGATGACTCAGGCCAACCAGATCCATACAATTGGATACCATCAGCATAAAGTTGACAATGAAAACCTGATGCCTCTAAGACACTGATGACATCTGCAGTTTTCTTGATTTATAATAGAGGGCCAAGCACTGAACTCTGCGGGACACCGCGGATTAACTCTGAGGTGACGGTGTTTAGATCATCAACAACAGAGACAACCTGAGTCCTGTCTGCTAAGTAAGACTGAAACTACCTATCATTACAAATACCGTACAAAGTTGAGAGTCTTTCTAACAGGATTTGATAATCCACAGTGTCAAACGCAGCACTTACATCAAGGAGTGCAAGCAATTCAATGTCGCCAGCGTCAACCGCGTCACAGACATCCGAAATCACCTTCAGTATCGCCGTCTCAGTATGTGCTCTACGAAAGCCTGATTGAACTTTCAAAAGCATTGAGTTGCTATTTAAGTAAGCGAGGAGCTGACGAGCGATTACTCGTTCGATGATTTTGGAAATGAAAGTAAGGTTTGAGATAGGCCTGTAGTTGACCACAACATTACCTGCAAGACCTGGTTTTTTCAACAGCGGTTTCACCAGAGCGATCTTTTGGGACCTGGGTAGTATTGCAGTTTCTAGACTTCTATTAACCATGTTCTGCAAAAACGGCAAAAGTGTTTCAGCAAACTCCTCCATGAGTCCAATTGGGATCGGATCAAGGCTGCAAGACTTACTGGAAGAAGAGAGAATTAATTTAGACTTACTGGAGGAAGAAAAAATTAATGGTTGGAGAATGATGGTAACATATGCCTGGGACTGTTAAATATTAGATCAATAGTATCTAAATCAAGTAATCTGTATGAACTCTTGGTTTATGGAATAGATGTGTTAGTGCTGACTAAAACATGGCATGGGGATCAAAATGATATTTCTGTAAAATTGACAATGCCTGACAGGTACATTTATTATTACAGATCTGACATACGCAGAACCACTTACAATGTTACAGATATATTATCTATATATATCTTTTTATTATGTTCTTCATATCTTCAACCATTGATTTGATTTGAAGCAGCCATCTTCGCCACAAAGGCTGTTCATTCTTTTCACACGACGTATACATGTACGCGCAAGCACCGCAACATATACGCTGAGTATATGATAGCCATTGAGATGTTTGACTCAGCAAGCATTTGAACCACTGAGTCATCTCGCCGGCCAACATTTACAGGATTCTAGTTTAAATCTGTCGACATTCAGAAGATTGTTATAGGCTTATTTGTTTTCAACCTAACATTGTTTTTGTTTTTGCATTTTGAGAGCGCTTTTGATAAATTTTACATTTTAATTGGCGCTTTATAAATGGTGAATAATAATAATAATAGTAAAATTTTAAACCATTATTTTTCTATGCTACCCAAAATTATTTTCTGAATTATTAGGAAACGTTTTTTAATAATAATATATAATAATATATATATATATATATATATATATATATATATATATATATATATATATATATATATATATATATATATATATTATTATTACGGAAATTTATATACAGCGGTTTTTTATTGTTGAATCTCAAAAGCGCTACTAAATCATAGACAAATAAGACGGACATTCATTGTGCAAATAAATAAGTTTTAAGTTGACTTCGAAATTGTAAATATGATAAGCTAGGGTCACGTAAGTATGGAGGTAAACCATTCCAAACAGTCGGGCCAAGAACCGCAAAGTTGCGGGAACCCGTCACCAACTTTGTGGTCGGGATAAAAAATAAATTGCGCTCGGTTGATCGGAAGGAATATTTTGAAAAATGAGATTTGTATGATTCCAATCTATCGATGAGGTAGGGAGGTGCTGTATTATTGACACATTTAAACATCAAAACTGCCAACTTGAAGGAAACACGTTTTTCAACCCTCAACCAGTGCAACCTGTTCAAAATAGGTGTAACATGATCGAACCACGAACCACCCAAAACTAGCTTGGCCGCACGATTCTGTATTGACTGAAGCTTTGAAAAAGACCTTTTGGTGGCACCATAAAAAAGGCCATTGCAGTAGTCTAGTCTGGAAAAGACGAAAGAGGAAACCAAGCTTTGAAGAACAGACGTGTTTAGTGATTTTTTGACATTGCGTAATAAACGGAGTTGGTTGGAGCAGACCATCACTAAATTATTAATATGTAAATCCATCTTTAAGTCTGAGTCAATAATAACTCCAAGACTACGGACAGATGTGGAAAATTCAATGATGTCATTGCCGACACTGATCGATGAAATGTTGACCTTCGACAGCTGCTGCCAAGAACCAACCGGTAATATTTGTGTTTTAGATTGATTTAACTTTAACTGATTCATACTCATCCAAGATCCAATTTCGATGAGACAGTCAGTCAGTTCATTCAGAGAAGCATCAATCGAATCAACAGGACAAGAAACCAATAACTGAATATCATCAGCAAAGGCGTGGGAGCTGAACTCATATTTTTGAATGATATCAAAAACATCAGCAGTGTACATAAGAAACAACAGAGGTCCCAACACAGATCCCTGGGGGACACCAAACGATAGTTTGTTTATGTCAGAGAGGGTGTTGTTGTAAGAAACCTGCTGGGTGCGGCCTAAAAGATAGGAAGCGAACCACGATAAGACTGAATCAGAGAGAAAAAAATTTGTGGAGAGTTTATATATGAGACGAGTATGATCGACACAATCAAATGCAGCACTCATATCAAGTAATGCTAAAAAAGAAACGCATTGACTGTCAACTGAAGAGAACAACTGGGAGAAAATATCAATGAGTGCAGTTTCTGTGGAAAAATATTGACGATAGCCAGATTGATTCTTTGGCAACAAATTGTTTTTGTTTAAATGCTGTAACAATTGTTTGATAACAACTCGTTCAATGACTTTAGAAATAAATGAAAGATTAGAGATAGGACGGTAATTTGATAAAACGTTGTCGTCCAAATTTGATTTTTTTAGAAGTGGGGTTACAATAGCATGTTTCAAAGGGTTGGGAAAACTGCTAGTTGATAAACATTGGTTGACAAAAAATGTCAAAAATGGCAAAAAAAGATCTATAAATTTTTTAAATATGTATGTTGGAATCAGATCAAGAGAACAAGAACTGCCAGGGGAGTCACAAACTATTTTACGCAATTCATCTGGCGTGCACATTTGAAAATCTGAAAGATTAACAATTGCTTCAGGAGAGACGACCCTAGAGACATACTCAAACTGGATTGGTTTGTTAGTATTTTCTATAGTCGTGCTACGAATATTATTGATTTTATTCACAAAAAATGTCATAAAATCATTGGGGGAGAAATCATTTGAATGGTTATTATTGTGATTTTTAGATAAAATTGTGTCGAGGATATTTCACAATTTTTTTGGTTGTTTTTTAAACGAATCAACTTGATTTGACCAAAATTTGTTTCTTTTTTGGGAAAATTGTTGTATTTTTTTCTTTTAACGCTAAGCGCCATGCATTTCGATTAATATCATTTTTCATTTTCCTATACAATCGTTCCAGTTTTCGACAATTGCGTTTTAATGAACGACATTCAGAGTCAAACCAAGGGGCAGATAGTACATGAGTAGATTTGACATAACGACAAGGAGCAACCATATCCACAATTCTCACGATTTCAGAATTAAACAAATCTAACAGGGTATCAGCAGAAGATGAATTGAACGGCCCTGAAATAGGTGATTCGAGAAGAAAATTGATTTTCGTCAATTTGATTCCATGAACGAGTAAGTTTCCATTTTTTCTGAGGTGTGGGAACAGAAATAGGGAAACAAATTTTAATTAAACTGTGGTCTGAATACACATTTGGTGGCTCAACGGAAAAAAATTGTGAGGGAAGGTCAGAACTAGAGGCAATTAAATCTAATGTTCCACCATGAACGCGGGTTGGTTCATTTATTCTATTTATCAATTGATATAAATCAAAAATTTCAAACAATTTCAATGCATTAGGGTCGTTCAAAAGTTCAACATGAATATTCACATCTCCAATAAAAATAACATAATTTGCTAAAAGCAATATTTGATCAAAAACAGGTGATAACTCATCAAAAAACAATGGTGGTGGAATAGAAGACCCAGGACGATAAATTGCAAAAACAACAATAGTTACTTTGTTGAAATAAAATTTCACAACTATAGCCTCAAACGTCTTAAATAAAGGCAGCGGAATTCTATAAAATTTAAAATAATTTTTAAAAAATACAATTATTCCACCATGGTTAGGGTCGGTCGGCCTCAGAAAATCTATGAACACAAAATCAGGTGGCAGAGTGAGTCTAAGTGATAAATTATCGGACGACCCATGCCAGGATTCCGTAACAACAAAAATATCAAAATTATTAGAAAATAAATCGCGAACAGTTTTGATCTTATTCATAATTGACCTAATGTTCAACAAACCTAATTGCAATTTTAGTTCTGAGTCTTTTTTGGTAACTTCACGATCATTACTACCACTTTTATCGTTACCATTACAACCATCATCGCAATCGCAAATACCACCATCATTACCACTGCCGCTATTGTTACTTCCACAACCATCTCCGCCACCGCAAATACCACCATCATTACCACCACCGTTAACATTACCACCACAACCATCTCCACCACTGCAAATACCACAACCACAACTATCATAATCACCACAGCTGAACAAACTTCCACCACCAACATCATCAGCAATACCTTCACCAGAAATCACTTCACCGGATGCTCTCTGAGTTTGACGATCCGCCACCTTCCCACCGTTCCCCTCACCTTGAATAAAAAACCCGGGCACGAGATTTTTCTTGATTAGGCTTCATCAATTAGTTTTTTTAACTCGGCACACTGATCAACTGTTAAATCATGACTGATCCATACTTTATCAAGATCTTCATGCATAGTTTTTAGTTTAAAGGAATTTTTTAAGACTAAATCTTTAATTGCACAACTCCTCATTTCAATCAGCACCGGTCTAATTTTAGTTTCAGCTTTTGGACCCAGTCTAACAATTCTTTTAATATCCTGATCCTTGACTTCACTGGATAACTTTTTAATAATTCCTTTGACTCTATCTTTATCATCATCAGTTTCTTGCAAATTGAACATCATTATGTTATTCTCTCTTTCTTTCATGTCATTTACATTGGTTAAAGTTTTTTGAACACTTTTTACCTCATCATTAACTAGTTCAATATTTTTCTTCACTTCGCATCGGACAGCATCAGCAAAACTCTTGTTCAAATCGTTTTTAAGGTTACACAGCTCAGTACTCAAAACTGTGCCATCGAATCTTTCCGCCCCATCAACATTTCTCTGAATTAAACTTTTGATAGCTTCAAGTTCGCTCCTCAACAAATTGTTCGATTCATCAATTTTGTCAATTCTAGTGTTGAGCGCATCATTGCTATCACGCACGGCTTTATTTAATGACTTTACATCAGGAAGTAGTTTCATGCATTCATCACAATACCACTTAATATTGGACACGGAACTGATAACCTTGAAAGCTGATTTACTTATTCCGACACAGTCTTGGTGAAAGGCAAGTTGACATTGAAAGCATTGAATTGCGTCTTTATCTTCCATATTTCTAGCACATTGACATCCTTTGATCGACATAATTGTTTCAAAAAGAATGTCTGCAAGTCAACTTATAAAATTATAAAATACGTGTTAAGTGATACACAAAAACTTATAAAATTATATACATATACATGTTTATTATTATATATATACATATACAAGTTTATTATATATATACATATACATGTAGACAGATATATATATATATATAATATATATATATATATATATATATATATATATATATAATAGTTTGCTCTTAATTATTTTCAGTTATTTCGGTTAAAATTTTTCAAGCTTTGTTAGTAAATGCGATAATTGGTTGCGAAAAAATTCGTAAATCAAATTGGATTAAAAATAGTTTTAGAAAAGTTACATTTCGCTAAATTATAAAGAAATTTGTTATAAAAATTCATAATCACGTGGTTTCAGAGATTTAATAACTTGTGCTACACAAACTGCTGCATACGGATTAAACAGGTAAATTATGTCTTTACGTAAATGTGTTAAATGTATGCAAGTTGTTCCCTCTAAAGAGGCTATACATTGCAGTCGTTGCGAATGTATTACGCATGTCAAATGTATCAATGACAGCGCAAAGTTTTCTGAAAATATTCAAGATTTTTTAAAGATTTGTAGCGACATGAAATGGTTTTGTGAAAGTTGTTTAAATCGAAAATAGATAAATTTATAAAATTGTCGAGATTTGATATGAATTCGTTGTTAAAATCATATAATACCTGTAGAAATGAAATATTAGCAAAATTCGATGTAATTAAAGACAAAATGTTGTCGAAAATAGATAAACTGGACGAAACGAACACGATGGTTAAACCAGAAATTGAAAACATTAAATAAATAATAAACTCGAATGAAAACAATTTGAGTCAGGTTGACCGCACTGACAACAGTTTTCGTAGTGAAATCGATAGTATGGAGAAAGAAATGACTGTTACATTTGCAAACATTGTAAAGAGAAATGAGGTCAAAGTAGTACAGAAAACACTTGCTGAAGTGAATGAAACAAAGGAAAAAAAACAAACTTGATTATATTTTGCTTAAAAGATAGCGAAAACGATCGTGCTAATGTGAAACAATATTTAAACACTTGACGGAAAAGAATTTTCTTAAGATAACACGGCTTGATAAGAAGGATGAAAATAAAATTAGACCTCTGTTGGTAAAACTTGAAAATATTAAGATCAAAAATTTAATAACGAAAAATGTGTACAAAATAAAATCACTGGCTGAAGAATATGTAGGCGTTGGGCGCTGACTTAACAAAAGACCAAAGACAAGAATACAAAATGCTGGTGGATAAAGCTAAGAAATTGGAGTCTGGTGATGAACGAGGTTTTTTATTCCGGGTCAGAGGACCAGTTGGAAGATGGAAAATAGTGTCATTTTTAATGAAAACGAAGCAAAACCCGCCAGTAGCATAAGCATGGAAGAGGTGATGTCTAGAATGTGTGACGAGTGATTGTAATATTGCTGGGAATGTTAAACATTAGATCAATTAATTCAAACTCGGATAAAGTTTACGAAATGATTCAAGACGGCTTTTAAACCAGTATATATATATATATATATATATATATATATATATATATATATATATATATATATATATAGATTTCATACGTGCTGGTTTTTTTTTGATTGCTCTGCATTTTTCTTAAGTTTTGTAGTTTGTAATAATTGGTTTTGATTAAATTTGGTTGCATTTGATAGAGGTAATTTAAGTGAATTAGGTGATATAATTTTTTTTATTGAAAATTATGAGTCGTAATTTTGGTTGATTTAAATTCTGGTTTCATTAATTGTGTTTAAATCGGCGAAATAAAAGTTTGGTTTGTAATTGTTATAGGATAGTCTGCATACACTGTATTGTTATACTATAGTCTTTACATTCTGTATTGTTTGCAAGGTTGTGTTGTTTGTCTAGTGTTGTTTTAGCAGACTTGTGTTAATTTTGCAAACTGCAATATTTTATAACAGACTCAGAATATAATAATTTGAACTGTTTTAAACTGTCCTACTGATCAGTTAATGATGAGTGGGAAGGGTAGATCCACGAGAAATGCAAACAGTGATGCCGTACGATGTGAAAAAGAGTCAACAGACTTTCAGTGTTTTCGTTGCGGAGTTTCGTTTGCTGTCGGCTTGACTGAAAAATCCTCAGAACTAGTAAAGGTATTTTCAAGACTGAGGTTGATAAACTTGCCAAATGCTTAGTGAAGGTTGGAAAATAGATGTCATGTAACTCATTGAGACTCAATAGTGCATGACTCAGCTGCTTCCGGCTAGCACATGGCAGCAGTTGGTAAAATTAAATATAAATTCCATCCCAGTAAATGATGTTAACATAACGTTTATTCATGCTGCTACTAATTTGAGAATTTTGCTTGATAGTAAATTATTGATGAAGGATCATATGAAGATGATATCAGTTTCATGCATCCCTTGTCATCTGAATTTAAATAGAATTAGGTTCTGGTTGTACAGATCAACTTTGGATTTAGTGCATGCGTTTGTTAAATCTTGGTTAAATTACTGCTTGTTGTATAAAATATCTGATAAATCTATTGCTATTCTGCAATCGGTTCAAAATAGAACTGCAAAGTTGGTTGCTGGTAAATTGAAGTTTGACCACATCATGCTAATTTTGAATGATTAGCACTGGTTGACGATTGATAAGAGGATAATCTTTAAAATTGGTGTGATCATGTTCAACGCTTTAAACGAAATGTCACCAGGTTACATAACAAATAAATTTACCAGAAAGGGACGGCATCTAGTTTCTGCCTTCGGTCAGATGATATGAATCTCTTAGGGGTGCCAGCAGCAAAGTTACAGATTAGATCACGTGATATTGAAATTGCCGGTTCCACTGTGTGGAACAGTCTCCCTGAGCATCACTGAGAAAACCTGGGCTTCATCTTCAATCATTTAAAGAAGATTTAAACATTTTTATTTTCGTTGAAGTTTCATTGAATTTGATTTTGTACCTATTTTGTTTGCCACATACATAGTTAAGTTTTACTTTTTGAGAGCGTCGGTGAGAACATTGAATGGGCGCTATATATATGATTCTTAATTATATATATATATATATATACATATAAATAAATTATTAGGAAAAGAGACAAGTGTTGAAAATGAAGTTGGTTCAATGCATAGCGCCGATGATTTAAAAAAATTTTTTGCTGACAGGTTGAAAGTGACCGAAAAGTCAACTGAATGTTTTAATTTTCCAGTTATTTCTACTAATACTAATATTATGTTTCCACTCGAATCGTTTCCAGTGTTGACTGAAGAACAGATATCTAAAGTTGTTAATTCGTCACCTACGAAGTCATGCTCACTCGACCCAATACCGACGCATGTATTCAAAGAATATGCTGACTGTTTATTGTTTACTTAACGGACTTAATCAACATGTGCTTAACGAAGGGTGTAATGCCACAGGTTTGCAAGCATGCAATTGTCACGCCAATTCTAAAGAAGACAGTATTAGATAAATCAGATCTGATAAACTATAGGCAGGTGTCAAATTTGTCTTTCGTTTCTAAAATTATAGAACGTTCCGTTGAGTTAGTTTTAAATAATCATATAAATTAAAATGGTATTTGGCCTTTGCATCAATCTGGATACAGAAGGTTTCATTCGACCGAAACAGCTCTAACGGATATATTCTCTCATGTTTTTTCAGCAGTTTATGTACAAAAAGTAACTTTGTTGACATTCCTGGTCATGAGTTCGGCGTTCGATACTGTGAATCATAAAATTCTGCTGGACAGACTGAAATATTGTTATGGTTTAAATAAGATTGCGTTAACGTGGTTCGAATCATTTCTTACTGGTCGGACTCAGCAGATTTCTTATTCAGGTGGTCTCTCGGAACCAATGAAACTTACGTCAGGGGTGCCTCAAGAATCTGTTCTTAGACCGATTCTTTTTAATTTGTACGTTGCAGAGATATTGGATTTACTGAATAAAGATGGTTATTATTGCCATGGGTACGCAGATGACATGCAGATTTGCGTTTCATGTTTTCCAGATGAGATGCCTACCGTATTAAAGAAACTGACAAAAACTATATCTGATGTCGGCTCGTGGCTGGGTCAAAGTAGGCTAAAGTTGAATCAGACTAAGACTCAGTTCATGTTGGCTGGTACATGGCAACAAACGTCAGCGGTTGAACCTTCGTCGATTAACATCATTATAGCATGACTGATATAAGTTTCAGTAAAACGGTTACCAATTTGGGAATTGTGATGGACTCCCGTATGACAATGGGTCCACAAGTCAGTCTATTGGTTAAAAATGGTATGTTCCAACTAGGTCAATTACGTCAAGTCACAAAATCGGTAGATAGAAATACAATGACTCTATTAGTACATGCTTTCGTCAACTCTAGATTGGATTATTGTAACAGTCTTCTATATGGCATAGCTGATAAACTGTTGTCTAAACTTCAGATGGTTCAGAATCAGGCTGCTAGAATGATATATCGCAAATTAAAATTTGATCATGCATCACCAATTCTAAAGGAGTTGCATTGGCTGCGTGTTAAACAAAGAATCATGTTCAAGTTGGGTGTAATGGTATTTAAAAGTTTGAATGGTCTGGCTCCGAAATATTTAGAAGATAAGTGTATTCGAGTTTCATCTATGTCATCACATGGGCGTCTAAGGTCTGCTGATTCAAACACGCTCTATGTTAGAGATCGGAATCTGAAAACAGCAGATAGAGATTTTGCAGTTGTGAGTTGCTGGGCCTATTTTTTGGAACAGCCTACCTATCGAACTACGTATATCCGGGTTATCATTAGCTGAGTTTAGAAAACGTCTAAAGACATACCTATTTGGTAACTCCTAGTGATCTCAACCGATGATGGTTTCGCTTTCAACATGCTTCATACAAGGAGAGCGCTGATGAGAAGCAATTATAATTGGCGCTATATAAATACAATATTTGATTTGATTTGATATATATCCGCAAATAATTTTACATTCACCGATACCAAAAATAAAAAAAATTTTTTTTAATTTTTAATTTTACAAAAATCAATATAGACTTCAAAACATGTTCAACACATATGGAGAAGATTTTTATTCAACCAATCAAAATATAGCAAATTAAAACTGTCTTTCACAAAATTTTTTTTCAAAAGATATTTTCGTTTCATCCAAGTTAATATTTCTCTCCACTGTGTTTTCAATTGATCAGATTGTTAAGCCTTTAAGTCTTCTATTGCTTTACTCACTGTCGAACGAAGGTAATTTCAATTTCGAAAAGTTTTGTTACAAGAAGAATTGAAACGCGCACTGTTGAAAAATCTTAAAAGCTAAATATAAGTTTGGAACTGCTTCATGTAAATCTATTTTTGCTACGTAAGTTTACATTTTCATAGCAAACCATTGTTTAACATCTTCTTTGTTAACTTTTCCTGCTTAAACGTTTAATTTCGGGCTTAGTTTCATTTTCTTTTAGTTCATCAAATTCATCAAACGTGTTTGTGAGGATTTGGTATCATCTTTGAAAACTTTTCAATCTCTAATCTAATAAGATGTGATGACTGTATGGCTTCAAATTTTAATTATTTTCCTAAGATCATGATAAAAATTATCAAATTACTGATTCATAGATCTTCTCAATCCTTGCTTCAATGTTGAAGCTTCATCTTTAGCCGTTCCCCAGGTATAAGCTTTCTTTGACTTTTTCAGCTCACTTTTTCAGTAGGTATTTCCATTTCTTTACAAATTTCTGTAAAAATTTCAGTGCACTTTCAACCAATTCGTTGCCACTCTCCTGCAGAAAAGTTTCAAACCATCCAATTTTTTAATGGTATTATCTAAACCAATTTCTTTTCTTTGTAAATATTTTTTAGTATGTTTGACTTTTTCAAGATTACTGATCTAGAAATGAAGATAAGCATAAAAATTAAATTTTTGAATATTTTTCATTAAAATTTGAACTAAACCTCTCGATTCTACATTTTCTGATGAATCACGTAATTTTTCTAGTGCCCGTACTTATTTGCGGAAATGTTTCACTACAGGTTTCACAGCATAATATTGGTCCCTCCACCTGGTTACTGCTAGCCTATTAACTGTTAACCTGACTGTTCCTGACAAAATATTTCACTTAAAAGTTGATGAAAAAAAAAGTTGTAAATGTTCTCAATTATTCCAAAAGACGTTACACAAGTTGAGTTGCTTCAGAATGCATAAACCCCGCTTTAGTTAAGCGAATGATTCGAACAAAAGACCAATAAAATCTTATCAATTTGATAGATCGTGGCTTTTACTCCAGAATAAACGCCTGACATTACTCAAGCTTTTCATTTTGATTTAAACATATCTGATGGCTTAATTGGTCCTGGTGAAATGCATCAGGTGTTCAATCAAACATTATCCCATAAAACTTTGCTTTTTTTTACATCTTCAATAAATTTCTGTTTTACGGTATCTCCCAATATAGAAATAAATTCATTTGGTCTGGAGATGAATATAATGGATATGGCATAAAAATTATTACATGTCTAATGATATATATATATCCATAGGTCTTGATTTAAAAACAACATTCTTTGTAACTAAGTATCTTATATTAATACATATTATGTGTAAATAAATATTTTAATAAAAATAAAGAAAGCTCAAAATTATATCTATAAGCTTATTAATGAAATTATTTATTTCAAAATTTGTGTAAATCGGCTTTTTGGAGGCTTCCTTTTAATCGGAAGCCCGGAGCGGTCAGTCCCCTTCCACCTCGGTACGCTAGTGCATCAACATTAATCATACGTACACGCCTGTCTAGCAAAATTAAAATTAAATAATAGGTAGATGAATTAGTAAATTAATGGACCTTGTAGTCAGACAGTTGCGGATACTGATAACCATTCCAAATATAAACACACTCACTCACACACAGTCACATACACTACACACGCACATACATGTTAGAATTAATGCTTAATATAATAACCATAACGGTTTCTATCGAATGCGATAAGCCGATGATGTATTGCAAGCTGTTTTCTTTTTTCACTATCTTATTTTGCATAATTTATAGGTCAAGTTTTTTGTTGCAATAAAATCTTACCTCTGATTTGTAACACCTGGAATTTAATCGCCGGTTATATGATATGGTAAGCTAAGATGAACTTTAGTCAGTTGTTGGCTTCAAAGGCTTTTACTATTTAATTGGAGATAATGTTTGCTTTTTAAACGTTGGTTTTTTTTAGTTTTGTCTACCTTTGTTTTTCGTTATCTCAAGGTCAAATCGTTTTTGTTTTTCGCACGATGGAAATTGAAGGTGTCGATAACTCGGCGCTCAACAGTTTTCGAGAATATTTAAGAATAAAAACTGTCCAACCGGAACCAGACTATGGTACTTCAATAAGTTTCTGTTTTAAAAATTTTTAGGAAATAATTTTTGTTTTTGTATGTAGTTGTCTAATTTTCGTGATTCTTAAATACTTAATTAGTAATCTAGAAATTAATCTAATTTTAGAGAGATTTCTTTTATAAAAATTTGTGAGCTAGTGCAGACTATATAAAATTATAAATAAAAGTATAAAATAAAAAAAGCTAACATGTACACTTGTATCATAAATAACATTGATTAACTTGTCTTAAGACTTAATTAATTACAGTAAACAATAAACATCATACATGTTTAACATATAATATTTCAATGGAAACAACAACCTAACCCCAAAAATATGTTTATTGGTATTAATTACTTGTTAGCTAAATAAGCAATGTAATCATTTAAGTGAGATGTTGCCTCTTATTTGACCATTTTTAGGTTTAGGCTAAAATTTTTAGCAAACCATTTGCTTATTTATTTATTTGTTCAAATGGTTTGCTAGATGCTTAAATAAGTGGTAACATTTCATTTAAGCCTTTAAGGCCCAATAAAGATGAAATTGCATAATTTTTTTATTCTTTCTCATGGTCCAACAAATTATTAGGTGGTCAGTAATTAGTTTGAACTTCTATTTCTATGTTTATTAGTTGGCTTATTTATTCATCTATTTTTATTAAGACTTGAAGTTAAAACATTTGGGTAAGTGAAGATAAAGTTAAGTTCTAATAAAATGAAAGTGAATCCCACACTCTGATTAAAACATTAAATGAACAAAATGGTTGTTACATCTGGCATCTATGATGAGTGTAAATAAGTTTTGTTTCATGTAGTTGGCACAAATATATTAAAATTACTACAATTTGCTGACTGAATGCAATGACAAATATTTTGACATTGGTCTGTGAATGTTTATGTTTCCACTGTACAGAGAATTAAAAATGTACTTTTAAAACAATATGTTGTAAAAAAATATATTCAGTTTTTTAAAAAAATTTTGAATACATTTCTACATTATAGCTTTTATAAAAATATTACCTGAAAGTAATTGCTGCAGTACTGTTTTTTTTTCATTGAAAGCTGTCAGTTGTTCTGAATAATTGCTAAAATATTTTTTGGGAACAAAAGTGCCTTTTAAAAAAATGTACTTGAGAAAAAGTAACAAGTACTGAAAAAATAAGTGATTAGTACTTATAAGTGTTTAGTACAAGTGCTAAGTACTTAGCACTTGTTGCAGTTAAATCAAAATATAAAAAAATTTATTTATGTAAGTATATGATGCAGCTGCTTATTTATTTACTTCAGATAACAATTTACATTGTTTATTTATTAATAAGAATAAAACAACACAAATCTGGCAGATATAGCTGAAACTAAGCTGAAATGCCGTAAAATTGCATCGAACAAACAAAAAAATTATTATAATTAATTAAATAATTAATTAATGTTATTATTGAATCGAAAAAATAATATTTATAATTGATTATTTTATTTATTTCTATCAGTAAATTGCAATACTAGTTTGTTCATTTGAGCAACAGCAGATTTTCATACTAAATCTTCAGAACTCATCCAATGGCATATCACACCAATATACCTAAGAACACACTGTCCAAATATCGGCAGGAGTACGAACATAAAACATAATCACATTTCTTGAATGTCTTTTCAATGATTTCTTCTTGTGTGGGAACCATGCGTTTGGTGCATCTTTCAATATTTAGATGCAGATCGGTCGAGCTTTAGGATTTGAGAAGTCTATGCTGAGGGATGCATGATTCACCTGGTATGATTTTAATATTTTTGAATGGTCAACAGTGTTGTTGTCTGACAACTATGAAGATGTACTGCTCTCTTTTTGAAGTATGTGTTCAACAAGTAAAACTTGTGACCCTTAGCAAACTTGAGAATTTGAACACCATCTTCATTCTGCACATCATAACTAAAACCGCCATGCACGCCACTGAACCCATTTGTTTTTTCTCCAAAGTGTCCGTTTAGGTCACTCCCAATCAGAAGTATCTCAACTGTTTCGGTACCTTCATGACGGCATCTGATAGTAAGTTCCAGAAGTCGTTTTTAAAATCTTCTAATTCACCTGTCTTTTTAGGATCAGAAGCGTAGCTTATTTGGCCATCAAAAATAAACAGAAACAGAAAAACATAAAAATAAAATAAAATCTATATCATACTTCTGAAATTTCAAAGTTTATTAAGAACTTTTAACTGTCATGATAGCCATTTGAAATGAAATTAGGACAACAATAAAATCAAACAAAAGTAAGATGAGCTGATTTCAATCTATATAAAAACTAATGGAAAATAACAATGATGATAATCTATATAATATATATAAATTATCATATAGAAATGATTACAAAATTAAATGAATGTTTTGGACCCATATATACATAGACACGCCTGCGCTTTCATCATCTTTATGCACATAAATACTATATGTAATTAAATGTAACATAAAATAGTGATATAAATTGAAACTAACTTAATGAAGAAGACAAATTCAGATAAAAGAGAAATATTAGTGATTTTTTAAATGAAGATAAGCTAGATAGCATTTTCAGTTCATACGGTATCAATGACCTTATTTTTATACCATAGACGAAGATTGAATGTACGAAGTATATAGTTCTAAAAGGATAAATATAAAAGTTCAGATGTATGTCTAGTAACTTTATTAATTATTTTAGTCGACTTATGTAAAAAAAATTGAAATACGGATATATTTTTATAGTTATTACTTTATATAAAAATATTAATATTCTAAATGTGTATATTTGTTTGAAATTTTGGATGATATGAAATAGGAAATAATGTGAGAAAATTTAGGTAGTTTAAAAAGAATTCTAATAAATCTATTTTGACATCTAGTTAGTAAGGAAATATGGGACTTTATATTTTTACTCCATATAGGGGAGACGGGGGCCGAATGGACCGCTTTTTTTTGTCGCTCACTAAATATTTTTTCTTTGCTCAACAAAATCAGCTATCGCTATTTTAATAACTGATCTTGATTTGTCATTATCTTGCACAGTTGACGGTATTTTTTTAATATTTCCAAATAACGTAATTTTTTTATAATTTAATTTTTAAGGTGGGTTGTTCCAATTTTTTTGGTGGTCCATTCGGTACAATAGCGGTGTACTGGATGGACCGGGTAAAGTACCAAATGGACCATTAAAGAATAGCAACAAATTCATGGAAATAAACACATTTGAAGTATTTTTAATTGAAACAAAAATTGAATTAATAAGATTATTCATGTATGCAAAATTCGCAAATGTAATCAACTGCACTAGAAACACTCGTGCAGAGCTCGTGAGCCCACTTGGCACAATTTCTGCAACGAAACCACATTTCGTTGTCTCGGCCAGCCTCACCACACATGACGCATATGTCCTTCTCAGCATATAATTGTCTTTTAATTTTATTTTTTTTTGTTACTCTGTTGCTCTCTTCGGATATTTGATTTTTTTTATTTTGTTGCAATTTCCTTTTGTTCATGATGGGACGTTTTTTTATCTCTTCACGAGTTTGCTGCACGCGAAGCTCTTCTTTAACTGGGGTGTCGGTTAACACTCTGGAAGTTAATTTCTTACGTTTAGTTTTACG